CTGCTTGCTGCTTCCTATGGCGGTGTGGGTGAAGTGAGGGTTGACGGACGCAGGTCCAAGCTATCCTGGCGTCCGAGGTTCCTTGATCTTGGGGAGTAAGTCGATATTCATAGCGTCGGGTGGGCCAAAGTATGTTCCGTGCCCGGTAGTGCGAAGACGAAGACCACTTGATCAGTAGAAGGTAAAAACAAACTCTGTTTAAATGTTAGCTTTGCCTAAGGCCTCTGTCCTATCGTTATCCTGCTCCCCTAAGGTCCTGGCGCGTGCTCTCTGGCTCCCTTGAGCATTAGTGGTGCCGCTGGCTCTCTGCCCGGTGGCTGCGCAATCCATAAGCCTGAGATCATCACTCCTTCTCCAAGATCACGTCATCCTCGCCAAGATCGATATCATCGGCTTGGATAGGATATACCAGGGATTGACTCGCCAGCACTTCCGAAGAGATTGCTCCACCTGACCTTGCCCTATTGGCCTTCGTGCTCGTTGATATCGTGCCAGACTACACCGGGACGCGCTTGCCGATCTTGTTCCACAACGAAGCCGTCGGTTACCATGTCAATCTTGGTCACCATTGTTATCGGCGCGAAAATCGCCACATCCACTACACCACAGTGTTTCTCCAGCCACAGCATGCCCAGGATCAAGTCGTGCTTGTCCATGTTCAGGACCAAGAACGGCTCCGTGCTGCGAAGTCTTCGAACTTGACAGCGAGGTCTATGTGGACCCGAGGTACTTCTACCACCGTACCGTCGGCCAGTTTGACGGAGACCAGCCAGTTGCCTTTGCTGCCTCGCAGCGCATCGGCGTACTTGCCGCGATTGCGTGCGACTGTCTGGCGGCGCGCAAAGTTCTTTGACGCCCCGGAGTCGATCAGGATTCTCAAGGGATGATCGTATCCCGGCATACTCGCGTGCACCACAAGCAGCCCACCGCTGCCCTTCTCCGCTTCGAGAGTACACAGGCTCTCAGGGGCTAAGTCCCCATGGCGCGCGCCACCTGCACGCCCCTCATGAAGACTTAGTGTTTCCCCAGTAGGGCGCGCCGCCCCTATTGGTGTCCTGGCTTCTGCCAGCGACCCCTAGAGCCGAAGGGCTTCGAGGAGAACTTCTTCGTCAGTCCTCCCACGGGACAGGCACGTTTCATGTGCCCAAGCTTGCCACAGCCGTAGCACCGAATGTCGCTCTGCTCGAACATGCCCAGATCCGTGGGAACCGGCCCGTTGGTCGCTCCATTGCCGGAGTTACCATTTGGCGCAGCGCCAGAGGCAGGGTTGCTCTGTCATACCGTGGCGGGGGTACGAGCCTGCTTGTGGCTCTACTCCTCCTGAAGGGTGATCTAAATCCCCTCCTCCATAGTGTTTGCTTGCACGCGGAACAGTTGCGTACGGGCAGGACCGACACGCAGACCATTCATGAGCACGGTCACCTTGATGTGTTCAGGTAGGGGGTTCCCCACCAAAGAGGCAGTGAGCACTCGCATCTCCTGGATGTACTCATGCCGCTCGCGCCTTCTTTGTTTGCAGGCGAGGAAGCGCGAGCGCTGGCGGTACTCGTAGTTCGCCGGAAGGAACGCGGTCCGCAGCTGCTCACACAGCTCAGACCATGATGCGAAGCATCCAGGCGTTGTCGCTTCGCGCGTATACGCCCAACTCTTAGCGCGACCACTAAGGTTGGAGAGCGCAAAGGCGACACGGAGTCGCTCGTCCGAGACGAGAGCCGCGTCCATCGCGAGCTCAACCTCTCGAACCCAGAAGTGAAGGTTCTCGCCTTCCTTCCCTTCGAAGGGGTGAACCTTCAGCCGCAGCGGTTTCGGTTGCTCCGGCTTCGGCGCGGCCGCAGTGGCCTGCAGCCTTTGGACGTGGGCGATGAGCCCTCGCTCGTAGGTGTCGAACGCGTTGATACGCTCAACCTGCTCAGCCGGCGTCGGCGCCGCTAAGCTACGCAGGGCATCTGTCCCAAAGAGGCCTGCCATCTTCCGAACGGACTCGTACCGCGAGAGGAAACTCCGTCCAATCCATCTTGGCTCGCTCGATGAGATCACAGAGATTCAGCTAGTCCTGTCGTGTAGGAATACACCGATTTCCTAGTAGATGTAGGCACAATCCCTTAAGACAACACCCACTGAGTCAAGATGAGTAGCGATAACTCAGCAGGCTTGTCGGGTTAATGAATATGAACCTAAAGGCCCAGCTTCACACCCGTTCCTCGGGTTGGTCGTTTCCCCTTATGTCCCGTGGTTTCCTTAGGCCACCAGCAAAGCCCAGCACTTCCAGTTACGAGCGACGACTGGAGTGCTCTTAACACGCAACAACCCCGCGGCCCCTCCAAAGGAAAAGTCCTGGCCACTGGTAGGCCGTTCGCGAGGGTGTCAGAGAACTCTCCGACGGTAAGAATCAATAGGAAAGCACTTAAGCTGCGACCCAATACACGGCGGTAACTCGCCTTCAATACACGGCCCTTTCTCTACTCTCTTGGCCTTGTCGGGGTAAACGCACACCACTATGCTAGTAGGCACGCTCACCGACAGGCATCTCCCTCCCTACAAGATTACCTTGGACACGGGTCGTCACGGACCGTGCAGCCAATCATCGCCGATCCCGTTGGTCCTTGTCTTTTTGCCGCAAATTGCTGCAAGCTGCTGCTCAGCTGCGGCGAGATCTCGGGGGCAATTTCCAACACCATAGTCCAATCTACCCACGTAGGCGTAGGATTGACTACAAGTGCTAACAAGTGTGACGGGGCACAGCACTTCTTAACAGAGGAAGCTGGAGTATACAAACTCCAAGTGAACAGCCGTTCACGTGTCCCTGGTCTGAAGGGGACGACTTGACTTCCAACAGAGGTAGATCTAAGACTGAATGTATTTATAGGTTGGTACAGATTTGGCCTGTATACAAATCCTAAGTTTCCTATAGTTTGTGTCATACAAAATGTATCTGTTGGCTCTGAGGCCACTTGGGTCACTATCCAGGGGAGTGACCGATGTAGCCATCCCGGAATAGTGACAGGGTCACTATTCCATGTAACCCCGTTACACCGATAGCAACTGTTATATCCGACAAAGTCAAACAACCAACCCTCTATTTTTGTCATATCCGACACCAAATTGGTGGCCAAACGGTACTATAATACTGTGTACATGTATTACAGCGCACAATGTGCATTCACTTCATTGCAGTGTTGTTATGCAGTACAAGTTGTACAGTACAACTTGTGCATAGTCGGCGATGAGGAATTACCAAGTTGGTCGTTGCACTGTTTGCCAAGATAAACCCCGTTACTTTCTGGCAAACAACTGCACGTACATGTACTGTGAGCCTGTCGGAGACGCGATGTACGATAGTCGTCTTGGCCGCACCGAAGCCATGCAAATCCGTGCCGGTGTTGCTAGGTTGAAGCTGATCTGAATTTCCAGAATTTAGAGCTGGTTTAGAAACGCTCGCTCTAACTGTACCGTACTGTACCAATTTGATCTGACCCTGTGCGCAGCGGGCACGCCTGCTGATTTGGTCCGCCCTCTGTCGGCGATGATGTCCTTGGTGCGGCTGTCGAGCCGAAAGTGATCAACGCGTTGTCCTCGACAGCCGGCCCCATCGCAGCGTGTCTTCCTTGCTTCTCTCTGCCGGTGGCTCTCGCTTCGCCAACAGCAGAGCTCTTGAGTCGCCGGCAGCGCCGATCTGGGCTCAAAACAGACGCTCGTTCGCTCGGCTTCGCTGATCGACAGCAGCTTCTGGTTTCGCATGGTGTTGTGCAGAGTTGTCACGAGATTCCGCGCACGCTGGTGAAACGCGCAAAGCCGCTCGGCTCCTCCCTCCCTCTGCGCCCCTCGCAAAAAGGTCGCCGACCATTGTCGAGACGTACAGTAGCGTTGACGCTGATCGGTGAGCGGCACCAACGTGGGCGTAAGCACTCCATTGCCGACGTCGCAGCGCTCTGAAAGCGTAAGGGGCAGCAGATGAGCCCCTCGCGATTCTACAGCTTCTACAGCTCCGATCTGACGGCACATCAGATTTAGATCTGTGCGACCCAGATCCGCGTGTTTCTCGCGCTTTACACATCCCGACCTACACATCCAGTGATCCTTTCGATTGCCCGCTCGGCAGTCGCTCGTTGCACCCCTCCTCCTCCTCCATGCCGGTTGCGGCGCCGCGGGCAGTGCCGAGAGATAAGTACACTGTATCCGGTCGTACGAAAATTGGGGCGCCGAAGTCACGATCGGAGGCTCATTCACGACTGGCCACCGCTGACGCAAACTGGACGGCGGGGCCAGCTAGCGCCATCTCCAACTGCGGCCGGAAAGCGTCACGGCATGCCGCGTCCGCGTTCCCAGCTGCCCTCTTCGGCAGGAATCGGTCATAAATCATCGCCGGGAAGCTCCGCCTGGTGGGTTATGTCTGCGCGGCGGTGTCCAACCCCGGTGACTGCTGCGTCACCCGCGCTTGACGCCGCAGCTGGGCTCACACACGCAGATACTGGCGCCTGTATCATTCATTCGACCTTGGAACAACGGCCGCCAAGTGTGACTTACAGGCGGGGGCTTGCGATCCCAAGCCTGCTCCGCTCCTGGCCGGAGCAGCGGCGCTGCTGGGGCTGATTCGGCCGTTGCCCACGGCTTCCGCGAACGCACGCCGCGGCGCCGCGACGATCGCCCGACACACAGGCCCTCGTTTCACAGGAAAGACTCGTCAAGCCTCGCTCGCTTTTGGTCCGTTATCGTCGAGTCTGAAACGCCAAATTTGAATCGCTCGGCCGTTTCTGTTCCTGCCGAAGAGGCACGGCCGCGGCCAATCGGCGATTGCGCAGAGACCGAGCAGGGCCCCAGCTGGCGGTCGCCACATCATTCGCATGCTTGATGGAGGCCGTCACGACGGCGTCATGGATCTCCAAGGCCCCATTATTCAATCGGCGCCAGCCCCAGCACAGCAGCGACACAGCAACCAGCAACAGGAACAGGGAAGCACCATGTCGACGCCGTCCAAGACCAACAACTCGCGCTTGGCCGCCATGGCGCAGCTGGAGAAGGCCGCCCGCAAGCTCACCATGTACTCGCGGGCTCTGCGCGAGCAGCTCGCCCGGCTCCGCGAGGAGGTCGCGGCCGAGAAGCAGGCCGTGCTGACGTCCGAGGACGACGTGAGCGAGTCGTCCGCGCGGCTGCAGGAGATTGAGGAGCTCATGGCCAAGCTGCAGCTCGACATCGACGCCCTGCGCACGCTGCCACCCTCTCAGGACGACGGCAGCCTGGCCGCGCGCGAGCAGGAGCTCGAGGAGCTCGAGGAGGAGCGCCTCGAGGAGCTGGAGCTGCTCGGCCACATCCAGATCATGCTGCAGATGCACCAGCACGCGAAAGGTAGGATGCAGCGCATGATCGCCGCGCTCACCAAGGAACTCCACCGCGTGCGGCAGCGCGAAGAGGCCGTCGTGATCGCCGCGCTGCGCAGCCGCATCGTCAAGGTTTTCGCCCCCAAGATCTAAGCAGCACCGAGCTCAGACGCCGCCAGCACCGTCGAGGCCTGGAGCAAGACACCGCCGACATGGACGCGTACCAACAACCCGTAGGCATCTCTCCGCAGCGACAGCATAGACGCTAGCAGCTCACCTGCGGAGCTTATTTATTCGAACAAAGTTTTCGAACGTGTCTTCTAAATCTTATATCAGACCTTGAGTGATTTGGTATCCATGCAACTGCTGCAACAACGTAGGTGCGCCATACTACCAGGAGCATTGGATTCTGATAGAGTTCGCCAGTTTCACGAAGCAGGGTAGAGGCATGGTATGATACGTGGGTTTGTCATTCGTGTCCTCTAGGTGTGATTCGCACCTTGATCTCTCACCAGGGGGTGCATTATGCAGGTAACACACAACACACGACAGCGCTCGTCGAGTCTAAGGTCCTTTTGCTTGATGACCCAACACTATCGATAACACTGCTTTTAACTTTTAAAAAGTAGGATCATCAAGCAGCACCCACAGCCAAACTAGCTGGAACTTGGTATTGATACTCCTCTTGGCCTAATGACACCAAACTCCTCGTAACATTATTGCTCTTGAACTAAGCGCGTTAGAATCTTCAAGTTGCTGCTACTGGCAGCAACGTACACTGCATCCTCTCCTACAGATCCACCCCAATTCACTCAAGTGAATGCGGTGAGTCGCTACCTACCGGTTCGCTGATGTGGATCTAGATCTGGATCACCCAGATCTGAATCAGCCCAAAGCGCCCATCAAAAGCTGGTTTTCTTTGAAGAAAATCTTTTTTGGAGAAAATGGCGCGCGGGGGCTTCGTGCTGGACGAGCAGGGCGAGGAGGACCTGCTGCGCGAGGCGCTGCAGACCGTGCGCGACCAGGGCTTCCGCATGCAGCGCGCCGCGGACGCGGGGGACCAGCCGGCGGTGCTCAAGCACGCGGCCGAGGTGCTGCGCGAGCTGCGCACGAGTCTGCTGTCCCCCAAGAACTACTACCAGCTCTGTACGCCTGCTGGCGACGGTCTATTAGACACCGATCCGTAGCTCACGCCTGCGCGTGTATTGCTCTGCTTCAGACATGCAGGTGCTGGACGAGCTGCGGCACTTCGAGAGCTACGTGGAGGAGCAGCAGCAGGCCGGCGCCTCCATGCGCGTGCTGTACGAGCGCGTCCAGAGCAGCGGCAACGTCCTGCCGAGACTGTACGAGCTCCGCAACGCATTGGATATCGATATCAAAGGCTGACATCAGAGCTACTGTATGGTTGTATGACTTGCTGCAGGTACTTGTTGGTGACGGTGGGCTCTGTGTACATCAAGTCGAAGGAGGCGCCAGCTCGAGACGTGCTGACGGACCTCGTGGAGATGACGAAAGGCGTGCAGTACCCACTGCGCGGGCTGTTCTTGAGGCACTACTTGTCGCTCAGCGTCCGCGATAAACTACCAGACACAGGCTCTATCTACGAGCAATCGGGCGGCGGCACTGTCAGCGACGCCATCGACTTCTTGCTGCAGAATTTACGCGAGACGAACCAGCTCTGGATCCGACTGCAGCACCAGAAAATTGGGGGCTCGAGGCCGCTGGCGGTGCGGGAGAAGGAAAGGATGGAGCTGCGGCTGCTTGTGGGCACAAGTCTAGTGCGGCTCAGTCAGATGGAAGGAGTCACGCGCAGCGTCTACACGGAGCAGGTTCTGCCTCGACTAGTGGACGATATCGTGTTGGCCTGCAAGGATTCCATGGCGCAGCAGTATCTGATGGACTGCATCATTCAGGTCTTCCCGGACGAGTTCCATCTGCAGAATCTTGAGAGGCTGCTGGACGCCGTGGAAAAGCTTCAGGCGGGTGTCGACGTCGCGTTGGTTCTGACGGCACTTCTTGAACGACTCACGAAATTTCGGGAAGCACAGGGAAGTGTCACCAATACAGGGCAACGGGTGGAAGTGGATGGCGGTAACAAGCTGGAACAAGAAGAGCACGAGGGGCTGAAGGTGTTCCAGCAGGTGATGAACACAACTACCACGTTACTGCTGCGCTCGTCTCGACATGTCCCTGGAAGCGGAGAGGCACCCAGTCAAGGTGATGGTGGAGACGTGCACTTGGGGTCAGTATTGCCATTTTTCGTGACGTTTGCGACCTTTACGCTCGCCTGGATGGGAAGCAGCAAGACAGAAAACCCTGATGCGACTGCGGCACTGCAGCAAATAGTCTCCGGGTGTTTGGCGTTCTTACGTGAGCGAACAGCTTGGCGTGTTGACAAAGATAAGCAAGTTCGACAGCTCGTGGTTTCTCAGCTCGAGTCGCTCGCGCTCACGCTCCTGCGAGCGCTCTCTATTCAGGACCTAATGCAAGTGCCAGCACTACGTGAATTGCTTGCGCTGGTGCCATGGCAAGGCGCTTGGAAGGATGTTGCTCTGGCCTGGATCCGCGTGCTGCTTGCGAGGCACGAGCGTGTTCGCAATGAGAAGCAAATGGACTTTTTGCTGCAGGTGCTGGCGCCACTTGTGCGGGACGACCCCAACGAGTTGCCATCACCATCTCCAGCGACTGCAGTTGAAGCTGGAAAGAACAAGAGCGCTGAGGTTTTTGAAGCTGAGCAGCAGACGCTGGCCAAAGTCGTGCACCTTGTGTCCAATGACGATCTGGACGTAAAGTTTCGCGTATTCTCGGTGGCACGTCGAGCATTCCTACAAAGTGGCGTGTTTCGTATTCGCTTTACGCTTGTGCCGTTAATCTACCAGTCGCTGGCGCTCGCTAGAGCCCTCGCAGCTCACTCCCAGGAGAAGACGCAAACCGAAGGCCAGGAGACCAAGGCAGACACAATGACAAGTGAATCCAGCGGAAGCTCCAACACATTTGTTACCACACCTCGCGAAGTTCTTCAGTTCGTGCATGAAATGGTGACGGCGCTGGCCTCCAAGCAGGACGCGCTGTCCGTATCGTGCGTCCACTTGTTTCTGCAGTGCGCCCTGGTGGCGGATGGATGCGTCTTTGAGGCAGTCGCATACGAATTTATCACACAGGCCTTCATCGTGTACGAAGACCAAATCACTCTTGCACGCGAGCAGTGGCGCGCTCTCGAGCTTATGGTGGCGTCATTGCGTGCCACCCGGAATCTTTCGACACCAAACTATGAGGTGCTCGCCACCAAGACCACGCAGTACGCAGCTCGCCTGCTCAAGAAGAATGAACAGGCGTTGATGGTGTTGAACTGTGCGCATCTCTTTTGGGTAAATGTTGTAGCGTGGAGTAATGCTGGTATCTCGTGCTTACATTTATGTATTCGTGGTTGTTGTCTGTGCGTTATTGGCATGCAGCACCCATCTCAACAGGATGGCAAACGTGTCCGGGAGTGCCTTCAGCGATCGCTTCGTATTGCGGATGCGATTAAGGACACCGCGTCTAACCAGGTGCCGCTCTTCCTGGATATATTAGAAGCGGTACGTTTGCCATTTGAAATGGTTTTGAGATCACTGGACTCAGTTCTGCCGACTATGATCATGCAGTACTTGTACTTTTATGAAATGCAGACCCCCGAGGTGACGCGCAACTACCTGGTGGGGCTGCTGGCTCTAGTCAAGGACCACTTGGACAATATGGAGCACGGGCAAATGCGCCGAGAGGGAGAGTTCCGTTATCGCGCCATCGTGCGCTACATGGATGTATTGGACATCGCGGATGATACCGTCTCCACCTCGTCGTCATCTTCGTCGCGGTAGTGTCCGCCCTGCTCTGCGTACTGTCACTAACGGTGATCTAATACTGAAGTTATGCGTTGAGTGCGCAGATTGTTTTCTTCTATCGTTGGTCTATTGTGTTTGTTGCGGTAGCCTCGGAGACCCGCTTTCCTTTGTATGCAGTACTTCTTCGTTTGTCGACTCAGGTGTGTGCACATTGGTGGGCTTGGTAACGACGATATCTGTGGTCGTAGACCACTTGAGCGTCAAGGGCTGGACCAGCAGATCCATGGCTTGCCACACTTCCGTCGCGGCGCCATCACATCCGACATGCAGCTCGATGTCTACTGATGGGTCCCGGAGTAAGCTTCGCATGCGTCTACCACCTGAACTGGCCGCCAGAGCTTGTTGGAGCTTGCCTGAAGTGCGCAACTCGCTCTCTCGCCCGCGAAACAGTGCGTTGTCGCCATGAAACACGACGCCCGACAAGAACACTCCAGTCTGCTCTCATGAGACCAACAAGAAAGTGGTTAGAGCAGTCGATACGCCAGCCAAACTGAGCTAACTTCTCACCGATAGCATGCGAAGAGCGATGAAGAGCTCGCTCAGTTCTTTACCAGAGAGGTAGTTGAATCGCACGACGACAGCAGCGTCGTGGGCAATCTGGATCAAAGCGGGTGCACACTCGTGAAGCGCTTTAGCGACGTGCTTGATCGACTGTTGAACCCTCGCGCTCTTGTGAAGGTGGTGCAGCCGTCGGGATGCTGCGTCTTGGCCGAAGAAGCTCCCATCCGAGCCAGATTGCGTCGAGTACACTGTGTCTCCAGTCTCAGCGTTCATGAGGAACCCCCGAGCCAAGGAGATGGTTGAGGAGATTTCTGCCAAGGAAGCTGCTGCCTCGTGATCCCAGCACAGGAGCGAGTTCTGGATGCCCCGAGCGCTAATCTCCATTACCAAACCGACGAAGTCAGTCTGGAAGGCGACGAACTCGTCCAAGGTGCCTTCACAGCCGTCAAACCCGCCCAAAGCGCTCGTCAACGTGTACTCTTCTGCCTTAAGCTTGGCTTGTTCAAGTCCCTCGGCAGCTACACGCTCGATGTCGGATCGATAGCTTCGAGCAAACTCCTGTAGGATGATCAAGCTCTTCAGTTGTGCGAGCTGCAGTGGCAGAACTTCGGTGGGGAAGGCGTTTCCATTGCATGACGTTGTTGGCGGTGTGGCGCAGATCACAGCGACCGAGATCTGAGCGGCCACGTCCGAGGACACCACGACGGTAAAGCCGTTCTGTAGCTCGAGGTGGCCGAACGACTGTGCCTGCGAGAAGTGGAAGAGGCTGGCGAGCAGCATGGCGAGCTGCGGGTACCGGAAGGGCAGCGTGTCGTCCTGATCCCACAGCAGGAGAATGCGGCCCGAGGTCGTCACGACCAAGCAGGCCACGGCCGAGGAGGAGCTTCCGTCGGGCATCCTTTTCAGCCTCCAGCCTGCAGGTTCGTGGATGGATCAGTGACCAAGCACACCTGTCCAAGCACGCAAAAGTGTGAAAAAAACTGCCATGCACGAGCTCATGCTAGCCGCTATTTCTGTTGTCGGTGTACACTGCGTTGACGTTGGCCCTCTGGCGAACAACGCCCCCACAGCTTTGCCTCTGCAGGTTGCGTGCACACATCAAGTCCAAGGTTTCTGACATCCATTCGGCGGTACAGACCGACCGACCTGCTGCACCACCAGAAAACGTAGCGACGCACTCTCGTTTCTCTCCTGTTGTATTTACTTGAATGTTGTCTTCTCCCTGATCAGCGACTGCCTCAACCGGTTGGCTGCTGCTGTCTCCACCCAGCACGCGCGCTTAGTGGGCGTGGTATCCCTCCTTCATCTGGTATCGCACGCCGCAGTACTTGCACGTCTGCGGGGTGTGGTGCTTGCGCGTGTCCAGCTGGATGTACTCGACCGGGTGGCCGAGCGCGCCGCCGCCGCCGTCGCACACGGCCACGGTGCCGGCCACCTCCACGATCGGCACCTTGGCGATCCGCTGCTCGGCGTCGCTGCGGTGGCGGTTCACGTCCTAAAACGCGGCGATTTAGGGATAAAACATCGTTAATTAGCGGCATTCGACCGGAGCTCCTCGCGCGCGACGCACCTCGTACGGAGTCTTGAGGTCGTAGATCGTCGAGAAGCTCGCGCTCTGCAGGCGGACGGCGGAGGCGACCGACGTGGCGGCGCGGGGGGCGCACGCGCGCGCCGCGGTGGCCAGGAGCGCTTGGGAGCTACGACGCAGCATCTTCCGTCTGGTGGTCCGTCCGTTGACTATGGGGCTGCGAATGTGAGGCCGTGTGCCAGCACTCGACTAAGTACGAAATGATTTTGGTGTGTTGTTTGATGTGCGTCACACAAGTGTGCCATTTTTCGTGTGTCAATAGGCTGGTCATGACGGCGCTGGCGGCGGAGGTTTTGGACGCTGCAGCGGCTGGTGGCGAGAGGTTGGAGGGGATTTCTGTGCGTTTATGTGAAGAATTCGCTTCTGCAAAGACGTTCCTGCAGTCGCGGCCTGCGGGCGTGTACACGTGTGCGAGAGCGACGGCCCTGTCGAAGGCGTCTACGAAGTTGTCCAGCGTGCTGGTAGAATGGTCCTTCCACTTGCAACGGCTGCGTAATGGTCTCGCCACGTTGGACAGCAGTTGCCATCGAGACAAGCTGAAGTTGGACAAGTTGCAGTCGGTCACCGAGCTGCTGGCGACCAGAGCACTGCAGCAGTGGCAAGCGACCGAGACTGTGGACGGAATGCTGTCTGTGCTCTGGTACTCGCTGCCCGACGCTGCAGACTACGCCGTCGCGGTGCATATCTGCCCAATGCCCACGCCCAAGTGCCTGGCATCCACGGTGCTGGTCTACGGCGAAGGCCGCGACAACGCTCGGTGCAAACACACGCAGTGGATTGAGGACCGAGTGCCCATTGAAGAGCACGTCGCTCAGCTGGTGGAGTCTCGAGGCGAGCCGATCCACGAGGTGTTGCTGAGCAAAGCTGGGTCTGGAGGTGATCGACTGCTGCTGGAAGGGTTAATCACCAACTTTTTCGCTGGTAGGGCGCTTGTACATTGAGTGGAGAGGAGGTAGGGGAGTGCTGAAGAAACTGACGCGGTGGCTTTGACGATTGCAGTGAAGGATGGCAAGCTGTACACGGCGGACGAAGGTGTCTTGGAAGGGAGCACGAGGGAGTTGGTGTTGAAGGCGTGTCGCGACCTCTCGATCCCGGTGGTTCTGGAGGCGCCCAAGCTCTCGGAGCGAGACTCGTGGCAGGCGGCGTTCGTAACAAGTACGTGGAACGTTTGGGCTAAGAAGTGACCGGCATTCGCTAACTGCTAGTTGGTGGTTGTGTGAAGGTGCTGTTCGTGTTGTTATTGATGTCACGCGTGTGTTGAGTGAAGAAGAGGAAGCGGGTGGGAAGGTGCTTCGTGAGACCTTGATTCCAAGCGACAGTAGCGGATTCACCCAAAAGATTCGAGACCAGATATCGTTGAGGCGCATGTACCTCGACTAAAACTAAGTGAACCCGATCGGTGATGCTGCAAAGGAGGCTCCCTTCGCGCAAGGTTATAATAAGACTTTCTGCATCAAGCCTTCGTCACGGAACGGCGGCGGCAGCAAGGATTTAACAGGGATGATATAGGTAGCACTACAGTGTAGATTGCATATAGGGTAATGAACAGCTTCGCGCCGAAGTCCCGTGTTGAGGCTGACGCTGGTTGATAAAACGTGCTTCGCTTTGCTCCTCAGGATTGTCTGCACATGTCGTTGGTCTGTGGGGCTTCATCGCGAGCGATCGGACTTGCCGAGCTCGAGGATGTATCGTCCAAGGAGCCGAATCGGACGGGAACCGAGGGGTGTTTCGGCGTCGAGTGTTTTGCTGAGTGGCGTGCTGGCTGGTGCTCGCCCGCGGCAGGGGCTGGGGCTTGCATCAGTGGGAGCTGGATCAACGGCATCGACTTGAAGAAGTCACGGCTAGCAGCAGCGGAGGCTCTGGCTGCCTCCTCCTCAGCCTCAAACACCGCCAGTTTTTCTTGAATATCTGCCATCTCCTTATCGAGAGCAGCGTTTTCCGCCACTATGGCTTTCTTCTCCTTGTCGTGTGCAATCTTCAGGGAGCCCAAGTCCTTCTTGGCCTGAGACTTCAACTGGCGCTCAAACCTGGCCTGCTCCATCCGCATGGTGTCGATCGTTTTGGCATGTTCGTTCTGCAGTGCAAGCACCTTCTGCGCATGCTGTGTCCTCTTCTGCACAAGCTCGCGTTCCAACTGCACAATCTGCGCCATCAACTCCTTTTGCTGGACCAGCAGCGATCGCTCCTCTTTGTGAAAATTGCGCTGCTTTTCCAAAACTTGAGCGGCAGCAGCAGAAATTTCCTCCTTACGTTGACGATCCGCCACAATAGACTTTTCCAGCTCCTCGGTGCGACTGCGAGCCCATGCCAGGTCACTTTCTGCATATTTCATGCGGACTTCGTGCTTCAGGTTCATGGTCGTGATCTTAGTCGTTAGTCGCTCCAGCTCGCTCTTTTTGGCGTTAAGCTCGCTGTGTAAGGCCCGACGCAGTTCAGAAAGCTGCTCTGTAGCCTGTGCGAGTTGCTCCTCGTACGAATGCTTTTGGTCATTTGCTGATGTCGCTGTGTCTGTATCCTGGGTCCTGGCGAGCTCGTAGGCATCATGGAGCTGTTCCTTTTCCTCCTGCCAGCTCTGCATGTGCTTCTGGTACTGACGAAGAACCATCGTGCCCCACTTTTGAATGGATGCGCGCACAGATTGCAGCAGAGCTGTCTCTAGGCTCTTGTGCACTGCTGGTCCACTTGCTTCTTGTGCATACTCGTCTAACGCACTCTGCAGATCCGACTTATACTGCGTCAGCAGGCGGATCAAACCATCAGAAAAGTCCTCTCGCGGTCGTTCAGCGAGTTCTGCAGCCATGTCCTCAAGGTTATGCGGAAGCACACGCTCTAGAATCTTCGTACAGATTTCAGCAGAGAGCGTGGTGTTACGCTCCAGCGTTGCTTGAAAGTCGCACTTTACTTGTGTTTCCAGCTCCGCTAACTTGTCCTTGAACGGCGCTTTTTGCAGCCTCTCCGGAAGGTTTGCGCGCACCTCACGAATATGCGCCATGGCCGTCTGGACTCCTCGGAAATGCGCAAGCTGCAGTTTGCGATTACTTAGAGCCTTCTGGTCGTCGATCACAGAACTCTTCACCTCTCCCATTTCAGTTGAATAAGCCTGTTTTGCCACTTCAAACGCCTCCCCCACTTCCTGCTCCAGTAGCGCATTCGACGCTGTCTGCATCGTCGGCAGTTGCCCAGCATTCATTGCGTTCACGTAAGCATCAAGCACTGCCACAAACTGTTCCGAGCGCAGCTCATGTCCCATCAACTTCTTCGTTGGGAGCTGCTGAGCTTTCTCCGACAGATAGTTGGCATATAAGTCATCAACAGCTTCGACGAATTGCGTCCGCAGCTCACTTCTGGCAGTCCCAGGTGGCACAACTTCCGTCCCATTGCCTTCCACGGCGCGACTTAGCGCCACGCAGTCCCTCGCGGGGAAATACGACTCCAGGTACATACGCAACATGTTCCTCCTCGTTGCAGCTTCCCCGTATCCTCCCTCGGGAGCCAGACACTGCTCGAAATACTCCATCGGCGTCAACTTTTGCCCTTCGGAGCCCTTGAGCCACTTGAGTTTAAATTTCCTGGCCAGCCAGACGAACTTGGGAGCGTGATCATGGAACTCACTAGCTGCAGCACAGGTAGCAGACACAACAGCAACAATAGGGACAGCTGTTAGTGTTTGTTCCCATGATATAAGGGTTTTCCCGCACTCACCGACGGCTTCTTCGTCCTGCATGCCCTTGATCCTGAGCACTTGAGCCACCTTCTCCACCCACTGCAGCCTCTCCACGGCCTCGGCGTCGATCTCTCCATCTGCATTGTACAGCAGCGCGGACGAGAGCAGCAGCAGCAGCGCCAGCCTCTGGTTCTCCGCTTGTTCGGCCTCTAGCGCCGCTCCAGTGGCCAGAACGACGCGTGCTGTGTCTCCATCCTTCCGTCCGTCTGCTTGAGGCAGCCACAGCCACAGTAACACGTCGCTGTTGCCCTCGGAAGGGGCGGAAAAGTCCACGTCTTGAGGCTGTAGCAGAGTGTTGAGCAGCAGTCGCTTGCCAGTCGCTGGAGCGCCGAATACGCCCAGGACGCCCACGTGCTGGGCGTGAATCAAAAGCAGAGCGTCCCGCGCATCGGATGAGACCTTCAGCACCGTTCCATTGTCGCTGAAAGTCGCGCGAATCAGCGGCAACGCGCGCCACGGAGCCGCCATCGGAGCTGCTCGTCGAGTAGAGAAAATTGCCTTTCTCGACTGATTTTGATTGGCAGAATGGGCGTCCTAAATGGGTACTTGGTACCAAATAATAGGTCTTCGATTGTCGATCCGACCCTTTACGAGTATCCAAACGACACGTAAGTAACTTTAGTGATGGAGCTCTCGTGGTGGGAGGTTCCGCTCTTCCGCGAGCCTGGATGGAGGCCCAGCGCCAGCCCCGTGCCCTACTTCCAGGGCGCGCTGGTGTTCATGACGCTCGTGTTCCTGTTCGAGACGTACCTGGACCTCCGCCAGCACCGCAAGCTGCACGACAAGCAGTTCCCCAAGCCCCTGGCGGAGGCGATCGAAGGACTCGGCAGCTACAGCGTCAAGAAGAAGGAGAAGAACGAGGAGGAGAAAGAAGATGAGAAGGAGAAGGATGGAGAAGACGAGACGCAGCAGAAGGAGGAGGAGGAGGAGGAGACGACGCTGCTGGAGGCGACGCGCACCAAGTTCGACAAGAGCCGCGCCTATGGCCTGGACAAGAGCACGTTCGGCTTCGTGAGCGGCGGCTACAACCAGCTGGAGGCGACGGTCTTCCTGCTGCTCGGCTACTTGCCCTTCGCGTGGACGATGAGTGGCAAGGCGCTGCTGGCGCTGGGCCTGGACGCGGACAATGAGATCTACAGGGCATTGATGCTGCTGACGCTCACGACGCTGAGGGACACGCTGGTGGGGATCCCCTTCGGACTCTACTCGACGTTCGTGGTGGAGGCCCGCCACGGCTTCAACAAACAGACGCTCGGACTGTTCTTCATGGACAAGATCAAGAGCTTCATGCTGTTCGTCGTCATCGGCTTCCCCGTCACGGCGGCCTTGATCTACGTCATCCGGTGGGGAGGAGAGTACTTCTACATGTACGTCTGGGCCTTCCTGTTCGTCTTCTCCGTCGTCATGATGACGCTCTACCCGGTGCTCATCATGCCGCTGTTCAACAAGTTCACGCCGCTGGAAGAGGGCGAGCTCCGCACGCGCATCGAGGCGCTCGCAGCGAGCCTCAACTTCCCGCTGACCAAGCTCTTCGTGACCGACGGCTCCAAGCGCTCCAGCCACAGCAACGCCTACTTCTTCGGGCTGTTCAAGAGCAAACGCATTGTGCTGTTCGACACGCTTCTGGAGCAGGCCACGCATGATGAGATCGTGGCTGTGCTGGGCCACGAGCTCGGACACTGGAAGCTCTGGCACACGGCGCAGGGCTTCGTGATCCAGCAAGCGTACATCCTGGCCTCGTTCTACGTCTTTGGCCTTTGCATGAACGACGCCGAGTTGTTCGCGAGCTTCGGATTCGCTGGCGACTCGGCCAAGCCCGTGATCATCGGCTTCCTGCTCTTCTCGCAGACGATGTGGGCGCCGGTGGAGCACGTCTTGTCCTTCCTGATCACCCTGAACACGCGCAAGAACGAGTTCCAGGCTGACGCCTTCGCGGTGGACCTTGGTCACGACGTTGCTCTCAAGTCGGGACTCACCAAGCTCGCGATCGAGAACCTCTCCAACATGAATCCGGACGAGCTGTACAGTGCCTACCACTACAGCCACCCACCTCTCGTCGAGCGTCTTAACGCCATCACGGCCCGTGCCAAGAAGACGCAGTAAGCTCGACGGCTCATGAAACAGCTAGTTAAACTCGCTAATGTCACGACACGACATTTCTGCTGCTTGCCTAGAGTTCTCTTTGATAAGCAAGTCATGTCATACGTAGTACTCGTTGAACCTACACACGCACAAATGTATTTACTTCAAGATTGACTACACTACGCAGCGCGCCGTGCTCTCCTGGAAGCAGCTCACATGTCTTGGTCTGCGTATCCCGACACACAGGAGAAGGCAACGGCCGAATTCTAAGCACTCGCAGCCGTACGCTTCGTTCGCTCGTGTTCCCAGTTAATAAGGGCTCCTGGCCAGCACGACGTAGCGCATCCGTGTCTGGTTCGGGTTGTAGATGATATACTCGCTGTGGTGCAGCCCCGTTCGCTCCTCCGGCTGGACTGGTTTGCCTACAGGCCACACGGCACCGTGAATGTCCACAACTTCTCCAGCAGAGTCCGGCCGGCACGATCCAACTCCTTTGCAGCTGTGGTAGTAGGCTCCTTTGGCACGTCCGCCGGCTCCAGTGTGTACAAACTGCTTCGCGTTGTCGTCCGAGTTCAGCATCTCTTTGCTCTCACCTAGCGCCACCTCGCTCAGAGCGAACACGCACTGGTTGTGGCCATTCGTCGGCCGGCAGTGGCAGTATGCCTGCGCTTTCGTCACCTTGTCCGTGAAGTACAGCCCTTTGCCGAAAGTTCGTCCATTCGACGCCACCTCGGGCGGCGCGATCCGCAGCCCTTCCGACAGGATGCCCAACCAGTTTGCCAAGTGGCTGCCGTGCCACAGAATCTATGGCATCGGAGCAAACCGCGCAGCAGCGGTTAGCGCCACCGCATTGAGAAACAAACAACACACAACCAGCAGCCATAGAAAACAAACCAACAGAAACAACTCAACGCCTTACCCGTCGGTTGGCAAATTTGCGGAAAGGCTCAAAGCGCGTCTCCTGCTCGGGCTTCTCAACGCGGAAGACTGACAGCAATTGCAGTCGGTCCTGCTTCCGCCCGCAGCAGTTCGAGTTGCGGATATACGTCTGAATTAGCGCAAAATCGGGATCCGAGCTCTTCACAGGTTGTAGCTCGCACTCTAACAAATCGTAACACTCATCCAAGTAGTTCCTCGAGGCACACCGCCGTGCCACCGGCTCGTGGGCCATCCCACGCACACTAGCTCCGACTTCAGCCATTAGCTGGATCTTCTTGCCTAGTTTCACCATTGTATCGATAACCTCCAGACGCGAGTGGTGCGGGATAAGTGAGTAAAAGTGGCTACTCAGGTTCGTCAACCGCGCCCGAGACACCTGTCGGCTGCGCAGCGCTTGGTAGATTTCCTCCAACGTCTCGTATCCCTGTCATCAGTACAGTATTTCGTCAGTGTAAGCTCTTGTTCACAATAGGTAGACCGCAGCAGTTGACGTACGCGCTTGATGGTTGTCTTGGATAGACGTCCGAGTGGCAGCTTCATGATGGCGTCACCCAGCAGGTCATCGGTGACGGTGTACGCGTACGACAGCTCCGTGTGATCAGCAATAAGCGTCAGGAAGTCCTGCACCTCGGTAGGCAATCGCGACTGTGGCGCAGTCGCACACGCGCAAGTCGTCGTCTCTGAAGAAGCGGCACTGGCAATGTCGCCGTCCGAATTGGCATACAGCCAGTCGAATTGGGTGCTCAGCGACCGTCTTAAGCCCGTTGAAGGCGTCGCAGGAATTGTAGAGGCAGCGGACGAGTAAGTTGTCCACATGGCAGCTCGTCGACGCTTGCGACCAGAAGACGTCAACGGCAGCGGTAGTGGCGGCGGTGACGTCGATGTCGGCACTATATCAAAGTCTCGGAAGCTGTCTTCGTTGTCCACCTCTCCCTGGTTGTCCGCCAGCGCGCTTGTGAGTGACTCGGAGTAGGGCGTCCCGGTGGAATAATCCAGCTCGATCCACGTGTAGCTTCCTTCCTGGTACCGCAGCGCATGGCGCTCTTCCCACTCACAACTAGTGTTAGACGCGAACAAGGTGCAGAACTCCAGCGTAACCTTCTCCGCGCTCGGGAAGGGGCCTGTGAGCGTCGTCTTGCCGGCGCATCCGACGCGGCCCGCTCTCGTCCAGAGGAAGAACTGCTTCTCGAACTCCAGAGCCTGCAGCGCGATGAACTCGCTGTGGTTGTTGTGCACTCGAGCCTGGTCAAAGCAATCCACAGCACACACAGCGAAGATCCAACGTTAAGCCTCTTACTATTCAACCTCCTCTAAAGCTATAGCTTTAGAGCCCAACAGCTCCGTAGCCACCTACCCGAGTGAGCATAGCGTCGTAGAAGCTCCCTGCGCGCCTCAAGACCGTCGCGCGGCGCTGGTAGGCATCGGGCAGATACGGGTCCGGCTTGATGAGCTGCTGCTTGTCCTCTTCGTCCTCCGTCTCCGTCTCGCTGCCGTAGTGCACGCAGCAGTTGGTCCTGCTACCATCATTCTCGCCTTCCTCCGCTGCGTCGTCGTCCGGCAGCTGGAGCTTGACGGCTTTGGCGCTGCGGCGCGACGTCACGCGCTTCTTGAGCGGCGGTGACAGCACCGGCAGCTGCGGCGCGCTGAGCTGCGAGCGCGTGCTGGCAGCCACGCCCGAGCGTGCCGTGTGCACGCGCGGCAGGTTGAAGCGGCGCGAGCGGCTGGGCGTGGCGGGCGCCGGCGACGGGTACGGGAAGGGCGAGGAGCTCATGGCGGCGGCGGCGGGCGACGCCTTCTTAACGGAGGCCGCGGACGCGCGGCGCTTCTTGGCCATGACGGCGGATGGGCGGCGGCTTGTGGAGCTCGAGGCGCGGCTGGAACTGAACTGGGGAGCGTCGCGGCTTTCTCCCTTCTTCGGCTCTGGCGGGTCTGCCTGCTGGTCTTCTGGGTCGGGTCGGCACGCGGCGCCGGTGCACTTGAAGTTTGTATGGCTCCATACAGACACAAGGCGAACGGTTTGCAGAGGATCGGTGTTCTCGAGTGAAAGGACGGAGAAAGGGAGGAGCAAAGCGCACTGTGCAAGCCCACGGGCGGCAATGTATTGGCGTGCCCAGTTTTAGTATTATATGACACGACACTTGGCTCGTATGCTTGCTTGCTACGCCCGAGATGTAGCTGGCGTTTGCGGGTCAATCACTTGGACAAGCATTGAAAGGCATCCCGAGCGAGCGGACGCCAGTTTTTGGACGGCCACGAACACGCACTCGCACTGGATCGATTCAATCCTCGGAAGGAGGATAGGTCCGGCCACGATGCCAAAGAAGTCGGCCGCAACGAAGCAGCGCAGCGAAAAGCGAGCTCGGGCGACGAGTCCGGCGTGAATAGCGAGTGAACCATTGCCAGACGCACAAGTTGCCTTTCAACTTGCACAAGTCGCATGTTGAAGGCGAACTCAGATCTGATAACCGTCCCTACTTTACGCTTTGGAGATTTGAAGATCGTCGATGTCATTGGCTGGAGCGACTCGCATTTCAGCCAATGCTGGCCCGACGTCACAGCGTCGAGGGACCGTAGTGACCACTACCGCATTTCATACACGAGACGACATGGCGGCGGTCGGCGCCGTCGTGGACGCCGTCTTCGGCTCGTACGACGTCAAGAACGCCAAGCAGTGGCGGGACGAGGACCTGCTGCACCGCGAGCAGGAGAAGCAGTGGCGAGAGGACTCCATCCAGCGCGAGTACGAGTGGCGGCGAGCGGACCTGGAGCGCGAGCGCCGCGTCATGAAGCTCGAGAACGAGAAGCGCATCATCGACGCGCGGCATCGGCAGCTCGCCGCCGTCTCGCAGATGTCGGCGCTTCTTGCAGGCTTCACCATGTCCACGATTGTGGAGGTCCAGATCGCAGACGCGACCAGCCAGTCAGTGATGATCGCGTACGGCGCCGTGTGCGCCCTAGAGGTCCGCGACTCGAAAGACATGTGACGAGGCGATGCGCGGCACACACGGTGCTTCGCGTTGCTCTTGTTGAAGTAGTTGACGTGCATAGACTGACTTGGATGTGTTGCTGCTGCTGTTGATGTTGCTGCAGTTTATAGTCATGTTGATGTGCATGCTGACGTGTACGGCGCTGCTGCTGGCGCTGACACGGTTCGTGACGCACACACTGGAGGGCGAAGTGCACGCGCTTTCGTCCCTGGAGCTGGACGTGGTGTCGCCCTTCTACGGCTGGTGGCTCAGCAAGTGCGAGCGCGAGTGGATCATGGCCTACCACCTTTTCCGACTCGGGCTGTCCCTGTTCCTCGCACAGGTGGCGTTGCTCGGCTGGGCAGTCTTCGGCGAGTGGGTGGCCGCTGCCTCGTGTATGACGGCGCTGTGCGTGCTCGCGCTCGCCTACTTGGAGCTGCGTGTTGCCAGTCGGTGGAGATATCTCGTGCGATTTCCAGAGCAGCAGGCGCCAGCGTCGCCTACATCAAGAAGGCCGACCGACGCGTCGCCGCCAGCGCCACCTCCTCATTCTCTAACTCCATAAACAAGTTCAATTCGAAGCAAGCGCCCAAGCAGGCGAGCAAGCAAGCGCCGGGGCGCCAACCTGTCTTGGCTGCATGCCTCTGCGACATTCTGGTCATTTTCTTGTGGCGTGGTGTATGCCCAAACACAATCTGAAGTATGCGGTCTCACAGGTCCATACAAACACCAAGGTAAATCGATACTCGCGTAATCTAATACATTGCACGCTAAACGTCATCGCTTTGAGCCGGTGGTGAAGGCAGCTCGGTCCATTAGGCGAAAAGCTCGGCGGACCGCAGGTGGATCCCTCTCGCGACAATGGCAGACAAGTTCGTGGTGCACAAGTTCGGCGGCACGTCCGTGGGCAGCGCCGACTGCTTCGCCAAGGTGGCGGACATCGTGTCGGCGGTGGAGGCCCCGCGCGTGGCCGTGGTGGTGTCGGCCATCGGCGGCAAGCCCAAGGTCACGGACCTGCTCATCTCGCTGCTGGAGCTGGCCAAGCAGCGCCGCACGGCCGAGTGCGACGAGATCCTGGCCACGCTGCGCAAGAAGCACCACGACGTGGTGAGCACGCTGCTGCCGCCCGAGGTGGGCGAGCCCATCGAGAAGGCCATCGAGCGCGACCTGCAGTCGGTCTCGGAGCTGCTGCGCTCGATCTCCATCATGCAGGCCTACAACGAGAACGTGGTGGAGTTCATCTCCGGCCACGGCGAGATCTGGTCGGCCAAGATCCTCACGGCCGTTCTGAGCGAGAAAATGCAGAGCGACGGCAAGAAGCACCGCTTCCGCTTCGTGGACGCCCGCGACTTCTTGACGGTCGAGCCGGACAACGAGCACGGACCGGTGGTGCAGTACGAGCTGTCCACGCAGAAGATGCAGGAGATCCTCAAGAGCGGCGAGGACGGCGAGCTCACGCACCTGGTCGTCACGGGCTTCATCTGCAGCACGACCGAGGGCGTCATGACCACGCTCAAGCGCGACGGCAGTGACTTCACCGCCTCTATCTGTGGCCGTGTGTTGCACGCCAGCAGCGTGACGATTTGGACGGACGTGAGCGGTGTGCTGAGCGCTGACCCACGCCGCGTGCCCGAGTCGCAGATCCTGCCGGAGATCTCCTACCAGGAGGCCATGGAGCTCGCGTACTTCGGTGCGAAGGTGATCCACCCGAAGACCATGGCGCCTGCTATTGTGGAGGACATCCCGATCTATATCCGTAATACGTTTGAGCCGGAGCACCCGGGCACGAAGATTTCGCACCACAAGAAGGTGGAGCTCAAGCGCACGCTATCGAACGGTGCCCCCACGGCGCGCAACATCGTCAGCGGCTTCTCCACTGTGGATGACCTCGCGCTGTTCAACATCGAAGGCAGCGGCATGGTCGGCGTGCACGGCACGTCTTCGCGGCTATTCAGCGCGCTGGACCGCGTCAAGGTGAACGTAGTCCTCATTGCCCAGGCCAGCTCAGAGCACTCGATCTGTTTCGCCGTGCCCATGGACTGTGCTGAGATCGCCAAGGACGTGATCAACGAGACGTTCTTCAAGGAGATCCACGTCGGACACATCGACAAGGCCGAGTACATTGCGCCGATCAGTATCATTGCGGCTGTCGGTGACCAAATGAACCAGACTCCTGGCGTGTGCGCTCGCTTCTTCGGCGCTCTGGGCCGTGCCAAGATCAACGTGCTGGCCATTTCTCAGGGATCGTCGGAGCGCAACATTTCGGCTGTGGTGCGCTATGAGGACTCGGCCGCTGCACTGCGTGCCGTGCACTCGTCGTTCTTCCTGTCGGACCAGACCCTTTCCATCGGCCTGATGGGCCTTGAGTTCGGCGAGGACGAGACCAACAGCATCGGTGTTGCTCTGCTGAAGCAGTACCACCAGCAGCGCGAGTTCCTGAAGCAGCGCTTCAACGTCGACATTCGTGTGCGCGCTATCGGCACCCACATTACCTCGAAGATGCTGCTGGACTTCGAAGGCGACATTACGGAGGAGGCCCTCGCGGCGCGCAAGGACGAGTTCGTGCCCTTCGACCGGGATCAGTTCCTCAACCACGTGTGCGCCGACCACCTTCCGCACTGGCTCATCATCGATGTCTCTAACAGCTCGCACCACGTGAAGGACCTGTACCCGCAGTGGCTAGCCCGCAAGGTGCACGTCATGACGTCCAACATCAACGTCTCGTCGGCCTCGACGGAGCAGCACAACGCTATGCAGCAGTTGGCAGTCGAGAACGAGCTCACGTACGACCCGGAGGCTACGCTTGCCATCGGTGTGCCCATTTTCAACACGATTCAGAACTTCATCCAGACCGGTGACGACATCCAGCGGGTGGAGTACTCGGGTAGCCGCTTCTTGCACGCCGTGTTCGACACCGTGTTCGCTCTTGATGAGCCGGCCAAGGCTGACCTGGGAGCTATCATGAAGGACCTCATGGAGCAGTACAAGAACGAGTTCAGCGTGCGCGACATCGTGGACGACGTCATGGGCGTGCGTAGCGCCAAGAAGGCCATCATGATCGCCCGCGAGATGGGCTTCGACATCGACATGAAGGACGCCGACATCGAGAGCCCGTGGGAGGCGAGCGCTACGGTGGCGGGAAGCCAGGACGAGGTCGGCACCTGGAGCTACGACTTCTTGCTGGAGCACCTCGTGAAGGCGAGCGAGCCGTTGAAGCAGCAGATCGCCAAGGCGGCGGCTGACCCGAAGCAGGCCCTGCGTCTGCGCCAGATGACCTACATCGACGCGATCACTGGCAAGATCTCTGTGCGGGTGGAGGCCCTGGCGCCGACGCACTCGTTTGCGTCGCTCAAGGGCCGCCAGGGTGGCTTTGGCTTCTACACGCTGCGGCATTCGCTGCACCCCGTGGTGGTCACGGGCCCCATCGCAGACTGCTCGATCACGGCGGGGTCGCTCTTCGGCAGCACACTGTTCCTGGCCCGGAATTGCGGCGCACGCGCCCACAACTGCGGCCACAAGCCGTGCAAGCCTTCACTAAACAAGAAGTAGGCGAGCGCTGAGTGACGAGGCTAGAACCTCGGAGCTGTTAGGTATGCACATGAGCGTCAGTACATAGAGAACCATAACGTCAAGAAGTGCCATGTTCATCAACCTCTTCAACACAGCGCTGCTACGCCTACTCTATACCTGATCACAAAAGAGAAAGCCCCATGCTTTCTCGATAAATACTGACCTCGCTGCAGCCTTACGGCAATGGCACGCTCATCCGGCTGCCACTCTTGGAAGGCTTGACCAGGTATCTCCAGCGACTGGCGATCCGCAGGTTAATGTACAGCAGCCCGCCCGCGCAGAGCACCGAGATCAACACGGATGCAACCGTGGACCTGACGAACACGATCCAGCTCACCACTCCAATTTCGACCAGGAAGAACGCCGCGCCGGCGCGGAAGAGCTGGTACGCCAGCAACCACTCCTGCTCACACTTGCCGGCCCACCAGTCCGTAAAGGGCGATACGGAGTCCAGCTCGAGGTCCGAGAGCTGCCGCACCTCGCCGTCCAGCGTGTGGGTCACGAACCGCGTGAGCGCCAGCAGCAGCAGCATGCAGGTCAGGGTGCACAGCAGCATGCACAGGAACTCGAGGCATCCGATTGTCCCGTAGACGATGAGCAGCGGTTGACTCGTGTCGCTCTGCAGCGACTTGATCTCCTGGATGAACATGATGGAGAAGAAGGCCAGCATGGCCGACAGCTGCGAGACGGCCTGCAGCTGGTGGTGGCGCGCGTCGATCAGCCGCTTCTCGGACTCGAGCTTGGTCACGCGCCGCTCGCGCTGCAGGTCGGCGCGCCGCCACTCGCTCTCGCGGCGGAAGGCGTCCTCGCGCCACTGCTTCTGCTGCTCGCGGTGCAGCAGGTCCTCGTCCCGCCACTGCTTGGCGTTCTTGACGTCGTACGAGCCGAACACGGCGTCCACGACCGCCGACATGGAGCCCGCCCGCAATGCCCAGGAAGCGCCGATAACTAAAATGCTGGGAATTTTGGCCAATTGGAGCAACGCCGTGTTCAGCTGGACCACCAGCGTCCTCCAGCAGAATCTTCATGGAGCCGGCGGGCTACATGTTACTGGAGCTCTATCGCTCCTCGCGGCATTAGGCTGCATTAGCTCGCTCGACAGCGTGGCGCTGCCGACGCCCTGCGCAGGACGCAATCTCCGCCGTATATCAGGTCGCCGTGCCGCACTCGACGAGTCGCTCGTCGCCTGCGTTACTTCGCATGTATGTCCGCTTGGCGCTGGCCACCACGCTGGACAGTTAAGTGAGTTAAGTGAGCAGCTTGCGGTGCGACCAAGATAGCTCGATGCGGCGTGTTGTCAAGGCCGCTGCACCTGGCTGCAGCGAAACAGTCCGGTCTGGACACGGCGAGCTGCTCAAGGTCGCAGAGAGGGTTGCGGCGCGCTGGCCCCGTTTCGAGATCGACTGGTGGTGGCGCCGCCAAAATATTTGAGCCCGAGCTCGCACATGCGCAGAGGATTGCTGTGGCTCGCTGCGCACGAGCGCAGCCGACGCTCCACCAAAAAGTGCGCAGGTATCTAGTCTTGGCAGCGTTCCGCAGAGGGAACGCTTGATAAACGCGTTCGTCTACGGAGCCTGGTATATCACGCCGAGCGGATTTTCCCTGCAGTTCGGACAGAGAACGCCTCGGTGAAGCCAAACGTTCGAGCATGGAACTCAGAACGCCGCTTGGGGCGGATACTATCCGCTGCGCCCGCCGGATAGCAATCTAGCTCGATCTTCAGCTTTTGGGCCGGATGACGATCCTCAGCTTTGCGAGTGAAGTTTGCGCCACGTCACAACGACCACTTCGGATTGGAAATCCGCCGCTGATCAAGCCGAACGTATCAGCGAACGTCGTCTTGCTCTATGGGGCGCTCTATCGTTGGCGCATGATCGAAGGCAAAGGCAAGGGCGAGCAGGAAGGAAGGGACTGCGCCTTTGCACGCTTTGACTGCAGCACGCTTGACTCACATGTGAGATCGGGAGTGTGTAGGGCAATTGGCGCAACGCTGAAACGATGCGACTCGCCACGTGTTTCCCGAGCGCCCGCCGCAGGATAAGTGGGGAAGAACACGAGGCCGAGCGCCTTCGCAGCAACCAGCGAGCGAGCGCATGGGGCCCCCTCGTCCTGCGCTATTCTCGGCCGTCATCTCGAGGCCCTTGTGCGAGGCCGGCCGATTGTTTGTCTGTTTGGGCGCGTCTTTGCAGCAATTTGCGGGCATAGTGAAATCAAGTCACGACGCGACGTAGGGCTCGGTTGAAGTCGAGCAAGAGTGACGGTCCCTTGTGCAACTCTCCACCTGTTACTGCCTCAACGGCATGTACCCGGCGACATCCTGTCACTACCGAATCTGCGCGCTGGGCCACAGGGCGCGTTGACTGGAGCAATCGCAACAACAGCAGGAAACAACAGCAGAGCCATTCCAGGCGCACGATAGCAACATGGCGCACGGCAGGGTCTCGCGCGCGGTGGCGCGACTGCTGCGTCCGTTCCACCGCCACCAGAGCAAGGACGTTGAGGCGCCGACCAAGCGGCAGCGCGGCTCCATGACGTCCACGACCACCTCGTCCACGTGCTCCACGACGTCCTCGCGCAGCAGCGCCGGCAGTGGCGGCTTCCGCGCGTCTGCGGGCGCGCGCGCCTTCACGTTCAAGACCGACGGCGACGGCATCCCGCACTCGGTCATGATGCCGCCCGCCCTCTTCCGGCAGATGCGCGCGCTCACGGAGCAGGCGGCGGCGCTGAGTGCCGGCGAGCAGATGCGCGCAAGCCACAAGGGCTTCGAGCCGTCGCTCTCCACCTCCCGCACCACGCTTCGCTGGAGAGGCGACTTCAGCACCAAGACACTCGACAAGTTGGTCATCATCCTCACGGAAGACGACTCAGACGGCTTCGCCAGCTCGATTGGAAGGCGTTCGGCCAAGCAGGTGTCGCTGGACACTGCGGCCAAGGCGATGCTCCAGCTTTGGACGGACTGCATGCAGATCCTTGACGTGCTGGCGGATGGGGCCGCGCCCGAGCCGTCGTTGAGGCACACGGTCGCCCACTCGCGGGACCTCGCGATCGCTGCGGCGGCGGAGAAGCGCCGTCAGCTGGAACAAGCGGCGTTGACGCTACTGGCCCTCGTGATCAGAAGACACGAGTTCGATGCCTTGCTGGTGGCGGCTGGTCATGGCGGCTGCAAGAGCCACAAGCCGACGGACGAAGCGAGGCACGGCAAGGGTCGATTGTCGAGACGGTTGTCTCGCACCTCGCGCCGGTCGCGCAGTGTTTCCACCACCGCCAACAGTGGAAACCGTTCGTCGCTGTCCTCAAAGCCGACTCGACATTCGAGGAAGAGCGAGCGCTCCGGACAAGACCGCAACGCGAAACTCTGCGACCTGGTCCACCGGTTCTTGGAGCTGCACCAGTCAACACTGCATTATGCCTTTGAGACGGTGCATGGGCCTATCGACTCCAGTGACAGCAACGCGGAATTCAACTCGTTCGACCCGCACCAGGAGGTGCTGTCGGCGCTGGTAGCGACAAGCTACGTGCGTGTGCCGCGACTGCGGAGCCACATACTCGACAATCTGAGTAACCTGACGCCGGCCACTTCATTCACTAGCTCGAGGTCGGTTTCGCTCACATTCTTGAGCTCTCGTGCGCGCGGCAAATCGTTCCTCGAGGACAAACTGCGTCTGACGCCGTACAACTGGCACTTCACCATGTACCCTCAGTGTCAGAACTTGCTGGCGACTGTGAACCGAGAGGACCGTTGGGCTCCCTCGGTGCAAATGCTGCACCAGCTGATGAGCGACACAGATGGATGCATGCTGGTTCTCGCGCAGATCTTCAAACAACTCACGGGTCAGCAAGTTTTGGGACGCACCGACTGGAAGAATATCCCTGGTGCGGACGTTCTCAAGGACGCGACCCTAGAGATCACCAAAAGTCTATTCCAGACGGAACTTCAGCAGCGCGAGCCGAAGTGGCAAGACTCCGTCGAGGAAAAGGTTGGTAACGACACTGCGTCCGCTAGTGAGAAGGAGCCTCAGCCGTTCCGCGATTCCTTTTCGCTCATGGACGGAAGTTTGGAGGAGATCGACACCCCGACCGCGTATTTCGCTGTCCAGGTGACATCAATGATGCACGAAAACGTCGGATTCATCCACGAGTACTTGATGACGATCCTACGAGCCACCAACTACATGCTGCCGCACCACGTGATTCTCTGCCTGCAGTACATGGAGAAGCTGATGCTGGAGTTCCCGGCTTTCTTCGTGAATGAAGCGCCTGCGCAAGATTTCCTGGCGTTGTCGACCATGGACACCTCCAATCCTCGCAATCAGCCGCAACAGGAACACTCATGTGCCGATGTGGACACGCTTCGCTACGTGTTTTCGTGCTTGCTGGACTCGGAGCACTTCGAGATCCTCAAGGCGACGGAGCTGTTCCTGCTCAAGAACTTTATGGGACTTTCGGTTTCGCTGCAGCTGCAGCTAACGGATCTGTTTGCGACGCACGTCAAGAGACTGTTCCTCCACTGGAACCGCGACGTTCGCTACTGCTTCTACCACATCCTGCTGTATTTGACGTACCCTGGCAACCGCCTGGTACTTGGCGCCCGATCGGATGAAGCCCTCATGGGAGCGGAAGCAGCTCGGCTGTTCGAGATCCCTGGGCTTGTGCGCTCCGGCGGCGCCGCGAGCTGGGACGCGTTTGATGTCCCGCTTCAGCAGATAGTGACGCGCTACACTCAGATGACGAAGCGTAGGCCGCGCGCCCGGCACACGACGTCCTGGGTGGATTCAGTGCCGTGGACCATCGTGCAGCGCTCTGTCACCGAGTACAAGACCCACGTGAAGACATACTTCGCCTACGCGCAGCAGATTTCGATGCACCAGCGCGTACCCACCCCTGTCTTCTCTGTCAAAAGCGGAGAGGACGTCCCTTCCCCAGCCGCTGCCGACCGACCTCGGCAAGCGGCAGTACTAGCCTGAACATAGTCTAGGATAGAGTATCATGCGCAATGTCCAAGCAATGCAAGCAAGTAGTATCACTATCAACCCATGCAGCAACGTTCGATCATCGAAAGGCAACTCCACTGTTGCCTTTCGGTGGTCGCACCATTAGTCCGAAAATCCACCAATCGCAGCAGGCGGTTGCTAGCCGCTCATCACTTCACTTCCGTTGTGCCCATGTTCCTGCGTCGGACTGCGCGCGCGTTCTCGACCGCCTCGGCAGGCCGCCGCGTGCTGTGCTCGCTGCAGCAGCTGCGGGATCTCGACGGCAAAGGACTCAAGTTCCCTCTGCACCCGGCGGAGCCGAAGAAAGCGGAGACGACGACTGATGCGACGACGACTGCGAAGCCTCGTCGCCGTCGAGACCTGACGGCCACTGGCTTCGTTTTCTTCAACGAGAAGACGCAGCAACCTCGAGCGTTTATCAACAGGTTCTTTGAGTGGACTGGACCGGTGCGTCTAGCTCTATTTGAGCGTATTCTGATGGCTCTGTGACCTTGAGCAGGTGCCCGCACGCCATGCTGGAGCTCGACTTTGACGACAGCGACTTCTTCTGCGAAGGTTTCATCCACTGCAAAGTTCACGCCGCGTTCTTTGACCCCGACACAGGCATCTGTCTGCAAGGACCCATTTCCTCGCGTAAAGCTCTGCGGGTGAGAGAGACCATGAGACTCGGGGTAGCTGATCCTACCAGGGCTAACCAAAATTCGTATTCGATTTCTTGGGGACAGGGTCTGGATGAACTTCGAGTGGAGATCGACGGTGACAATGTCGTGCTGCTGGCTGAGCAGGCCAAGGAGAGGTTTTCGTCGATGCCCTCTTACGACAGCCAGGAGCCGGAGGCGTACAAGCTCGAGAAACAGCGAGAGCTTGCAGAGGCTCTTTCAAAGCGGTCGGAGACGTCGGAGATCGAGGCGATGCAGCAACGTTTGCACGAGAAAACCATGGCAAGAATGAAGCAGTTCGAGCAGAAGCAGAGGGAGGCTTTTCGCAAGCCTAAGGAGTAAAGGGACTGCCAAATGCAGCTATCGCGAATCTTGGTGATTGCTGTCAGCTAGGTTAACATCAATGCAGCAGTATTTTATGCCTTACTTGCCACGAGCCAAAGCGTCAGGTCGCTGCCGATCTTGGCTGAAAGTAAATGTACTCAAGCAGCAAACACACGCACTTCCAAAGTGCCGTTTCAACTCAGACGAAGCTATCAATCTGGTTACACTGCAAGATCGATTTGAAAAGCAGCATAGATACTCGTTGCATCAAAGACGGCGACCCCAAGCATCAGTTTGCTGGGGTTGGAGTGACTCAGCTCGAAGCAGAAACAGCAGATCCTGGCTGCATACGGGGGAGTCGACAATCGCTGCGTGTCTGGGCAACACTGAAGCCCAAGCAGACTGTACCACAGCCCAACCCAAGCAGCCCATGTGCAAGGCAACTTCAACCGCGCGACGCCACTCGGAGCAAAAGAAACGAAGGCGAGCCGCTCGAATCGCGTTGGATCTGCAAAATGTCCCCATGAAACGCGTTCGTGCAGTCAACGTCGTGCGCGCTGTTGCGGATACAGGACCGATTCGATTGCTATGTGGAGATCGTGCTCATGCTACGGCAGCCGTGGACCGAAGCGTTGCGGTGATTTGAGCCCAAGGAGTGCACGCGCTTGTACTCGACAGGCTTCCGTCTTCAAGTTGCTGTCCGACTCGCATGTCAATCGGCGGCACTGGAGGGTCAACCTCTGCTTGACGCGAATGCGATGGCGACGGTTGTACGTCGATGTGGTACATGTTAACACGGTGTGTCGATCCAGACCCAAACAAACACCAACCATTTGACCTCGCGCAAGTATGGCTGGCCGGTGGCCGGGTCACTGGTCCCGCTTGCAGTTCGGCTCCCGGCGGTGTGCGCCACGCTTTGCCTTGCCGAGCCAGCCAAGCATGTCTGCCCGAGTGATGTGCAAATTGCAATTCAGCGGATTTGTCTGTCTCTGTCTACAGTTTGCTAATGCGACCGACTGTGCAGGCAACATAATGTCGCTACTGTGCCCGTCTTGAGGACAGACCCATACAATGATTCAACAAAGGTTTACGAAAAATACGGGCACAGCAGTGCGTCTTACTTCAACCTGTGTACGAACTGTGTGCACGTACGTCGGCGTGTCAACGCTCCAAATCTTTCACTCAAAGAGCTACGGGACCACGCACGCCGTCCGATTCTCGCCATTCTCACTCTTCCCTCCTCCAGCAGAGACCCCCCTAGAAGACAAGACAGCCATGGTCGCCATCGCGAACGACAAGAAGGCCAGCACCGGCGGCGTCGTGGCCGCGCGCCTGCTCGGCTCCACGTGCTCGGGCCTGTGCGAGCTCATGATCTTCCACCCGGTCGACACCATCGCCAAGCGCCTCATGACCAACAAGGAGCCCGTGCGTGCCCGCGCTATCCCCCGCTCGGCACTGTAGATGATGATAGTCTCGCTCACGCTCTCTTGTATCTCGGTCTGTCTGTGTCTGCAGATGCACGGCATGGCTGGCCTGAACAAGGTCATCTTCCGCGACGCGTACGAAAAGCCCGTGTTCGCGCGCTACCGCTCGCTGTTCCCCGGCCTGGGCTTCGCCGCCGGCTACAAGGTGTCGCAGCGCATCTACAAGTTCGGCGGCCAGCCCGTGGTCAAGGACTACATGACCAAGAACCACGCCTCGTTCTTCGAGCACACGTTCGGCGAGCGCAACGCCAAGACCATGATGCACGCCACGGCCGGCAGCCTCATCGGCATCGGCGAGATCGCCCTGCTGCCCCTGGACGTGCTCAAGATCCGCGCGCAGACCAACCCCGCCGCTATCGCTGGCAAGGGCGTGGCCCACATCTTCAAGACGGAGGGCTTCGCCCTGTACCGTGGCGCGGGCTGGACGGCTGCGCGTAACGCGCCCGGCTCGTTCGCCCTGTTCGGTGGATCGGCTCTGGCCAAGGAGTACATCTTCCAGCTGGAGGACTACAACAGCGCCACGTTCTTCCAGAACTTCGTGGCCTCCATCTCGGGTGCCTCCGCCAGTATCATCGGTACGTTATTAAAACGTATTTGCATTATTGTGGATCCTTGCTGACAGTACTTGTGGTCAATGATGTGTGAATGTGCAGTGGCGCAGCCTCTTGATGTGATCAAGACGCGTATCCAGTCGCGTCCGTTCGACTCGCCCGAGAGCGGCATGACGGTCGTGCGCAACCTGCTGAAGACCGAGGGCCCTGGCGCTCTGTTCAAGGGTTTGATCCCCAAGCTGTCCGTGGTCGGCCCCAAGCTGGTGTTCTCGTTCGCTGTGGCACAGCATCTGATCGCGCACTTCGAGAAGTCCTTCACCTAGACTTTGACTGTCAAACGGCACCGCCACCATGTGCAGTTGCGATGCCAACCCGCGGGCGATAGAAGGGGGAGAGAAGTCGAGTGAGCTCGCACACACATGGCGACACACTCATGTTGCAGTGCGTGCAGCTGACCGTCTTCGTTCTGCTCGTGCTCATTTTATAAAGACGCGCTTTGTTTGTTTTGCTGGTGCCTTAGCGTACGTTTGCAGCTCGCATGTTTGGTGCAATGGCATTAGCTACGTATCTTCGCTCTATGACTATATTAACGCTTACTTCAACACAACGCTCAGTAGTGTGCGGACCAGGACGAGCGTGACGCCGCCAGCAGCAGTAACAATCGTGAGCAGCGCGAACGCAAGTTTCCACTTCCAAAGCCTTCGAGGCTGCTGCGCGAAGGCGTGCTGCGGGAAGTAAAGCTGCAGCACCGACGCCAGAGACTCGTGTCTTCCTACCGGACTGCCATCCGGACGCTCTACGCTCGTGGTCTCCAGCAGAAACTGAGCTCGCAATCCGTAGTGATCAGACAAGTGTGTGATCGGCAACTGAGGCTGGCGGCGACGAAGGCGGCGCTGGACATGGTCGCTCTCGTCGCTGAAGTCTTCGGCCTCGCTGTCCTCAGTGAGCCCGTCCACCTTGCAATGATCCACCGTCGTCTCCTTATCCACGATAGTGAGGCGGAAGCGTGGCGAGACTACCGAGTCCAAGCTGCCGCGGTCTTCTTCGTCTTCATTGGTACTGTCGGTACTAGTACTTGTGCTAGGAGGTGAGACTGCTGCGGCAGGTGCCTGGTCGTTGACGCCCGGGAAGAAGAACATGTAGTCGATGCACTTGCCGTCCTTCTCGGGCGAAAGCGGGTCCGTCTTGTGCACAAGCGAGGAGTGGCCATCGCCGTTGGTGATCGGGTGGAGCTCATCGCCCAGTTTAGTGGCGTCACAACGCTTCATGAGGTCGATAAGCAAGGGTTCTCCCGTGTGGTCGGCATCAACGGTCTTCCCTGCTTCACGTGCGACGTTCAATCTCGCCTCGCGCACCACACGCTCGAAGTCCGCCACAAGTTGCTGGTACACGTTACTCTCTTTACACCGCGTCGATATCGCCATGCCAAACTGCGCGTCATGGACGAGGTTGTGTCGTGCATCCAGGTTGAAGTCGCCCGTGATGAGGACGGGGACGCCCGGGTCGTCTCGGATCGTTCTGACGATGAAGCGGTGCATCTCCTGGAGCTGCGCGAGACGGATGGTGTACTCCTTGCGGTTGTCACCCGCTTGGGTGTGCGTGGTGAACACATGCAGCGAGTCCGACAGGTCCGGCGATAGCTGGATGCGGGCGTAGAGCACACCCTTAGCGCAGATTCCGTCGCTGCCGGAGCCCTGCGAGTACGCGAGTTGGTCGCGTTCGACGATCGGGAAGCGGCTGAGGATCAGCAGGCCGCCGTCGATGAGGCGGGAGTCCAGCAGTCGCGGCCACACGGAGCCGCAATGGTACCGGAAGCCCATGGCGTAGGCCTCTCGCACGAACCGCTTCTGCCTTGGTCCGGCCTCGAACATCTCCTGGAGGATCACCACGTCGAACTTGGCGATCTTCCGGAGCAGCAGCGCCACTCGCAGGTCTTTGTAGTCGCCAGACTGGAACCACTGGCCGCTGTGGATGCCCTCGGGGCGACAGAAGATCTGCTCGAATGCATCAACAGAGCTCAGAGTCGGATTCCGTCCCGAGACTTCAAGCAGCACTTGAGCACACAACGTAACGTACGTTCATGCTGAGCACGGCGAGACGCTCCTGCACCTTCGCCATGGCCGTCAAGCCAACGGAAATCAACGGGGACGAGCAAGGAGAGATTCGACGCGCTGGAGCGTGGAGGTTCGATTGTCCCGGGAGATCCCTGCGACTGCCGACGAATGGAAGACTGATGCCGTTTCTGCAGCACCGGGCTCGGCCGTTACCCGGATCGGTTTGGCAGCTTTGGGTTGGTCGAAAAGGCGATTTAAATTCCTGGATTGGCTAAAACTCCTCGCGGGACTCGGCACATACGTGGCGCTCGGTCTCCGCTGCGGCGTCAACGGGGACTGGCACATCCAGTTGCCGCTGCAATGTGGCCAGTGTACGCTGGGCCTCGCAGACTTGAGCTTCGCGTGTCTCGGCCAGCTCGCAATACTTGGCCACGAAGGACAATTCCTGCCGCTTGGCCGTGATCTCGGCTCGCAGCTCCTTTTGGCGCTGGGTCAGCTGCGCCTCCGCGAACTTGAGCTCCCCAGCGACGGCATTCACTGCGCGCGTCTGCTCGCTTTGATGCTGGATGAACTCCGCCGTCTCCAGCTCCTGCTGGGCCTCAAACGCTTCGATGGCCTCGACAGTGTCGAGCGTCTCCGATCCTGAGGACAAACAACAGACAGACAGGCAAACGAGAACGAAGTCGCGAAAGAAACTTCGATGAGCGAGCAGGATCTGCAACCACAACAACAAGACCAAACTGCAGGCAGCTTACCGACGACGGTCATTTCCTGGAGCACGGCGTCGATGTGGCGCTGTCGTGCGACTTCTTGGTTGCAAATCGCTGCTCTCTCGGCGAGGACAGCGCGGAGGACGTGAGGCTGCACGTCTTCTTCCCAGGACAGAATGGAGTTGTTGCTGCTGTCCTCGCTGGTCGGCAGCTCGGGTTCGTCCATGTTGAAGTGCGCGGTCGTCATGACAGCCTCAGCATCCACGCACAGACCCGCCCCATGCCGAGCGCCATCGTGCCAGTGCCCAATGTACTTGTCTCCGAGCGTGCCAACGTAAATGCCATACCCACTCGCGACGCCGTCACAGAATTCGCCCGAGTACGTCGTCCCATTGGTCTGCAGCTCCACACCCGCCCCGTGCTTCTTGCCATCCGTCATAGCACCTGAGTACGTAGCTCCAAAGACCGATAGGAGGACACCCGTGCCGTCAGGAACGCCGTCTGCAGTAGAATAGCAACAGTTAGTCCAGCATCTAGGAAGGTTAACTCCGTTGCAAGCAAGAACGCACCGCCATTGACCTCTCCGTGGTACGTCGACCGATCGGCTAGTGTCACCGTCGCCACCTTCACAGTTGGAGTCGGTTCTTGAGCCTGAGCTTCACCCTCTCCGCAATCCTCTATAAGGGCTTTACTAGCTCGGGTAGCCACACTCGACCCCGGTCTGCTTCGGCTGCTGCGGGCAGAGGCAACCGCTTCACTTGCCACGGAGTACGTCGCCATGTTTGTTGCCTTTTGGAGCCCAACTCTCACTACACTGCAGTGTACGTCCTTTCGAGGCACACCTACACCTCTATCTATGGATGCACTTCAACTTGCTGGTACTGATGATACGCCATTCATTACCCCCGCCGAGTTGCCTGTCAAAGGCAAATAAGAAGCCCCAAGCACCAAACAAAAAGACGGACAACAACAACGGAGACTCACACGGAGATGGCGAACAGGAAGCCTGCGCGCTCGCGAGCTAGGTACGTAGCAGCAGTAGGGAGGTAGTGGGCGTGCGTGTGGGATCCCGAACGTTGCAGCCGCGTTGCCGCGAGTTTCCTCCGACGTCTGTGGGCTCCGATATCTCCGTCTTAACGCCATGGGCTTTGACTTGGCAGATCCGACGAGGACGACGCGTTTGGGTGGCAATTGTACCACGACCGGCAGCGCAACTTGCTCTACTACCTGCACAGCTACACTGGGGAAGTGCGGTGGCCTCGCCCGGAGACCGTGGGCTTCGTCATGCACGGACTCAAGCCGCTGCCTGCGCATGCTGCCGCAAGGGTCGGCACAGACCCCAGCGTCGTCAACCCAGACATTTGGAGCCCGTACTACCCGCATGTGGTCATGCTGCCCTCCGGGTTGATGCAGGTGCACCCTGGCCCGGGGTCGGAGAGCCAAGGCGCGACGGAGATGTGGTGCGGGTACAACCGCTTCCCTCTTGCGTACTTTGGGGCCGCTGCAGGCAGTGGAGACTTTGCTGGACAGTCTGGGGCTGCAGGACCGGCGGTCATGTCTTCAGGACCGAGAACGCTGCCGCCTACGTGGGAGGAATCGCCTAGTGGCTCGCCATTCCTGCCTCCATACCCGGTGGCCATTCTCGGACGTGACGATGCAGAGAACAAGCGGCAAACAGCTCCAAGGCCCCCGCTTGGCCACATCGACGAGCACTTCCACACGCCCGCGACCGATGTTCCACGCAGCTACCAGCACCTTCAGACCGGCGAGATGGGGCGAGTACAAGCCGCGATGGACTGGTCGATGGTCACTCCTGGAAACACCAGCACCACGCCGACCGCGCCAGCCCCCGATCGCAAACAACCAGGTGAGTACTGTAGTTATATATTCTTGCTCGGACTTGCTTGTGCGTGAAGTTCTGATTGTCCGCTGTGCTTGCTGCGGGTAGCTTACCCGAAGGGATACCCGGCGCCGAACACTGCGCCGAACACGGAGAAGAAGGAGCACAACCGCAAGGGGTATCTGCTCCGCCAGGCGCGCAAGATGATGCGCGACAGCAGCGCCAGTGCAGCCACTGCAACACCCACCGCAGTATCCAAGCAGCGCAAGGCGCAGGAGGTCCCATCAGCCGCCAAGTCGAGACTCGATGCGCCGCTCGTCCAGGAAGACAAGCAGGAGCACTTCACCCCGTACGGAGACTACGAGGCCATCTCACCGCTGCACTGCTAACGTTAGACGCGCGGCAATTCCCACCAAGTGAGAACCAATCTATTTACCCCCCAGGGGGGAGGCCACGCAGGCTCGGGGCCATCGTGCCGAGCCGCCGACACCATCCGACCTGATAATTTTGAATTGAAGTGAGACCATACGCACCTAAACCGTACTTAGCATCCAGCCAAGCAATAATGCTGCGACGAGCTCTCGCGGCGACGTGCGGCCCTCGGTACTGACGCGCTGCTGGCGGCTCCTGCGAGCTAGGGGCGGGTTGCAGACTCAATGATGCACTCACTTGTGTGTCGCTGTATGTTGCCGCAGCGTTTGCCGCTTGTCGGCGGTGCAGACGCGAGAGAAAATCACGGTTCCGGCGGCAGGCGGCGCAGTGCGGCGACGTCGTCTCAAGCCCAAGCTGCCCCAGGACAAGTGAGTCGCTGACTGAAAGGCGCAGAGGAGTTTAGACAGCTGCACAGTCACTGGAAGAGCGCTAATGGCGGTGGGCTACGTGGTGGAACAGGTTCACGGCGCTGTCGACGGAATTCCTGGACCGTGTGCAGAGTGCGATGGAGCCGCTCCACCCACCGGTCAACGAGGAGTTCCAGCTCGAACGCGACAACAGTGCGTGCTCCACTCTTGCCATCCTGTTCTGGGGTGTACCATGCATGCTGGGAGTTGTTTCGTGCTAATGTTCGTGTGTGTACGACCACCGGAATAGATGCCGAACTTGTTATCCGCAGCAACGACAAGGAGTTCGTCATCAAAGTGCTGTCTCCCAAGCAGCAGATCGAGTTCACGTCTCCGGTGCGTAAGGATGTGGACATCTCGTTGTTAGGGTCTCGACTTACAGCACCTTGTTTGTTCTTCGTCGTTGCAGGTGTCTGGTTTGCGCACATACCAATGGAATGGGATGACCAAGAGATGGGAGGACGAGGTAAAGCTGCTCTCCTGATGAAGTGTGGTTAGCGGTGCTATACTTACTCGGTTGTGTGGTTTAGACCGACTCGCACGACATTGAAGGACTCCTCACCCGCGACTTGATGCGCTTTTGCGCGGGAATTCCGCTCTTTTAGACCATTTACCATCAAAGCGAAGGCACCGACGCCGATGGCACTTCTGCGAAGCAGCTAAACACCGAATTTACGCCTCCGTAGACAACACATCGGGCTTGAGTGAAGACGTTCTACTTTACGAGTGCCCACGCACCAGGCATTTCCATCCTTTTGATTTTTTTTGTGTCGTTTGAGCCTTGCTTGCTGTGTTCGCTGGAACCTGAGCCTATTACTCCAGCGTCTTCAGTAAGCGGAACAGCCCGGCTGCTTCGCGAATACGACTAAACTCGATACAAAAAGCCTGCACCTCGATGATCAAGTCCTGAGTAAAGAACCAACGGCAAAAGAGTAAGTGACCCCGGCCAAACTAGCGTCAGGACCACAATGACAGGTTGCGGGACGTACCTGCACGTTAATGATCTTGTTCCGGATCAGCGACTGCAGGAACACACACACGAGGCGCACAAGGCGGTTCTGCATGTACTTGTCCTTGATGTTCTCGCACGAGGAAATGCAGTTGGAAATGTACAGGTGGATGAACTCCGTGGGCAAGTCCACTGCCGTTGTCAAGCGATTCACGACCTCCATCGAGTGTAGAGACATATCCATGTTCACCAGCGCGGACAGGTATTCTGTGATCTGGTTGGACGACATGAGCTTCAGCAGGCAGTCGATGGCCAGCATGGGGTTGTTTTCCACTAGATCGGGCAACCTCTGTGGCGTTAGTGAACAGTGATACACGAGCTTCGGGTCCGCTTCAAGCTCCGCGAGCACCTTCTGCTGCAGTGACGACACTAGCGGTTTCTGAAATGCACGCAGCATCAGCTCGCGCAACGCGATGCCGTGTGTCGAGTCCAGCATCGTCGAGTCCCACAGCACCGTGGGGCAGTAGTCCGGGTTCAACCAAATCAACTCGGTCATATCTGGCTCTAGAATCGGCGGGGGGAGGCGCATGAACGTCGGCTCGAAGCTCAACAACGACAGCGATCCCGTGGACGATGCGCTCGCAGCTGAACTGGATGCAGCAGCGGGCGTACTGGTCGAGGCCTCCGCTTCGCTAAGCAGACTCATCTCTTCCAGCGAAAGCGCCTCAAAGCACGGCAGATTGAGCGAGCTGACTTCGTTGGGAGGTACCTGCAAGTTCGCGCCATTGTTCACGTGCTCCTGCAGGTCGAACTCCGTGTCTGTCACCACATTGCGAATGCCTGCTGCGCGGAACTGCGGCACGGACGGCGTGCGCTCCAAGTAGCTGTTTCGCATCGCCTCCACATCGAACTGGACTGGCTGCGACGGGTTCGCTCGAAACTCGGCCATCAGCTGCTTGGCCGTCTTTTTACTCGACTAAAAAAATACCAACAAACAAATCTGTCAGTGTCCTCCCGACCAATAAAAAGATCTTGAACAGTTCGTACTTCACGCGTGGCGCCGGTAGCCGACAGCAGGTGCACGATGAACTTCTTCTCGCACAGGTCGCTGCCCTTCTCCAGCGCGTCCAGGAACACGGGCAGGAACGGGTTGGTCGTTGTGCCTTCATTGCGGTACAGATCGCTCAAAATCGAGAAGCTGACGATGCGCTGAAGATCCGCAACACCAGAAGAAGAAGAAGAAGAAAAATGCCACAACAAGCAAGAGTCAGCACCCCGCCTGCAGTATTTCCAGCAATCAGCGGCTATATCGCATCGCCTCCGTCGCCGCACCTGGGAGCTCGTGAGCAGGTTGTCCTGCAGCAGGATGCAGATGGTGCAGCCCACTTTGAAGTGGTCGTTCTTGGTGAAGGTGCGCAGGAACACGCTGGCCACCTGCTCCAGCGGCTTGTCGTCCTCCTGCAGCAACATTCGGCAACAGCAACACAAACAGAGCGTCATCAGTCTCGATTAGACACCACATGCGCCATTTCTATCGGAGCAAGAGCGCCCAATAGCGCCAGGATATCGCAGAGCGGACGCTGGCAGCTCCGCGCCCGCTGGCTGGCTGGTCCATGGAGACGCACATTGAGGATGGCCAGGAGCGGCCGCAGCTCTCGGATCTCCAGCATGGGCGGCAGGGGGGAGGGGGGGGCGCGGACGGGGACGCGGGCGGACGAAGCTTCTCTCCTAGTGCTTGCGTGCTTTGGTGCAGGGCCTTGTAATGGGAGGAGGCGGCGGATGCGAACGTAAGGCGTACTTAGTAGTCGACACCAGAAGTGACACAATCATTTCCGTCTGGGTTGACACACGAGATCGAGCGATGGTGGAATCTGCTGCTGCTGCGTCTCTGCTGGCCCGCGTGCGGCCGTCGTGCGCCGCGCTGGTGGCGCGCGAGTCCTCGGCCGTGCGCGTGAATGCGGACAAAGTGCGCGTGTTCGTGGAGGAGCTGGACGCCAAGGAGTTCGAGCAGCTCGCCGAGCCCATGAACTTCCCGCTCAACTTCCGCTCGCAGCAGGACGAACTCAACTTCCTCAGTGCGTTGGGGCTCGAAGCGGCGTCGTGCAATTGGAGGCTGCAATTCTAATTTTTATTGCTGTTGCTGTGCAGCGCTCTATGCGCTGCTGAACTTCGGCAGCGGATTCCGCAAGGACCTGCACAAGTACGCGGATCGCGGAGCTCACGACACCATCGTAAGTGGATCTTTGTGCTAACTAGAGGGTAGTGCGGGCACCGTTAGGCTAGTTTGCTGATTGTATTGGTGGTGGCGTTGCTGTGCAGGTGTTTGGGCTGATTGGCATGTACATTTCGGTGCCCAAGCTGGATGCGCAGTTCATGAAAAACCTGAGCATCGACCTGGTGGCGTCGTACTTCAGCATCCCGCTGGAGAAGGACGAGGAGGTCTCTCCCGGTATCTACATGGCTAAGCCGGTGCGTGTGCCAACTCAGAGTACATGTGTGTAGGATGTGTGTTGTGTGCAAATGAGTTAATGATGATGCTTTGGTTGTCGCGTGCTGTGTACCGATCCAGGGACCATTGAAGCCGCTGGCTGTGATGCTCCAGCAGGTGAGCGATGCCCAGCGAATCTGCCAGTAACCTTTGCATTTTGAGATCTAACGCTGTCGGTATGTTTTTGTTGTGGTTGACTATAGATTCTGAACGAGTCCGGTCAGAAGCTGCTTGACCTGAAGATGGATGATTTCGGTGCGTTCGTCTTGGCCAACCTGTCACCGAAAAGTGACGATGACTTGGAGGAGAAGGAGGCTGTTGGCCCCAGTGCCAACGCCACGTACCTCGGTGACCGGTTTGTGGCTACATTCCCGGGCTTCGACGACCACTACGAGCTCGATGGCGAGAAAGTATACCTGCTCAAGCGCGCGCAATTGGCCGTCGCGTGCATTCACCGCCGGTTCAAGGTAAGCCAGCGATTTGTACATGGCAAGGGTTGCTTCAACACTCTGATTATTTGTATTCAATGCTGGACGACAGGATTCCGACCCGAAGCTGACGTTCGCTGACATCAACGAGCTCACGGCTTTCAGCGACAATGTGTTGCCGTGTGTGCTGCATGCTCTGGGTGTTCTGGAGGTACGTGTTCAAGAAGTTGCAACGTGATCTTTGCTGGTTGGTCCCTGTCTAACAACAAGTCCCATGGATCGATCCACGATAACAGTACGACGCGGAGCTGGAGGGCCGTATCAACCGCGGCGAGGAGCTGCCTGCCGGCCGTCAGGACTGCGAGCTGCGCGCAGCCGCGCTGGTGGCCTGCGACCAGATCGTGGAGGCGAGCAAGGGCCGCATCAGGACCCTCGAGCTGGACTTCTACCTCTGGCGCGTGGGCAAGGAGGAGCGGTTCCGCGGCCTCGAGCGCCACGCCACGCGCGACACGTTCTTCTACTAGTTGGTCTACAGCGATCAGAACGAGAGGACACCGCGTCATATTTGAAGAGCAGTCATCGCTTTCGATCACCAAAACCGAGTTGTTGCTCCTGTTCACGTTGCAGTCCTCGGCCGGTCGGCGAGCTCACTCCATGCAGCATAATTTTTCCAGCGCGGCTGACTGCAGATGCTCTCCCGGGCACTTCAACACGCTGCGGCTCGGATTTGCAGCTCGTGTGCCAATGCTCGCTCCGCTCGGCCCTGAGACGACGGCCGCCGCGCCTGCAAACACGCGCAACGCGCCACATCAGGCGCCGCCAGCAGGGCGAGCAAGCGACGGCGGCGCGGAGCCCGGGACGGCGCGAAAAGTATCGCAACTCAGCAGCGCCGCGCCCAAGCCTTCCCGAATCTTCTCGTCTCCTTTTCTCTGCCCAGCAGCAAGATGGGTACCCGCGCTTCACTTGCCTCCACTATGCGGCGAGCGCTCGGAGCATGCAGAAACGAGTCCCGCCGCAGCCGGCCGCCGTTACCATGGCCCGAGGCGCTCCTCGCGCTTCCCTCACTCGGGCATTTGCGGCAAGAAGAGAGGGGGCCTCCGTTGCTGCGCTGCGTGGATCGAGAGCCTACAGTACCGTACAGGGGCTGACACTGCTGCATCAAGTGGAGGGAGAATCAGGTCGCAATTCAATCCAACCCGCTCGTCGTCGGCGTACGGTATCAGAATTTCAGCGTGTTGTCAATCGCCTGAGCGGTAGCGGCCTCTTCTCCTCCATCCACCACCTCTGGTTATCAACTCTACCTAGTGCATAATGGGCGATGTGGGCGTCATGCATCGCGGACTCGCGTGGTCGGCGGAGCTCACCAAGAACATTCCCATTCCCAGTCCGGACCGTCGAGCAGCGCTGGCGGCGGAAGTCACGAGGGTTCCTGGACTGCCACTGCGGCAACGATCGCTCGGCGCGATGCCCGGCTTGGCGCGCTATCGCTCCGACTCGGCGGCTACCGAGCCGCGGCTCAGTGTGTGCAGCACGTCGGGCACCGTCTACGAGAGCGTTGTGGTCGTCGGGCACATGAACGGCTCGGACAACGTCGTGTACTACCTGCTGGAGGTGCGGTCGTGGGAGATGCCGCTCGAGGGCTACGTGGTGCGGCGCCGCTACAACGACTTCCGCAAGTTCCACCACGAGCTGGCCAAGTGCATGCCCTCGCAGCGGCCGCGCAGCAGCACCAGCGCGGGGCTCTACTACTCGTCGCTGCTGTGCAATCCTCTGACACGGGCGACGCCCGAGACCTCGCCGCTTTGGTCGCCCGCGAGGACGGATGACAGACGCGCGGCCAATGGCTCGGACCAGCGGACGTGGATCAGTGAAGAAGACGACATCCAGCACGTGGAGGAGAGCGACACAAGGAGCAACGCGCCCACAGCTGTGACCGAAGCTGGTTCGTCGAGCTACAACAACAACGCGGTGCTGCCGCTGGATGCCGTCAAGTTCAACCTCGCAGGACGCCCGTGGCTGCCTCCGATGCCCAGCGGCGGCGTGCTCACCATGTTCAGCACCCGACACGCGCTCATCAACTACCGCATCGAGCAGTTCAACCACATCCTGGCAGCCGTGATGAGCGACAAGTCGAGTGACGTGGCGAGGCTGCTCATGAACTTCATCCAGGAGAAGCCAGGCACGCAGGCCCAGACGTACACGAACCTGTCCGAGTACGCCCCCATCGACATCCCATTCAATGTGGAGCGGTACGCGCGGCGGCGGGCCATGTCCATGGGCAAGCGGCAACTGCGAGATCAAATGTCCTCGCCCGTGCCTTGACCAGCCCGGACCAATAGTGGATAGATTAGCTGTGTAATGTATGAATGAGCGCTCGGATCTCTTGAGGTGTGTAGCCATTGTCCCCCCTGATGTATTAGCAAGTACGTGGCACTTCAACTAGCAAAAGTATCCATTGAGGCCAGCCGTTGCCTGCCACATGACGGATGAATTGGGTTCGGAATCCGCTCCATGGGTAGAGCTCATTAGCGCATCGGACGTGCAGGAGGCAAGCGATGATCTTCCCGCTGTTATTGATCTGGACGGCCAGTCTGCAGGCTTGCGCCGTGCTTGGAAGCGACGCGTACAATGTGATCGTGGTGGGGTCTGGTCCTGGCGGACTGGTGGCGGCCGAGTATCTGACGCGGCAGTCGGACGTCTCGGTGCTTCTGCTCGAGGCTGGCAACGTGTCGCTGCAGAGCACTGGGGGCTCCGACGTGCTCTCGTACTCAGCGTCCGAGGGCTGGACCACGTTCGATATCCCTGGAGAGTTCGACAACACCATCTACAACGCCGAGAACGAGGAGTACCGAGCCGACTGGATCAACCTGTCGTCCGTGTGGCTTGGCAAACTGCTCGGCGGCTGCTCGTCCATCAACGCCGTGCAGTACTTCCGTACGCCCGACTCCTACGTAACCAAGGCCTCGTGGCCATTCAGTGCCGACGTGGTGAACAGCGGCTTCGATGCGATCGAGGAGCTGTCCCCATACACGGAGACGCCGTCTGCTGACGGTGAATACTACCTACAGGAGGCGTTTGACATCGTCAGCTCCGCGCTGGGAGGTGCGGGGTACGCCTTCAAGACGCTGAACAACGAGGAAGCCCGGAATGGTAAGAACAGCACGTACGGCCACCCGCCGTACACGATCAAGGGTGGATTGAGGAACTCCCCGGCCAAGACGTTCCACTCCGAGATGGAGGGACGAAGCAACTTCAAACTGCTCGTGAACTCGAAGGCACTGTACATCCAGCAGACGCAAGGCAACGCCACTGGGGTCGTGTACCAGAACGAGGCAGGAGACTCGGTCGAGGTGCCGTTGACCGAAAGGGGTGTCGTGGTGGTTGCAGCTGGAGCGCTGGCCACGCCGCAGCTTCTGATGCAGAGTGGAATTGGGCCTCAGGATCAGCTTGAGGCGCTTGCCGCGACGGGGTCATTTGATGGGGTTGGCGGCCAGGACGCGTGGGTGGTCAACAAGGCTGTGGGCAAGTCTGTTTTCGACGCTGCGGTGGTGTACGCCTCCTTCACGCACGCTGGGATGGTGCCGTTCCTGAATACCAAACGACCGGAAGACGCCATCGCACAGTTCGTGAAGAACCAAACTGGGCCGTGGGCTATCCCCGGTCCGGTGTTGACAGCCTACGAGACCATGGAGATCGGCGGCCGAGAGTACGAGCTCCAGACGACGGTGCTTCCTCACGGGTTTGGCGACGCTTACGAGACGGAGGAAGCGTACACGCTCGCGTTGTTGCTCAACAATCCGGAGTCGCGAGACTATATAAGTGTGGACGGAAATGCGTTCAACGTGGCGACCAACGGATCTTGGTATCTGTCGACTCCGGGCGACGTTGAGGCCATGGAGGCGTACGCTGCCAGGATGATCTCCACCATGACAGACGCCGGGTCCGTATTCCTCGGCGGCGCCTCTAGTAGTGGGGAGGTGGATATCGCAACCTGGGTCTCCGATAACGCTGGTAGTGTGAGCCACCACTTTGGGGGAAGCTGCTACACAGCGGCGGATACTGCGGACGATGCTTCGCGATGCGCGGACGCATCGTTTCGAGTCATTGGCACCCAGAACGTCTACATCAGCGACGCCAGCCTCATGAAGGAGGGGACGGTCAACCCGTACGCCTTCGTGATGTACATTGGGCACCAGGCCGCCAAGAACGTGCTCGACGCGGCGTTCGGCGTCAGCGCCGACGCGGACCTGAAGACGACCGGGTCGTCGAGTGGCAACATTGATAGCGACAGCAGCGCGGCCAGGAGACTGTCGGGTGCGACCATCGGTTCTGTCGTCGCTCTTCTTGTTGTTGCATTAATCGCGCTGTGATTAACTCGCTCTGAGAGATATCCTACCCAAAGATATTGCCAGAGCTCGCTCCAGTACATGTATTATTTTGCGCGCCAAACCCACTGCTGCTGCCTTTGGCATCCACATAACCACAGATGCCAGTGCTGGAGATGACCTTGAAGTTTGGTGGTCTCGCCATCCGATTGCCGGGAACAATACACACTGGTCGGATATTGTATGGGTTCACCGCCGTGGTCATGGTCGCTCGCGGACACGTTACGCCACCTTGCCCGTATCGCAGCCTCGCCATCGAAATGAGCCTGCTCCGCACGCGTGCTTCGGCAGACGCGGCTGGGCCCCCCAGCCTGCGGTCTACAACATGAGCGGCTCATGTTTCCTCGCGTTGGCGAAGACATGGCTCAACTATGTACTACACAGGCGGTGCCACTGAACAGGTGGACCAGACATTCAGATAATCCTCTATTGAATAATTCATAGAGACACAAAGACCTCTTTTATGCAGTTTTCAGAGAGATATTCCTATTTGGAGGTCATAATTGTAGAGCATTCAAACAAAACTGAAATTGACATCGATTCACGTGGGGCAATAAAAGAACGTAAATGTACTCCAGCTTGATGTCGCACTGGCTGCAGCAAAAACTTACTCTGCCTTGGCTACAACAGCACCGAATATGCTCCAAATATGCTGTTCTAAACGTTGCTAACCTCTTGCGACGCCGTCATCTTGATCGGAAGGAGCAGTGCGCTTCGGGGGAGGAGGTTGTCGATCACCGCAACTGTTGTTGAAGTCTAGTTGGCTAGCCAATTTATCTTTATCATACGCCGCGGGCGATCATTGTAACGGGGTTACATGGAATAGTGACCCTGTCACTATTCCGGGATGGCTACATCGGTCACTCCCCTGGATAGTGACCCAAGTGGCCTCAGAGCCAACAGATACAATTTGTATGACACAAACTATAGGGAACTTAGGATTTGTATGCAGGCCAAATCTGTACCAACCTATAAATACATTCAGTCTTAGATCTACCGCTTTTCAAGTCAAGTCGTCCCCTTCAGACCAGGGACACGTGAACGGCTGTTCACTTGGAGTTTGTATACTCCTGCTTCCTCTGTTAAGAAGTGCTGTGTGCCCCGTCACACTTGGTAGCACTTGTTGTCAATCCTACGCCTACGCGGGTAGATTGGACTACCTGAATCCTCTGTGGTCTCATCGAGTGAGCCAAGATGGGTTGTACGGAGTTTCCCGATCTGAACGACTCGCAGTACGAGTCCGTTCGTAAGATGGCAGGCATCTTTGGGACAGATGCCCTGCGTAGCTTAGCGGCGGCGACGCCGGCTGAGCAGGTTGAGCGTATCAACGCGTTCGACACCTACGAGCGAGGGCTCATCGCCCACGTTCAAGGGCTGCAGGCCACTGCGGCCGCGCTGAAGCCGGTGTAACCGAAGCCCCTGCGGCTGAAGGTTCACCCCTTCGAAGGGAAGGAAGGAGAAAACATTCACTTCTGGGTTCGAGAGGTTGAGCTCGCGATGGACGCGGCTCTCGTCTCGGACGAGCGACTCCGTGTCGCCTTTGCGCTCTCCAACCTTAGTGGTCGCGCTAAGAGTTGGGCGTATACGCGCGAAGCGACGACGCCTGGATGTTTCGCATCATGGTCCCAGCTGTGCGAGCAGCTGCGGGCCGCGTTTCTTCCGGCGAACTACGAGTACCGCCAGCGTTCGCGCTTCCTCGCCTGCAAACAAGGAATGCGCGAGCTGCATGAGTACATCCAGGAGATGCGAGTGCTCACTGCCTCTTTGGTGTAGAACCCCCTGCCTGAACACATCAAGGTGACCGTGTTCATGGACGGTCTGCGTGTCGGTCCTGCCCGCACGCAACTGTTCCGTGTGCAAGCAAACACTATGGAGGAGGCGATTCAGATCGCCCTCCAGGAGGAGTACAGCCACAAGCAGGCTCGTACCCCCGCCACGGTATGGCAGAGTAACCCTGCCTCTGGCGGTGCGCCTAATGGTAACTCCGGCAATGGAGCGATCAACGGGCCGGTTCCCATGGATCTGGGCATGGCCGAGCAGAGCGACATTCGTTGCTACGGCTGTGGCAAGCTTGGGCACATGAAACGTGCTTGTCCCGCGGGAGGACTGAAGAAGAAGCTCTCTTCGAAGCCCTTTGGCTCTAGAGAGTCTCGGTACTCTCGAAGCGGAGAAGGGCAGCGGTGGGCTGCTTGTGGTGCACGCGAGTGTACCGGGATACGATCATCTCTTGAGAATCTTGATCGACTCTGGGGCGTCCAAGAACTTTGCGTGCCGCCAGACTGTCGCACGCAATCGCGACAAGTACGCCGATGCGCTACGAGGCAGCAAAGGCAACGGGCTGGTCTCGGTAAGACTGGCCGACGGTACGGTGGTAGAAGTACCTCGGGTCCACATGGACCTCACTGTCAAGTTCGAGGACTTCGACAGCACGGAGCCGTTCTTGGTCCTAGACATGGACAAGTACGACTTGATCCTTGGCATGCAGTGGCTGGAGAAACACGAGCCTTGGATCGACTGGCGCGGCAAGGCCATCGGGGCCAGCCGTCCCCCACGCTCTGACAGAGCTTTGGTGAGTCATGTTCCCACCTCTGGCAGCAGCTGGGGCGCCCGCGAGGGCCGCCAGGGCGCAGCAGCGTCTAATGAGTTCTTGGGGTCCGTCGAGACTGACGACGACTCCGACCGGGCCGGACAAGGCCTGAGAGTGGAGGTGCCGGACAGCACCTACCAGGTGGGTAACGTAGGTCCACACGCGGGTAACGAAGTACCGCAGGCAGCAAGGGCTGCAGGAGAAGGCGCCGCTGGCGTTGGCGTGGGTAACCAAGTTCCACGCGAGGTCACTCAGATCGTAACTGATGAGGAATGCACTGCAGGCGCTTCCGATGTGGGTAACATAGTTCCACAGGAGGTCACTCAGACCATAACTGATGCGGGAGTCGCTGAAAGCGCTCCTGGTGTGGGTAACCAAGTTCCACACGGCGAGGTGGGTAACATAGTTCCACCCAGCAAGGCGGGTAACCAAGTTCCGCTCAAGGACAAGGCGGGTAACGTAGTTCCGCACGAGATCGAGAAGATCGGTGGTGGCGCCACGAGACGAAGACACCCGAGGGTCACGTCGTAAGCCGGGCCTAGTCGTGTGGCCGACGACGCCAGTCGCCAGCGACTCCGAGCCTCCAGCCAAGGCTCCAGCCGCCGAAGAGTGTTATCACATCTTCGACGGCGTGACCGGTAGTCGGGTCAAGACAGGAGCTGTCGAGCTTACAGCTCTGCCCGAGGTTTCAGAGTTGCTGAACCTTGAGGAGCTCGCCATGGAGGACTTCTTGGCCGAGCTAAAGGCCGGGGAGATCGCAGAGTTGGTTCTCCTCCGACCGGAGTCCACGTCGGCCGAGTTGAACTCGTCCTCGGTCATGGACCAGGCAGTCCTGGAGGAGTTCCAGAGACGGCGCGTGTCGCGCATGGGCTCTGAGATTCTTAAGAACCCCCGGGACCCGGTGTACCCCTTGGTGAAGAAGTTTGAGGACGTGGTGTCCAAGGATCCACCGTCCAATCTCCCTCCGGACAGGGGGATCAGGCACGAGATCGATCTCGTGCCGGGCACGAAGTACTGTGTCACGAGGCAATGGCCTCTTCCCCGGGAGCAGTGTGAAGTCATTGATGCCTTCTTTGCCGCCAAGGCGAAGGCAGGCATGGTGCTGGAGTTGAAGTCCCCGCACTCGACGCCTACCTTCTGTGTTCGCAAACCGAACGGAAAGTGGCGTCTGGTTCATGCTTATAACAAGCTGAACAGCGCGACAGTGCCTGCGCAGACACCGATCCCGCGCAAGGACGTGTTGCTCAACAACATGGCCGGCTGCACGCTGTATAGCGCGCTGGACCTGGTGGACGGATACTACCAGATCCTGATGCGCGAGAGCGACATCCCACTCATGGCTGTGAGCACGCCGAGCGGTATGCTCTGGGAGTGGCTGGTCATGCCTCAGGGGCTTTCTAACGCCCTGGCAACGTTCAATCGCTTGGTCACACAACTGTTCCGACCTTTGCGTGCGTTCACACAGACGTACTTTGACGACATCTTTGTCCACAGCCGTGCCGAGGCAGGCCAGACGGCCATGGAGGTGCATCTCCAGCACCTTCGACGTGTGTTCGAAGTCATGCGGGCGAACAAGCTGTACGCCAACACCGACAAGTGTGTGTTCGCAGCTGAGGAGATCAAGGTCCTGGGCTGCTTCGTCAGCAGCAGCGCCGGGATCCGCGCGGACCCAGAGAAGGTGAAGGTCATCGCGGCTTGGTCGCCGCAGAAGGACCTACAACAGTGGTTGGGCCTGGCCAAGTATTTGCACAAGTACTGTGCTGCTACGCCGGGCTGGCACAGCTATTGTCGGATCTCCTGAAGAAGGATGTCGACTGGCGCTGGGAGCGTCGCCATCAAGATGCTTTTAACGACATCAAAGCGAGCTTACAGCGCGCGCCAGTCCTGGCATTGCCGGACGAGACGAAGCCTTTCAGCGTAGTCTGTGATGCGTCTGACTACGCAATTGGCTGTGCGCTATTGCAGGCCGGCGATGAAGGCCGCGAACGGGTCATCTCGTTCCAGTCCAGGCAGCTCAAGGCAGCCGAACGGAACTATCCAGTCCACGACAAGGAGCTACTTGCCATGAAGTACGCTCTTGTCAAGTTCCGAGTGCACCTCCTGGGCTCGACGCCCTTTGTCGTTTATACAGATCACGCGTCCTTGCGGACTGCCGTCAACACGCCGCATCTCTCACAGCGGATGGCGCGTTGGCTGTCATTCTTCGCGGAATACAACTTCCGTGTCGAGTACAAGCCGGGCAAGTTGAACGTGCTTGCCGACGCGCTGTCGCGCCGACCCGACTACGAGCTTGCTCATATTAGTCGGGTCACGACGGATCTGGATGATCGCATCAGGCTGGGGTACCGAGACGATGCCAGTCTCGAACCTCTTGTGCGGTTCTTGGCCGCTGGCTCGGAAGCCAAGGCCGAGTGGCTCACGCCCCGACAACGTGCAAGGCTGCACCGCTATGAGTGGGCTGACGGTTTGCTCCACTAAAGGGTCGAGCCCGAGGATCCTCCCTGTATTGCCGTGCCCAACGACGAGGATCTCAAGTACGACATCCTGATGGAGGCGCACGACGCTCCATCCAGTGGCCATCTCGGCCGTGAGAAGACGTACGCGTCTGTCTCGCAGATGTTTTGGTGGCGTCACATGTACAAGTGGATCGCCACCTACGTCCGTACGTGCGAGACGTGCCAGCGCGTGAAGCCTGCCGGTCACGCCTCGGCACCATTGCAGAGCCTGCCGGTCCCAGCGGACTGCTGGAAGTCGATGAGTCTCGACTTTGTCTTCGGACTTCCGGCCGATGACCGTGGCAACACTGGTGTTGTTGCCTTCGTGTGCCGTCTGAGCAAGATGGTCCACTTTGCTCCAGTTCGTGACACCGTCACTGGCGACGAGGTCGCTCGCCTGTTCATGGGCTGTGTCTTCCGACACCACGGTCTGCCCGAGACCATTGTCTCTGATCGAGACCTGCGGTTCACCGCTACGTTCTGGCAGACGATGTTTCGCCTTCTCGGCACACGACTACGGTGGACCACCCGCCGACGGATGGCCAGACGGAGCGCGTCAATCGCGTGCTCGAAGACACGCTCCGCAGTATCTGCGCGGAGATGCCCCGCTCTTGGGCTGATCGCTTGCCTATGGTTGAGTTCGCACTCATCAATGCGGTACATGCATCGACGGGCTTTACGCCCTTTTACCTGAACGGGTTGCGTCACCCTCAGGTGCCGCTCACATTACGAGGCAGTACCGGGGCTTCGGTCCTAAGTGGGGGAGAGGCTCGGAAAACCTTTTCCTCCCAAGTCTCGGACGTGAGTCCAGCCACCTTGCGGAAGCAACTGTCCTCGTTTGCCGAAGACAGGCTGAACATAATCAGCAGGGTGCGAGACGCCATGGCGCAAGCCCAAGATAAACAGAAGGAGTACTCTGACCAAATGGAAGAAACATGAACGTGTTTAAGGTTGGGGATTTAGTTCTCCTAGATACTAGAAACCTACCGCTAAACACTGTTAGCTCGGTCAAGAGCAACAAGCTGAAGCACCGCTTCATTGGACCCTTCACGGTCCTCAGCCGGCATGGCGCGGCGTACACCATAGACTTGCCCAAGTCGATGACGACTCACCCGACGTTTTACATGGGTCGTCTTAAGAGGTACCATGACCCTCTGGCTCTGGCTGCCCCGCAGGAAGCGGTGGGTGGCCCGGTGGAGAAGAGCGCAGCTCCTCGAAGCGCGGCGTCGAGTCGCGGTAAGGCGCCTGATACGCGCGCTGGTCGTAAGACGGCGCGGCGTACATCGGAGCAGCATACGCAGGGGCCCCATACGAGCCCTGGCCAAACTGGGCCTGATACGAGTGGGGCAGCTGCTGCTCCGGATACGGCGCGTGGCCATGAAGCTCGGCCCGAAGGCCAGCGAGCTGGTTTCGCAGCGAGTCATAAGACGACAGGTCGGCTCGACGATCCCCACGGCCATGGAGACTGCGAGTTTCTTGATAGAGCGAGGCAACATCCTCACGGAGCCGCTCCACGGCACCAAACTGACCAGCACGAGCGGCAGCCTCGCCACCAAGGCCGACGCCAAGCGCGATCTCGAGGACGTACACACGGTCCCGGAGAAGACGAATCTCCTCTTGCTGCAGGGCCACCACCTGACTCGGGGCCCCAGCATACGGCTGCGTCGCCTCAGGCTCGGAGCCATGGCCGTGCGAGGCTACCGCCGGCCCTCCTTGATCGTAATGGGCAGATCCACTACCACGTGGAACGAGTCGTCCGGGCGCGGCGGCTCCATGGCAAGCGCCAGCTGCTCGTGAAGTGGAGGGGTTACCCTGAGTCGGATAACTCGTGGGAGCCTGTTGAGCAGCTCCAGGCAGACTGCCCGAAGGCTGTTGCGATATGGGACGAGAAGCAGCGGCAGCTTCGTAAGTAGTCCTTGGCTTCTTGGCCGGTACCCGGGGTACGGTAGCAGGTAGTCGCACCACGCCCACGCTCTTCACGAGCTTTGGCTCTCGCCTCTTGCTACAGCTCGTCCATTTTCGAGTGGAGCTTGCGCTTGCTCACGAGTTGACCGAACTCGATGCGGAGCTCGCGCACGTCCAGGATTGCGGACAGAGTGCGATCCTCACGGAGTTCTTTGAACTCTTGGTCGGAATACCCTTTGCGCTGGACGGAGCGCCAGAAGAGGTCTTCCACCTCGCTCCAGGTCATGTTGTCATTCGGCTTGACCCAGTGGAAACCCCACACAGGATGGAGTCCACCGTTGTCCTCCGGCTTCTTGCGAAGCGTGGTGAACTCCTTCAGTGTGAGCTTGTGTGGTGCTAGTAGCACTCACCGGGCGACTTCAACGTCGCCAAGAAAGAGTGGCCCTTTCTCAACAAGAGCACGCTCATAGGAACCCCTCGAGGTTTACCCGCCGATAAGGCCACGAGGAGCCGAGAGCTTCTCCAACAGCGCTGGCGCGCCAGTGCCAGGCTCGGGCGGGAAGTAGCCCTGTGGATACGTGGCATCCCCGCCTGAAGAAGACTCGATGGCAGTCGCTGCAGTCAGCTGCCTGGCATACGCGCCCGAGCTAGCAGCGTGGTATTGCTGCTGCTGCTCGTCGAGGTTGTTGGAGAGCTCCTTGGGCTCGTGGACGGCACCCTCCTCGTCCTCAGACTCCGAGTCGATGAACGGCTTGGAGCTGGAGCCGCGAGGCGACCTGGAAGCTGAACGCTTCTTCGCCTTGGCCTCGGCGGCCTTCGCAGCGGCAGCCGCTTTCGACGCTAGGACACGCTCACGACCTTGTGCCAGCGTCAGATGCTTGGATGCCAGCACCGCCTTGGGCTTGGAGCCCGCGTCGCTCGGCGACTTCTCGGCCACGACCCCAGCGTCGGCCATGGCGACTTCGTCGTGCGACTGCTTGCTGTCGCCTGAGCCAGACTCGGCGTCCTCCGCCTCCTTCTCTGACGAGGCCTTTGCGTCGGCCGAGGCGTTGGTCATGTCGCCTGCCGCCAGCTCCGTGCCTTCGGCAGCGTGCGTGCTGCCCTCTGAGACGTTCTCGTCGTCGGGTGAACTCTCACCGGAGTACTGGACCATCGTGCAGTCAAAGACGACGGCTTCCCAGCCGCGAGCCGGGCTTTTATGGCCCCGAGGACTCTCCTCCTTGCCTTGCGCGGCGTCAGGAGACTTGCTCCGAGCCCCGGCCTGACGGCCACTCTCCGGCGTGCTGCTACGAGAGCGCACCACCGCCTCGGCCGCCTTCGTGGCCTCCATCAGCGCGGACGACTCGTCCTTGGCCTTGGCCGCCCTGGTCTTCGGCCCTACGGCCCGCGGTTTCGGAGGTGCTTTCGCACTGCGCGCACTGCGCTTTGGAGGCATGCTTTCGGTCGACGTGGAGACCCTGTGGCTTGCTCGGCGATGCGCCAGTTGCTCTGTGAGGCCCGGGAGCCGAGGCGCCAGAGCTCGCGCCGTTGTCGATGGATTTCGACTTTGCGAGTGAAATGTGAGTCGCCGGCGTAACCTCGCTCTGATTGGTCGATAAGATCGAATCTAAGTGGGGGAGGATGTAACGGGGTTACATGGAATAGTGACCCTGTCACTATTCCGGGATGGCTACATCGGTCACTCCCCTGGTTAGTGACCCAAGTGGCCTCAGAGCCAACAGATACATTTTGTATGACACAAACTATAGGGAACTTAGGATTTGTATGCAGGCCAAATCTGTACCAACCTATAAATACATTCAGTCTTAGATCTACCGCTTTTCAAGTCAAGTCGTCCCCTTCAGACCAGGGACACGTGAACGGCTGTTCACTTGGAGTTTGTATACTCCTGCTTCCTCTGTTAAGAAGTGCTGAGTGCCCCGTCACAATCATCGAGTTGGTCCATTTGCTTCTGCGACCTCCCCACCTTGCGCGGTGGCGATATATACTCTGCGCTGCGCCCAGTTGTATATTGGGTGGAAATATATAATAACTTGTAGTAATCAGTTTCGCCTTCACCGGCGTCAATGCTCTTATAGCGCCGACAAAACCTCCACACCATTTTCAAACTACACTCCGGTCAGATCTATGACCTAACATGTATTATGCTTTGCAGAAGTTTTGCCGGTCCGATTTAGTGGTTAAATCGATCTAGCAACACAAACGAAGTGAGGTCATAAAAATGCGAGTCATCACAAATCCTGCACTAAATCGGGCGCCTACTGGGCCAATGTCCTGCTCGATTTATTAGCCTCATATCTGCCACCCGATCAGCAACGGGTACACCAACAACAACGCGTGTATCGGCGCCTACTGCTTCACAAATAGTGCTCTGTTTGCTGCGTGCTGTAGCTCAATAGCTTCATCTCTTCCAGTAGAAGAAGCTCCGGCCACCTGCAGCGCGACAGCACCGTCCTTGTGGACCTGCCTGCTACCCCAAAGTACGTATGACTGTAAGTTACTATGCCTAATCAAAATGCGAGTTGTCGGCGCCTACTGCTTCACTAATACTGCTCTGTTTGCTGCGTGCGATTAGGCAGCTACTTGCCGATTTAGAGTCTCTGTAGAAGGTCCAGAATGGGCGTGCCTCGCGCTGGTGTCTTGCCACAAGATTCTCAGCTCCGCGGTGTGGTAATTTTCCGAACCGGCGAGCGCTCCAGAAGCCCCCGTAAGGGCATTCGGAAGAGCCTTACGTTTGTTGTTGCAGCGGGGTTCGACGTCGCCCGGGCTAAAATCTTTCGACTGTTGCCTGGAGCGGAGTTTGGGCCCAATCCTAGTGCAATCGAGGCTACCAAAAATGCACGGCAGAAGGACTTCAAGATTCTTTCCGTTAGCAATTTGGAGGAGCTGTTGAAGCGTCGATGGGCGTGCATTACCGACGATGACATCGTGGCTCTGGCATCCAACGAGGAGCCAATTAATACGCAGTTTGCGTTTGAATTTTTCGTCTATCTCGCCCCGGTGGTATGGCCTACTGATGGGATTCGTCGGGCCACGGCGGATCGAGTTCGTGCCGCGGCAGCGGAGATCGTGACTTTACAGGCAGAAGGTAGAGAGCGGTTCGTACCAATTGCCACTCACCATTTAGCTATCCACCGCGCCCGCCAACCTGAAGGCACTCCGTTTGCGATTCCTGAGGACAATACGATGCAACAAGCAAGAGCTCTAGATGCAGTGGTAGCAGCGTTGGAGGATACTGCTGCCGAACTGGAGGAAGATGTCGTGGAAATTGAAGTCAAGCTCTTTGGCACGTGGGTGAAGATGCGCGTGAAGCGCTCGACCCTACGAGAAGCGGTGGGCCTCCCCCAACACGACATCTTTACCAGAGGGATTTTCCACGGTTTTCGCCCCGAAGCCATGATGCCACAAGGTGAAGACGTCCCGGATGAAGACCACCAAATGTCTGAAAACTAAACAGAGGCAGTTCTTGTTAGGTAATACAGAAGCTTCAACGTTCATAAAACTATTGTTCATCGTCACTATTAGTTTCGTGCTGGGGTTGTACAATAAACTCGGAAGATCGGAGTTTCTTGTCATCGTAGCCACAGTGCGCATATAGATTTAATACGCCCTTCCGTTTGCTTGGGTGGTGACTTCGACAGCAGGAACGCATCGCCACATCCAGCACCAAAGCTGGGTACAGCGGAAAGATGAGATTTGCCTTCTTCTGGATCCAGCACTTGAGTAGTCCAAAACAAACCTCGATTGGGTTTAATTGAGGTGAGTACGGCGGAAGGTAGAGCAGCCTCGCTCCAGCTTGGTGGATGACCTGTAAAAAAACAAAACATAAAATATTTTTGTCAGCTTAAAAAAATGTTAAAGCTATCAAACTGACTTACCGGTTCTAGCTCTCGATACATGTGAATTTTTGCGTTGTCCATTACAACTATTGAACGTGGCAGCGGTCAGGGGTTCAGAAGAGGTAAGATTTTTTCAACAAACGCTTTATGAAAGGAGTTTCTGGAGTAAGTACCCTCAGTATAGTCCCAAGCGACAAATCCACTATGGTCCAAAGCTGCCAAAATAGACAACCACTTACCGCGACTGAAAGGTAACCGTACCACCGCCTTTGTATTCTTTTTTGACCACGCGTATCGCCGATAGGCGTGATGCCCATCTTTTGCGGTTTCGTCAATAAAGAGCAATTGCTCTGGGTAAGAATACATAGCCCTTAACTTCACCTTGTACGCATGCACTTCGTGCAGCACACACTCTCTTGCCGCTTTGGTTAGCACGTTTCTAGTCAAGTTCATATCAAAATATAAAGCTCTACAAATGGTACTCAGTGAAACATTTTTCACCATAGGGAAGTTGCGCTTCATAAAGTCCTGTAGCTCCTCTAAATAGAATGTGGGATAGTGCTCAACATACTTCCGCACACGCTCCACTACGTCACACGGCCACCGTGACGAGCGGGTGGTTCGGTCGTCATCTTCTACCATTCCCTTAGATAAGAACAAAGAATCTCTGTATAGTTCTCACACTAGGTCCAAATATATCACTTACGTACTGGAGGGAGATGCCATACACATGAACAAGAAAGACAGCGCGCCAGCGGAAGTCGTGAGAGTACATTGCGCAATTATGCAGGAGAGGAGATGTTCGAGACTGACGGAAATTGTGGCGATTGGTCCTGTCCAGTAGGTAGTGTCCGATACAATTTGCCCCTTTCTCATTCAAAAAATGAGTAATATGCGCTATTAGGATGGAACATCACTGTTCACCGATTTACAATAAAACGATCCGAATTGCGTTTTTCTACCGGCAAATCGGGCAGCTACAAAATAAATCTGCGTGGTGCTCTATACAAACCAAGGTACAACTTGATCGAGTTGCATTTTTTATGAAGAGCTCCGGATTTAAGCAATTCGAGCATGATTATAAGTCAAAACGACAAAACGCTTGCAAAGCACAATACAGTATGTGGTCTTTTATTTTATGGTAGGCGTGCAGGTTGCAAGATTTGCAACTGGTGCATGTGCCTGAAACGGGGTTCAGGTGAACTGTGGGCGATGAGAACACAAATAGGAGTCCAAGTGGGTACCAAGTCACTGGTACACCCCGTGATTAGAATCCCCTTATTCAAGAATGTACAGTCGATATAACAATAGAGGGGATCATCCGTATCGACCCAGCTGTTGCCGAACAGCCAGTTTGCTGAGCGAGTCGCTCTTGGCGCGTGGAGCACTCGAGCCTCTCCTCTTCCTGCCATTAGCAAACCCACTCGCTGTGCCCTTCCCGGAAAAATTCGGCCCAGGTGCTGATCGCCGCAGTGCCCCCTGCTGCTTATTTCGCCAGTTGCTGAGACCTTAGCGCTCACCGGTTGCCCCCCCCTCTTCCCTTTGCAGTGAGCGACCTCGTCGGACGCTAGCGCACACTTTCACGTCGTGACCAGCGACGTATCAACCCCCACACCCGAGCAACATGTTGGGCCGCAACGTTTGCCTCGCCGCCTTGATCGCCGGTGAGTTAGTTGGTTCTTTTCGGTGTTTGCTGATGACGGACTCGGAGGTGCTGACACTCGTTGTGATCACTTGGAACAGTCGCCGTGCAGGTAACGGCGGTGCACTCGGCGGTGGCGGCCTCGTCCTCCATCTGCAGCAAGGCCGAGGAGTGCTACGTGAACGGGTCGTCGTCCAAGGTCTGCAACCGCACGGAGAAGAAATGCAACCGCTGCCTGGTTGAGGCCGACAGCGACTCGATCTGGACCACGATCGGGGCCTGGACCGAGTACAGCTGCTACGCCTACGACGACGATGGAGAGTGTCCGAGCGGCACGACCGAGTGTCCTGCCAGTACGTGTGGCGTCGTGGAACAGAGGCTGTCGTAGGCGATTGACTGACTGACTGAGTATGTGTGTATTTGTCGTGCAGCGCTCACGAAGTCCAGCGACGACGAAGAGAGCGACACGGGATCCGCGGAGGCCGGAAGCTCGGACGAGAGCTCAAAGTCCAAGTCCAAGTCAACGTCCAGTTCTACCAAGAAGAAGGCCTCTTCGTCCTCCAGCAGCGACTCTGACGAGTCGACGAGCACCAGCAGCTCAACCAAGAAGAAGAAGACCACCACGACCTCCTCCTCGTCCAGTGACTCGTCCAGCAGCTCCGATACGCCCAAGACCACGAAGCCGACCACCAAAAAGACGACGAAGCCGGCTACGAAGGCGCCGTCCTCATCGAGTAGCGATGACTCGGCTGGATATGCGTCCAGTGACTCGGACAACGAGTCCGCCAGCTCGTCCGCATCCGCATCTTCCTCTGCGTCTGGAGGCGCTAACTCCACACAGAAAACGTCTATCGAGAGCTCTGCATCGAGTGAGCTTCACCCCAAAGCCAACAGTGTGAGCACCACGACGGATCCGACTTCGTCGACCACCACCAAATCCGAGACGGCGGACTCGGCAAACGACAACAGCTCGAAGGCGTCCAACACTGCGAGTGCCGACAGCAGCTCGGGCGGGACCAACATGGGCTTGATTCTCGGCATCGTAGGAGGCGCGGTCGCGTTGGTCGCCGTCGCGGGCTTTGTCATCTGGAAGAAGAAGCAGGACGACGAGGACTTGGACGACGAGGACTCCGCCTTCTCGCCTAACAAGCCGGCCACCGCTCGTGCCATGACCGCTCCGCCCTCCGCGTCATCGGCAACCACGGCGTACGCAGCTCAGTCCAACTACAATGACAACAACTACGACAACTATGGTAACTATGGTAACAACAACTATGGTAACAACAACTATGGCAACGTCAACAACTACAGCAGCAACTACGGCGACAGCGGCTACAGCAACAACTACGCCAGCACCGCAACGTCGACGCAGTACGCTGCTGGGGCGGGAGCGGCTGGGATGGTGCCTGCCAGCTACGGCAGCCCGTCCTCGATCGACATCGACGCCGAGAACGAGATCCGTCGCACTGACAGCATTCTGGGCGGCACGGGCGTGATGGCGAGCACCATTTCGAGCGAGCAGACCCCGTTCGAGTTCAGCGGCGGCCCCAGCCCGGACGACAGCCACGACGTCTGGGGCAACGAGGCGAGCAGCTTCAAGCAGAAGCGCACGGCGAGCAACGTGTCCGTGGAGTTTTAGGAGGCAGGTATGTAACTCCGCTCGGCGGACTCAAGAAGGTAGGGTGCGTGTTTTGTCTATGAGTTAAGGAATGTATCACGCACTTGGCATTCAGAGTTGGGTTGGTGGGTCACTTGGAGGCTCTATTTGATCTTGTGTCATGAAAGTATCTCTGTACATCTACCATGTCGATCGGGCAGGAAGGAAGACTTGACTTGTCTTGGCTAGCTAGCTGCTCAGTTGTCGAGCGTGTAGAGGGAGAACGCGAGCTGCGAGCCGAAGCCTGCAGCGAAGCGAAGTGCGTACTTGTGCACGTAGGCGCCGCCCGGCGCAAGGCGAAGCGGAGTCTCGCCCAGGTTCGGGTCGTGCGTCACGAAGTGCACCACAGGCGGCACGCAGCCGCGGCGAAGGCCCTCGATAGCGGCGACGTCCTCGAAGGCGACGGCCATGGGGTGGCCCGTGATGCCCTTGGTGTTCGCGATCATCAGCTCTCCGAGCAGCTCCGAACCGAACGCCGTGCGCAACGCCGTCACTTCCGTGTAGGCGCACGACGACTTGGCCGACGCGTTGGTGCCGGTCTCGTGGCTGTAGTACACGCCGTTGCGAGCGATCTTCTCGCGGGTGATGCCGAAGTCGGTCTCCACGCGCTGCAGGAAGCGCACGAGCTCCTGTCCAACGTGGTTCGGCTCCAACGCAGCTCCGTGGTAGGCCGAGTTGCTGTACTGCGTCGCAAGCAAGCGCACGGGCTTCTTGCTTGCTGTCACCGAGCGCTCCGCGTAAGCCAGGGGCGATTCCAGCACCACACCGATCGCGCCGCTGCCGACAATCATACCACTACGCTTGGCGTCAAACGGACGCGCCGCTGCATCCGCCGTCGGAGCAATGCACGCGGCACCAAGAGCTCGGAAACCACCACCGATCAGGGGCATCATGGTCTCCGAGCTAGCCGTGTCGCTGGACACGACGATCACACGCTGGCACTTGCCCGAGCTGATCCAGTCCTGGGCGACGCCAATAGCTTGGGTGGCACCAGCACACGCCGCGTTGATCTGCGTGTTGGGTCCGCGAGCACCGGTGAGCTGAGCCACCTGCGCGTTAGCGAGTACCAGGAGCCGGAAAAGGATCTTGCGGTCCATCTCATAGGCAGACTCGCCCTCCTTGCCCTCTTCGTAAGAACGAGATATTTCCGACACGGCAGCGTTCATCGTAGGGAAGGACGTGGCGTAGATGACGCCTGTCGAGTCCCTCATGTTCTCCGGCAAACGCCAGTTGCTATCGGCTCCGTCCACGAGACCAGCGTTACGAACAGCCTCCAGGCCGGCAGCCACAGCCAACTGCGTGGGCTCGTCCATCGAGCGGGCGATGGTCGCAGCAATACCGTAGTCCTTCTCCAGATCAACGTGATTCACAACTGCTGAGACTTGGATGCACTTCTCACGGGTGGACACTGGGGTGAGCGTCATTTCGCCGCTAGTCTTGTCCTTATGGACCTGCACGATGTTCTGGGCGATCATCTTGTCCTTAGCGGCGTCGGTGACTGGACTGATGCAGTTCTCTCCAGCCAGCAACTTCTCAACAGACTGCTCGCCCTCGAAAGCCTTGGCCTGACCCGGCAGACCAACGCTTGTACCAGTCACGTACACAGCTCCAGCGAGCTCCTGCGCAGTCCTCGTAACGTGCTGCTGCTCCTGCTTGTCGCCCTCCGAAGTCACTAGCGGCTTAGAGCGAGCGTAGAAACGGCGGCCCATGTCATCGATCCGGTCAAGATAGAAGTCGCCTTCAGGAATGGACGCAATCGACTGCGTGAGCTTCAGACCGTTCTTGGCGCCATAGGTTCTCTGACGCAACTTCATGCGGGCCGTGTATTCCTCCGGCGTCTTCTTGTTGCGGCTTTCCAGACGAGCGGTGAGGTCCAGCGCCTTGGCAATCTTTTCCAGCGAGAACTTGCCCTTCGACGACTCCGTCGGCTCACGCGTGCGAAGCACAAACATGGTGGCAAGGCTACCCGAGCCGTACGAGAACATAAGCACACGCGCCCCGAGGGACAGATCCTTGGCACGAGCGTGCACCAACGTCGCCAGGTTCATGTAGACGGCCGCAGTGTAGCAGTTACCCAGCTGCTGCGAGGTGGTGCAGCTCGGCCCCACCTTGGTCTTAAAGTCTTCCTTGGCAACAGCACGCACCGCCAGATCCAGTTCGCGGTCGTTCAGCGTGTCTTCCAGCGGCGCGTCCGCCCACTTGCTCAGCGAAGCAAACTTCTCTTTGGCAACCTCGTCGTTCTCACTCAGCACTCGTCTCGCGTCCAAGAACAGCAGCCGAGCGAACGACTTCTGCACCAGTTTGTTGTACGGCGAGTGGAACACTGCGTAGTCGACCGAGTCAACGCCAGGGCCCTTGCCTTCGGCCTTGCCACTCTTCTTGCAAAAGAGCTGGTAGCACTCGTCCAGCGCGTGTAGATAGCACGAGTTAGACAGCTTGCCGTCCACCGTCGGGTACTCGCTGCTCACATTGGGCTTGTAGAAGTCCCAGACGTTGGTCGCGTGGGTCGCCTTGGTCGTGCAGTCCAGCGCCATGGGTGCATCCGGTCCGATGAGCATCGCCACGGCTCCGCATCCTCCACTGGGACGAGCGGGGCCCTTCGCGTACACTGCAATGTCCGTAGCCACCACAACGGCGTATCTTCCGTCCCAGAAGGAGCTGTCGACCCAGGCCACGGCGTTCAGCAGCGCCGCGGTGCCGCCGTAGCAGGCGTTGATGACCGTGGCTCCGTCCACATCGGCGTTGTCTCCGAACAGCTGCATGAGGACGGTCTTGGTGGACTTGCTCTTGTCCACCAGCGTCTCCGTGCCCACCTCCAGACGTCCAACTTGCTCGGGGGACACGCCGAACTTGCTCAGGAGCCTGGACACTGCAGTCAGCGCCAGCGCGTTCACGTCCTCTCGGTCGCCGGGCACCGCCATGCCCAGCTGGCCCAGGCCCAGAGTGTACTTGCCGCTGCTGACGCCATCGAATGCCTCCATCTCCTGCTGGTCCACATAGTCCGAGGGGAAATGCACCTCCATGGCCAGGATGCCCACGTCGCTGGGCCGTGCAGAGCTCACCATTGCTGCGGGGTCTGTTTGTCGCTGTTGCTGCCTCTTGCGATCTTCTTGTGCTGTGCCGGCTACGGAGCGAGTGGCTACTGTCGGAGCGCGACGCTGCGAACGACGACGGACGGACCTCTCGTTCGCGTCCGGCCTGTCCGCAGAATGAGACCTCCGATCTGCGCGTACGTACGTGCCGTGGGATTAGTGTGCACCACACACATAACTGCGCGTAGTGATAGACCACTTTTTATCACTATCCAGAGGCATCACTACGGCATCTAGATCTGTACCACAACGACGGTACAATATCGTTCAAGGTACAAATGCAGTTGATAATGCGTATTGGTGAGCTTGTATTGCACTCGATATGTGATCAAAGCACTAGGTAAAAGTATTTGTTGCGCTGGACATTATTGGGGCAAAGCCCCCCCTATACCGTACCTCACAGAAAGAATGGTTAACAGATAGAATGCCAAATCAAGATTTTCGAGCATTTGGTTTCGTTTGATAGCGGTTTCTTAACACAAAGAAAGCATATTCGAATCCCTGGTTAACATAAGATTTGGGCCTCGCGTATCTAATGTTCGACTCTCAAAACATCGCTGCAATAGCCTTCAGCGAAGCGATTCTATTATTAGAAGCCACACCGGAAGCTAGTTTAGATCATTCGCCAATTTCCGCCTTCCTCATGAAGAAGTTTCTGCTGCAGGATGCATCAAACACAGGGTGGGTGAAAGCGCAAGAGGCGCGCACGAAGCAGAATGCCATCAATACACACATTCGCCTTCAGGCCAGAACTATCGAAAAAGTCCAGAGCCAGCATCGATGTTGCGGCAGCAGAAGCAAGGATTCAACAGCAGCAAATTCGCAAACTTTGTCGAGACATTATAAACTCTACAATTCAGGCTGCTATTGGAGAACTCTCGCTTCAGTGTGACGTTTCCCCGCTTGACGTCCGGTCAACGAGCAATCACTACAGCACCATGACCTGGCAGGACCGATCCGTAGTCATATTTTACTACTTCCATCCAGCGCTTGGCAATAAGGACGCCGATGTAACATGCAGGGTTTTTGGTGTTCTACACTCTACGTTTACCAACTGGGTGTCCAAGCACTCGTTTTACCCCAAATGGATACCATTTCCGGAGCACATGATTCTAAGTACTGCCTTGCAGTCGGTTCCCATTGGGTTTCGAGGTCTCTTTCACGTTGAAGAGCTCGACATGGACTCTGGCGTCTCCATCCTTGTACGATTCAGAACGCCGACAACCAAGCGCTTCATCACGGCGACATCCCACCCGCACGTGACGCGTCAGAAAGCAGCCAAGCTCGCCAAGAAGAGCGATGGGATAAAGTATTTGACGACCTCCATCAAAACAGTCACTCACGACCGGTCGCTCAAGTAACCTACGGAGGCCTTGTTTCTCTTAGACGAGGTCAAAAAGTCCTGGGAATCTGGAAATCCGATCTCCCGGCACGAAATTTACGTGCGGATGATCCAACAATTTGGAAGTATGGAAGAAGGAGCAGCGCAAAGCGAATTTTGCACGGTGATGAAGCTCAACGATGGCGGAATATCACCTGCGCTTGCTCAATGGGTCTGTCGCAGGCTTGAAGGTGCCAACTGGAGCATTCGGAAGGAGAGTGTGTCTCAAAAGGTTCCGACAAATTCGATCGCAATTGCACTCGAGGCCTCCCAAAAGATCCGAAACAACTTGAAGACATGTACAGTTCTTATTAACGCTGACGAGGTATTTATCAAGTTTCCCCCAGAGACACCGAGTTCGTGGTTCCAACAGGAAATAAGCGAGTGGGCTCAAATGTGGCTTCAGACGCCAAAAAGGGGTGCACTGAGATGGTTTCTGCGGAAATGTATTCCTCCATGATTCTCCCTCCCTTCGTTGTGATGACGGCAACACACAATGGCACCCTTGCGCGCCGTTTTTCTACGTGGCGTCAGGATGGCGGTGATGCCAGCGTCAACTTTCAGCCCTCGCATTGGATGGACATTCCTACCGCAAAAAAGTATGTCGACTTCCTGGTTAGTCTGTTTCCAGGTCAAAAGATTGGTCTTATGTGGGATGCCGCCTCAGCTCACACGTGCCAGGAAGTGATCGATTATTTGGACGCAAAGGGACTCATGCACGAGTTTATTCCGGTTGGCTTGACGCCCATAATGCAGATCGGTGAGCTTTACGCCAACAGGCCTCTCAAAGTGGCCATCAAGAAGAAATTTCTACAGTGGAAGGTCTCGCAAACGATTCCAGCCGGAGGTAAGTACAAAGTGGATCGGGTGCAAATGATCCACTGGATCGAAGAGGCTGTGTCTATGGTGAACGAGCAGCAGACCTCGGCGCGAAAGGTAGAGTACATGTTCGGCCGTCTCGGACAGGACCCACGACAGCCCGACAATCAGCTTTTCCAAGAGCACATGGGTCAGCTGCAAGACAACGAGGTTTACAGCTCTCTCATCCTGAACCAGACAGCTGAAAGCCTTGAGTAGTGAGCGGCAGATTATTTTCTTGCTTTTGATATTTGCTAGCTAAATATTAACACGAAAAATGCATATTTGCCTGTCTGAATACCTTTTAACCCCCCATTCACCGCACACAAATTCTACACATTGTTTTTTGCAGCTATGTATGCTCAGCATACGTGCCTTTTCTTGTAGCACTATCTTCATTTTTGTATGATGGAGGCATTAGGGGATTCGGCTGCTATTGAATTGCCTCAATGTATGGGCGACATACATGATGCATACATGTGAAGCAATCAAATTCGGCTTATGACTCCAATCCGAACAAAACATGTATGCTCTGCTGAGGTATGACATGTCCTGGCTAAATGATGGCGATGTTATGCTACGTTGCATACGTTCGAACCAAACAGAAAGCGAACACTACTACGATGTATGCAATGGTTTTGGGATGAATATCTGTGACTAACTGTTAGTGACACGGTTTTCAGAGCGAGCAATCTCCCTCCTCGGCATCGATGTCACTTGTTCTGCTTCTCTTGCGAGCGCCGGTGCCTTTCCTAAACTGGATTCGACTGTCTTGGTGTTCGTATGGAATATTTCGCCCGCAGTCCCAGTCTTCATGCCACACTTGGAAGCAAGTCTTCGTCGGGTGAGGGCTGTCTTTCCTGATTAGATTGCATAGATAGCACCTGCGTAAGAAAGAATACCATAATTAGCTGGTGGCAATATACACTGCAGTACACCATTGACTTACTTAGCTTCGCCCTTGGAGTATGGTCGACAGAGCCATTTTGTGTTCTTGCCCCGCTTGGGCTTCCCGTTAGCTGCCGTTGCCGTGTCATCCCGCCAAATACTGCACACTTTGCATGCACGTTGACGCCGCTTTGTCTGACCTGTAGTTTTTACCGCAAGCATGTCCGTTGTCTCTTTCGGAACGTGTGGAACGCCATCATCGTCTCTCTGTGGCTGAGCGGGGCGATATGGTGACGGAGTTGGCGAGCGTGAAGACGCCTTGAAAGCACCAAAGTCTTCCACAGAGAGACCCACCAATTGCGCTTGCAACTCTGTCAGGAACTCGTCTCTTGTGATAGACTTCTTTCCGTGCCTCTTGCGATACTCTTTGTGCACGATGTAGCTATTTACAAGTGCCATGTCGACAAGGCCCACGAATAGAGCCTTGTAGTACTTCTTAAAGACAAAGCTAGCTGCAAGGAGTACCGTTGCAATCAAAGTTGGTCGTGGACATCAACTCCACCCATCCGGTTATGATAATCCACGACTAACTTCGGGCACAGTACTTTTGCCTGCTCTCCACTGGGCATACGGCGACCTGTTTGATTCGCAAAAAGCAAATAAAATAACGTCGATTAGTCTGGGCATATACGTTGTAGGATAGAAAGATATATACCAGCTTGTTAGATGCTTACCGACAGTTGTCACGTTTGATGAAGCCCCTGTTGATAAAAAAGTGGACTGGTTTCGAGTCCATCCAGGATACTGCAGTCATGGTCGGAACATCTTTGGCCTTTGCCATCTTGAATTCACCACGCATCACGTCTTTGGTCGTTTTTTCTTTTGTCTATGACGCTCTTGGCAAACCCGACGCGCGACGTCTGAATGGTCCCCACTGCATAAACTTTCTTTGATAAAAGATCCATTAGGAGCGGAACCGAGGTATAAAACCTGTCGATTGCAACGACATGGTAAGTCCTGCGACCTGTTGGTATGATCTGCTCGAGATTTCGCAGTACTGCAGCTGGACCCGACTTGGTATCGATCCTTTGAGGGCCAGTGCCAAGATGCTGCTTTACACCACCGTACACTTCGAGTCTAACCAAACATCACGCCAATAGGTTGGTTAGTTAGATAATATAAACAACCGCAATATTTTGCCACACCAAATACCTCAGACAGTATGCTGTCTTGGCACAACAAGTTAGAAACATTTTGGTCCCCCATTTGTGGGGCTTGTCTTTCATATAGACACGAGTGCCATTGAAAGGAGACCTCGAAGGCAGCATTCCTTCATCGAAAGAGAGCACTGGAGGACACTCATAACCTGACTTGAACGTGCGCTGCAGGCACGTGACGACAGGCCTTATCTTCCATGCGCGGTCGCTAGCTGCACGGAGGTCCTCATTGTTGGAGAAGTGCAAGTTTCTAAGCACTTCGTCGAACCTTACATAGTTGTTAGCAGCACAGCAGTGAGAATTTACTATGCTAATAAATATTCAGTAGATGACAGCTTTCATACCTGTTCCTGCTCATGTAGTTGTTGAAAGCCCCGCGTGGAATGGCACCCACGAATGTTGTAGCCCACTGGTAAGCCAATCGACGCTTGTGTGGGCAAAGCATTCTTGCCAACATCAGACCAATCACGACAAGGAGCTAATGCGGTGCGATCGGCTCCATTGCACGCATGCGGTCGCGAATCGCTTTCTTTTTCTCGACAGGCACTATAGGGTGTTTCGCACGAGCCCGCTTTTGTTTTGCTTGTAGTTCGGTAGCCCAACGACCTATCATCTATCGGTTGCTTTCCTGGGCGGTAACTTCCCACAACTTCGGTGGCATGAAAAACAGGAACAGGTCGAGGGGTGACTTGGCTTTCTCCAGGACAGCTCGTGTTGGTCCATAGCTCCCGTTGTAAAGACCGGAATACTCATGAGACGAAGTAGGGTCCGGCGATACATCTACAAACGCCAATGAGTTACGACACCTACGTGTAAGTATCAATTGCATCAATTTCTATAGTAAAGCCCTGAGCAAAATCATACCGTAGTCCCAGCCGTTTTCCTTCATTGCACGCACGCTTTCCTTGTTTTGACTCATTTGATACAACAAATCGTCCGCCTCGTCCACCTCATCGTCGCTTTCGGTCTCACAACTATCATCACATTCAATTTCAATAGTGCCGCCCTCGAAATATTCGCTCTCAGTCTCATTTTCCGCTCTCCACATCGGAATTCAGACTCACATACTCAGGTCCATCGTTATCACTCGACAGAGGCGCAACAGTGGTGGGCGCACCGCTGGAGCAAGTACTGTGAGTTGACGATGCATCGCTAGAGGCGTGTAGTGCAGTCTGGTCGCTTTGGTCAACGGGTTCTCGGTGTTCAAACAGGTTTCGGGCAGCTGAGCAAGCTCTCTCGGACCGATCTGCGGTGCTTCTTTCCCCAGTAACTGCAGCAGCTAGGTCAATATAAAAATGTTATTTGCAATCGGATTCCTATGGTGGGCCATATAAGGGTACAAGCACTGATCTGTCACTCCGTCGGGAGTATAAGTGCTCCTCACGGGCTCGCATCGACCGATTCGCCCTTAGTCTGCACCTGAGCGGGTCGTACTATAGGCGGAGGTACTGGCACCAGGGCTCAGCAGCGCCTCAGCCGAGGCCAAACCGTGTCTGGAATCACCAGCAGCGATGGTAGTCGAAGCAACATCCGCAGTGCGCGGCGTTACGGGTGTAGATTTGGCTTTCTTGCAAGACTTCGCCGACTGCCTTGAAGGGGCGAAACCGCTGCGATCATCAGTTTGGGACCTTGCCTTAGCTGCTTCTGCGTCTGCGGGCAGTAAACACAAAAGTAGGGCTCTTACGTCACCGTAATACCAAACACATACCAGCGCTAGTGCATTCTTACGTATCTGCCGATTCTGGGAACGTGTTAGTCGACGTACGGGCGCCGACATGGGCGAACTCACTCGTGCTCAAGCGGTCAATTTCGAAACTGAACCACTGGCTGGCTAGTGGCATGGACTTGTACCTAGACCTCTCATCTGGTGCTGCAGAGAATGCCCGCTCCTAACCACCTACCTAGCCCTGTGCATCTTGGAAGGTTCCTCCCAAATGAGCACACTTGACTTTTGTATTCCATTCGTTCACTCTCGATACAAAGTCTATTACAATCGTATGATCATGTATGCTGAGCATACATTGGTGAATGGGGGGTTAATGGTAACAAGAGCAGGCCTTCCGATAATAATACTGCAATAATATTAACACAATGGTAAGAAATAAACTATTATGACTGACAACGGCAACAGCAAAGTAAAATATTGGAGTGGAAAGTATTGTATTGATCATTACCTTCATCACTATCGAGTGACTTACTCTCCGTTCACCACCTTGGTGACGGTACCCGCATTCCAGAAGCGCCGATTAAGCTTCAAGAACAGCACCGTTTCAAAGTGCACCGGTAGCATACCCTGTCAGTGGTTCGACAGCGTGTGCTTCGCGACACTGAACAAACGTTCGACAGCGTTAGAAGTTGGAGGGATGTGGCGTACCCCTCCAAACTTCTTCTGCGACGTGCGCTGCTTCTTCCTCGCCCACAGGACCTGGTCCGCGAAGCTTTGGGGGCGCCCGCCGGGGCTGGGAGTTACGGTAGCGGAGGCGACGGTCTCGAACGGACTCAGCATGAACTGCTGGTCCTCCGTCAGCTCCTCGGTCTTGTCCGCCAGCGCGAGCACGCACGCAGCTTCGAAGTCTGGGTCCTTCACGATGGCAGCATCGGCTGCAAGGTACTTGTCGACAACGGGATGCTTCTCGACGAGCGCATCAAAGATGTCGCGCACATCGAGAAGCGTGTTGCTGTCCTCCTGCAGCTTCATTGTCCCGCTCTGAAAATCACGGAGCTGGTCGCGCAGGGCACGCAGGCGACTCTCTTGGCGGCGAGTCGGCATCAACGACACGATGTCGTCGTCGTCCGTGTCCAGCGCGTCGCGCAGGTCAAAGTAACGCTCGAGCATCTTGAACGTGGAGCCCCATCGAGTCGCCTGGCGAAGTACCCGGCGCAAATTGGTCTTTTGCCTGAGAAAAAAACAAAAGAGCAAAAAAGTAAAAAATACAATTTGGATCGGTACAATATATCACGATCTCAAAAAAAGCACAAAGTACAAATTACCTCAGTCGATTCGCCTTGCTCAGTCCTCGCAGCTTTCGCATGAGTTGCTGCATTTGCTCCAGCAGTGGCTCGTAGTCGGAGAGGTACACGTTGACCGCCAAATTGAGCCGATGGCTGGCGCAGCCGATGAACGGCACCTGAAGCAAATCAGCCAACCTCGTGTTGACAGAGCAATTGTCAGACAGGAGGTAGATGATGCTGGAAGTGCCCCGCTTGAAAAACGGTAGAATACCGGTCAGGAAGGCGACGTGGCTCTCAGCCGTCTGGTCCTCAACACTGTCATCCGCGATTGGAGCCAATACCAGGAGAACCTTCTCAGAGCGCTGGTCGTGCTCGAAAACCGCAAAAACGGCGACGTAATGCTCCGAGTGGAAACTCCACCCGTCCAGCATGATACCGAATTCGAGAGGGATGAACGCACTGATGCCAATCTCGACCTCCTTGGTGACCAAGACCGCGTACTTCAACAGCATCTCGGTGCAAATCCGCTTCATCGTCGTGTACTTGTCCACAGTCGGGCGTTCGTAGAACGAAAAAGGGAGGTTGCACTCAGTGACAAAGTCCAGCCAGCCGTAGACGGTCTGGCTCTTCTGGTCGATAAAAATGACCAGCGTCCCCGAGTTGAAGCCACTGTTCGCCAGCGTGGTCACGTAGTCGGGGTGCTGCTTCAGCACGTGGCTAAAGAGGTTCGAGTAGCCCATCTTGACGTCTTGTTTGCGCACTGTGCCACACTGGCAGCAAAAGTGCTCAGTGGGCTCATCTTGCTCGTCGAGCAGCGGGGTGAAGAAGTAGGTGCAGACTTGCTTGGTCGTGAAGGATGTTTGCGAACGCATGATGAATTCAGAAATGGTAGATAAGGTGCTGGTAGTACGCTAGAGTGGATGAGATGAACAGCTCTCTTGAAGGCATGCCTTGTGGCGTAACTACGAGCTATCTGGTGGCTGTCGTGAAGAGTTTAGCAAAACACTTTTTTACAGTGTCGTAAAAAGTATTTTTCGTAAATAAACAAAAGGGGTAATTACCTGTAAAAATACTTTATTGACCAAGAAATGCTTTTTACAAAAAATAAGTTATTTACTGAGAAATATTGTATTGGATCTGCAATACAATGATTATTTCGGAAGGCCTGAACAAGAGTGCCAAACGCGCAACACCCAAAGTAAGCTGTCTGTGAGGTATGGTAATGAAACACGCACTAGACTTCTTATGCTGATTTACTACACCTTACACCCTTTTTACAGCGATAAATTGATATATATAGAAAACGGGTTAGGGGCCATTATCAATCTCCAACTATAGTAACTTCAGTATAGAGATTTGTACTCCGGCTTAACCAGCTCGGCCTACCATTTCTCAGAACAATGTTTGATCGACCCAATGCAACGCTACAACCAAACAGGATGGTGTATCAACGCTTTTGACTGAGAACGCGTGGTATGGGGTTGTTACGCTGATTATGGCTGTGTGATTGGCTCAAATGGCTCAAATATTCGTCCACGGCGGGTGCTGCACGGCAACAGCATACCCGACTGTCGCTCCGATGGCTGCCTTCGTCGTCATGAACAAAAGCGTCAATCTAGGTGCGAGCAGACGCCAATATGGGCGATACCGTAAGCCATCACAGCAGGTGTAGCCACGAAAGCTATTTTATCTATCGGTAGAGTCTACTACCGACGGTAGACTAGGTGTTACCCTGAGCACCGGCGGTCGTCCCGTTACTGGGGGCCAAGAGCTGTCACGCACAGCACTCGCGGCCAGATCGCAAGGTTGCGAGCGCGGACATGACGTCTTTGGTCCGCTCACCTCCCCCCGGTAAACATCTGAGGCGGACGGCGAACGTTTCGTTGCACGCAACTAAGGAATACTGCAGCACTGGCTTGTGTGTGAGGTTGATACACGCACCACCGCTGAGGCAGCTTGCGCAGCTCGTGGTCCAGTCGCCGAGCAAGAGGAGCACGAGCTGGCCCGGAGTCGCAGAGCGGGGCAACAGTGTGAGTAGAAGGAGATATACATGGTGCCCGGCAGCGGCATCTACGTGTCCGCACCTACAAGAGGGCAATTGTACCGCTGCTGAGGAGGAATTGCACCTTGTCCAGCATCATGTCGTGGTAATATCTATTACAGGAATACATTTAATAGGCGTACACGCAAAAATCATGAGCGCAAGGACCCCTTGGTACGCCGCCGTGCGAACTTCCAGCACAAACACTTCACAGTCAACAGCCTTTAAAAGCCTTATTTTTGACCAATCGCATCCTTCTATCTATGCGTCACCTGGTCTGGTTACGGAATCTCGACACAAGTCATTGAGACCGGGGTGTGAACAAACACCTTTTGGGGTGACAGCAAAACGAGATGGGGCGCCAGCAAAACCAAACGGGCGCCAGCAACAAAACCCGCGAATTGGAGCCTCCAGCAAAATGAATTGCGGGCGTCGGCAAAACTTGAATAAAAAGAGCACTAGCTCGCGGGTGTCGCATTGTGACTCACACATTCACCACGTGCACGCGACGGGGTGTAATAACACGAGGCATCAGTGACGATAGATTTACCTGTTCGTGCTTCATTCACTACATGCATGTACCGACATGGTATTAACCACAAATACACGAGCATTTACCGCAGAGATATTGTGCTAATACTGGGAGCTGGATTCAGGAATCTCAACTCCTTACGGCCTTCGTAAGGCTGCGCAATACTTGTAGTAGAGTAGATAGTTGTCGTTCTCTTTGATAGTAACACGTTCCCTAGCAAGCTACTGTGACTCGCTACTTGGCTCGTAGGCTCCACCACAAATTAAAAGTCTTTGACGCGCGGGGCTCTTTCAGCAGGCATGTCCATGGCGTGGCAGCTACTAGCTGAACATGGTTCCGGCGACGCCTTTGTGAAGCACCGCGCCGCCGATTTCTGCGTATGCAAAGCGGACAATGGATTGTTGCCGGATCTGCAATGCTGACCATGAAATGGCCGAGCAACGACTGCATTGCATCAGCCCGTCGTGTGCAAGACTGGAGGACGCCCACAATGGTGAGCAGTGCGAAGTTCAGTGGAAGTACTGTGAGTGTTAAACCAGGCCTGTGTGGCGGGTATACAGCAACAACAAAGAACATTTCCGCGGGGGCGAAGTCTGTACAGGTGCTCACCGAAATGGCTTCGTGTGGCGTCAAACCCCGACACATTTGGAGTCAACTTCACCGCACTCATGACATTCCCGCACCACCGTTAGGTATACCTTCTCGGCAGCAAGTGACTGACTGTGTGACGCGCCTGCGGAACAAGAACCTTTCCGACTTTTTCACACTGATGCAACGTTTAAACTTAGCGATTTTGGATATCCTGCTGTTACTTGTGGATTCACAGATCGCTCTCGAGTGTACCCCCTTATCGCTATCCTAGTTGTAAGCGCGAGAACGCATCGCGAGTACGAGTTAGCGTTTGGGTGTGTTGCCCAAATGTACCAGCGGATCTTTCAAGCCCCACTTTGCGTTGACACGGTTATGGATGATGCTGAAGACGCACAGTTTAATGCGCTTCAGAGTGAAGGTGCATTCCGTGGCAGCAAGTACTTGATGAGCTTTTTCCACGTGCTTTACAACGTTCATAAGCGGACAAGGCACCTTGATAGCGAAACTAGAGTGACCGCGTTTACCGGAATTATGGATATGCATTACACTACTAGTTACACAGAGTACTGTGCGATCAAGGAGCGTGTGATTTCGGGGTGGAAAGCAAAGCCCGGATTGCGAAACTTTGCAAACTACTTTTCGGAACAGTGGATAGATAGTAGCTACTGGCGATGGCATATTTTTTACACTCCATCAAGTTATGCCACCACCAACAACCCATGCGAGGTCTTTAACGCATGCTGAAGCGCCATGTTCAGCGAAAAACAAGCGAAATCTGCGCTCTTTTGCCTAGCATGATCACGCTAGCGGGTGTGACATTCCTTCTCCAAGTGCTAGTATAGCAGATCCGAATGTGGAAATCAAGCAAACGGCAAAGTGGATCCTTAAGGCCAAGGCTGTTGCTGTTGCTCGCACTTCTGTGGATTCAAATGTCCGTGTATTACATATCCTAGAGGTGCATATCGATGCGGTAGCTACGGAGACTATGCGGCAACTGTCTTGCTCGGTTATTTTGGGGGCTGGCGAAAAGCATTCGCTCTCTTCGCTAGTATTGGAGAAGGCGGAGAAGGTGAAAGCGTCGCGTTTGTACCGGGACAGCGTCAAATGGTCTACACGTCGCGCATATCGAGTCCACATGCGAGTGAATGGCTGGGCAGTTGATGTAGTCGCCAACTCGTGTGGCTGCGCTATGCATTTGAAGTTAATCTGCGCGCTCATAGTTTAAGTCAGAACTTTTCTGGGACTTGGAAATGAACTTGGAGAAAAGCTGCAGAGCAGGCGCGCGGAAAAAAAACAGAGATCCCAACGTGCTGGAGAGCCGATGTTCGCTACTTATTCAGTTCCGAACCATGTTTCAAGTGGACTATCTGTTGATACTACAACAGCTACCAGCATTACCACCCCAAGTAGTGTGAATCCAGAAACGGTAATTGCTGAAGAGGCTGGTTTCCTGCATGGAGGAATGGAGTTAAGCTATGTGCCGTTGGTACACCACACGGGGATTGTTGGACAGGTTGAGCGTCACAATATTGTAAACAGCCAGCACAGTTTAACTGTGGCCAGCCACAATGGGTTCGTACCAACCACTGGTGCTGCTTCGAGCTCTCATAGTACGTATACACACGATTCACACCCGCAACAAACACAAGAGGGTAATTGGTTTGGATACAGCACTCCTCCTGGCGCTGTGTATGCTGAAGCTCCGGTTTGCTTCGACGCGCATGCGGATCTGCATCAACCAAATCTCAACTTTGTAGGCGTGCCTACACCAGCATACTGCAACAACATGCGTACAAGGCCTCACATGGCAGCATACGTAGCCGGCGCATATCCTAGTCAAAGCTTTGATGTGTATTCGCCAGCAGGTGTATCGTCTTGCCCACCAACAAGCCTGATGTGGTCGCCAGTTCATACAAGCAGTTCTGCCAATGTGTTCACCGCTTACGAGAGTAGATTTACGCCTTCTATCGACTCCTACATCGGTCAAAACATGGTGATCAGTAGCTCTGATGTACTGGTTGGACAACCCGCTCCACGACGTGGGGGTTGCCCTCCGCTTGCGACTCGTGTGCTGCATATCGACTAGCGCGTTTGTGGAGGTATAACTTGACATCTTAGCAGTACACACTTTTGCTTTAAAAAACTTACATATCGTTTCCGTGAACCGCACTTTTAAAAGCGTCGTACACTATCCGATACTTTTAAGTCGAGTATTCGAGTTAAATTGAATCCATTCGACTTAAGGTGAATCCTCTCGGCTTAACTTGACTCCGATCGAGTTAAGTCGAGTGCTCGAGTTAAGTTGAATCCCCTCGAGTTAACTTGAATCCGGTTCAGTTGGACCGGTTCAAAGTCCGACCGCCGTATTTCTGGTTCCGATTTGCCTCCCCCTTCCCGCTCATATCGCGGTTATACACGTGTCGATGGCGGAGCGGCGCACGTGCAATCAGATCCCTATGGTGGAGAGAGCGCGGGTGGTCGAGGAATGGGCGGAGCATCAAGATGAATGGACTGCGTCGGAGGTCACAAGGAGGAATGGCATCCAATTGCTCACTCTTCTCGGGTGGCGTGACGAGCTCTCGGATGAGAAGCTTGCATTCGTTAGAAAGGTTCCTGCTGACTCCAAGAGAATCCGCAAGTCCGGTGCTGACACAAAAGCAAAGCTGAAGCCTTATGAGCTTCGGGTACTTGACTTCTACACCAATTGTCAACGAGATGGAGACCACGTCCGCCCAAAGAACATCATTATCTACTGTCAGAACATCCCGGAGTTTGTAGTCATGAAAAAGAGTGGTCAAATGACGTGCACAAGAAGGTTTATTAACCATTACTATCCAATAGTGACTCAGCGGCTAAAATCTATTCGCGGTTGCAGAGATCAAGAGGCGCTGGCCGAGGACGCTCGCGCGGGTCACGGGGCCAACGAGAGCGTGGAGACAAACAGGGGAGAAGTGGTCGAGGAGAACAGCCAGCAGGATGAAGACGTCGAAGAGGAGGAGGTTGAGGCTGTGCATGAGGAAGAGGCGGGAAGCGCTGAAGAAGATGACAGTCTGCAGGAACAGCGCAGAACACAGGGTCGGGCACTGAGCAAAAAACTCGCAACAGGGAAATGCTGTATGATGGTCTGTTTATTTCGACGAGGTTGCCGATATCATTACGGGGGGTCATCAACATGGTAGATAGGCGTGACTTCTACGGAGACATGTTGGCCACCCTTGATGCCAGGTTGTTCGACGTGAGCACCCAACATGTTGCGGGAGCGCACAACATAGAGAATTTGCCGAACGACAAGTCGCTGATGCAGCCGTATGAGCTCCGGGCGATTCTGCCTCTACGTGTTTTGGCAAAATGTGAGGCGATGGCATCCGAATTGCTCGCCCAGCAGCCTGGTCTCATTGAAAAAGACGTTGCGCTGGACATTGTGGGAGTTGGAATTGCGACCACGCCAACTTTAGCGGTTATGGAGAAGTGGCATCGTACCATCGCGTTACTACACAAGGTGAGAGCTGAAATTTCCTGGGTGCGCTCATTACGCTTCACCGGCTCCAACGGTCAAGACGCTCAAGCTCAAGACCCGCTGCAGGTTGCACCTCGTCTGGAGCGACTGCGGATATGCACTCCTCAGGTACGCTGTCAATTTTGCTTGCCTATTATTACAGTTATTAAGCCTTTAGATTGCTTGTGCAGGTCAACTTCCTTGAAATCGCGGGCTACGACAGGCTAAGCGACGCCTCAATGAATGTCATCATGCAAGGGCTTTTCCGGGACCGACCTGACGTTACTCACTTCGACCCAGCGGTGCTGTATCTGGTTGCGCAGCAGAAGGGGGCGAAGGACATGCCGAACGCCCAAGCCGTTAAAGATACGTTGGCTACGGTTCGCGGTAAGCTGATTGCACCTGTGAATGTAGCATGGAACCACTGGGGCGGCTTCATGATTGATGTTTCGTCAGCACGCATTCTTCTCTACGACTCACTAGACTCCAGCGACAAAGCACAATCGCGGTCCGTGGCGAAAAGAATAGTCAACCTGCTACCACCGCTGCTAAGTCGGTTTGTCCCTTGGCGCTCTTGAGCCAGCACGTGCCGCCGTTGAGGTTGCTCCGCGAGAAGGAGCGGCAGCCGCTCCAGTTGTTGCAGATGTCGCAGCAGTCGGCCGGGGTCTTGCCGGGCGTGTTGCCAATGTCGTTGTCCACAAAGTCAACGTTTTGCTGGAGCGTGGACTGGCCGACCGTGTTCTTAACCTCGGCTTGACGCCGGCCTTGTTGACGGTCGTGTTCTTGCCTTGAGCCAGCACGTGCCCCCGTTGTAGTTGGCCCTGGTGAAGGCGTTCCACCCGGGCCACGTGGGGCAGATTGAGCAGCAGGCGCCGGTGTTGCTAGCTCCGACGTTGGCGATGTCGTTGTCTTGAATCTTGCCCAGGTCTTCGTGCTCCTTGGCCTTGGTCAGCTCGCTGATGGCCGTCTGCATGTCCATGGTCTCCTGGCTCAGCAGCTTCTTGGCGGGCGCGGCCTGCGTCGAGAGCTGTTCCGACGCGTACGTGTACTCGCTGGCCGGTGGCATCCGCTGCGTGTAGGACGCGTCTTCGGGCAGCGCGCCGAGGCCAAGAGGTTGCCGATGGGGTCGTCGTTGTCATGGGGGCGCCTGCGGGCCCCGGGGCTTTTAGCCGTAGCCCTGCGCCGCTCGTTGTGTTATGTACCGTACATTTATTTTGTTTTGTTTTTGCTGGCGCCCTATATGGATTTTGTCGGCGCACTTTTCACATTATCATTCCCCGCCTGGAGGCGATTTCGAGCGAAAATTACCTTTTTATGAAAACAATCATTCAAATGACGGCACTTAACAACAGCAAATCGTGAAAGCTACCTTTCATCAGCAATCTAACAGCCATTAAAATGAGGGCAAAGTCTTATGTAACCCGGGTGGCGAGCCTTCGTATGACGCACCATGTGATTGCATGCATTGGTGGGCTTTTAGGTAGGCTTTGTGGTCGATGATCGACGATAGGCACCCGCCTCTCCACAGACGCATACCTTGATTTGGTGGGACAAAAAGTCTGATCTAATGAACTGTGCCATCAAATCAGACCAGCCAGAATGGGTGCATGCCGTAAGAAGTCTGTAAAAACGCTTTGGCTACACTATCAAGAGGTACTGATGCAGCCATTTGAGTTTAGTTAATACTTACTACCTTGGCAAGGACACATTCCGATGCATGTACACTGCACCGCATATGAGCAGGGTAAAAGTGTTACTGCCGCGGTAGCGGCGTACAACGGAGGCGAGCGGTTGCGAGGTTGCGTAGCCGTAGGACGCAGCGGTATTTGCGGAGGCGGGCCCAGCGCCGAGCATTCCTGCGAGCCGAGGACTGTACTAACCAGAATGTTCTATCTCCATGTCGTGAGCGAAGCGAACAGCGGGGACGCCGGAGGGGCGCCCAGCCAAGCGCAGCGTGGCTGGTACTTGTGAATAGGAGAGCTAAATCGGGCTGTAGATGGTCTTAAATTTGAGTATCTGGATGCTGCGTTACAAATTATACAGTGTAACCTGGGCTCCGGTCAATTCAATAGTGAAAGCCCTGCCCTCTTAGACAGCCCGAACAATAATTGACAATGCTTCTTACAAGTATTTATTTCGTGGAAATCCTGCTGACTATGTTTATCCTTTCTTCGTTGTGATGAATGATACAAAACATTGGGCTCTACAGTATAGTTTCTATAAATGCCATCTTAGCCTCCACAATCATGCCACGCATCGAAGTGAAACCACAATAACACTTATATCGAGCCTTAACCGCCCGGCGTACAGAGTTCTCCGATAAGCGCCATATATCACTACGTATCTTAAATTTCGCACCCAGAAAACGTAGTCTCGAGACCGACTGCTCGCTCAGGTAGCTTATAATGACTAGCATGTTATAAATGCTGCCCAAGCGACAGAGATGTTAGGATCGATGCATAACTAACATCTACATTATACTTAGTTTATCCCCATCACCACAAAAATGCTCAGAAATATTTATCTGTTTCTTGTTTTCCAAGTATTATACTTTGACTAAATGCTATATTGTTAACAGCAAAAAAAACACTGAATGGGGGCGGTGCTGCAAATATTTCAATGAATATTTGTAGCGTTGCCCCCTTAGCAACTCAGACGACCAATCGCCGTGAGGATGCTGCCATACTAGTAATAACAGTAATAACAATAATATATGGCGCGAAGCGTGCTGATACGCTAGTCACTATTCAAATGGTACTTAGAGGACTGCACAGGCAGCTACAACGCGACATCTAGTGTAGCGCACAAGCTGATACGATACATTCACGTTCCAAAATCACAAATATGTCAATAATATGTACGCGAATCCAGAGAATCTAAGTCGCATGCGACCCACATTGTGGTGAAACTTTGCCGGACATACTTTACGAAATCGATATTCCCATGGTTAACGGTCTCTGGATAGTGATAAAAGCCTAATCTCGTATCACTAAGCACTATCTGGAGATTAGGGGATGTTTTTACTTGAATTTGAATACCACTGGTCATCGGGAGAGCCTTTATAAGTGCTAACCGGAGGGTATTTCTATTCGTAATACCACTCCAAAGAAGATATTCTGTAGTTTCGGCCTTTTGCGTAAAAGATACGGTAATTTTACCGTTAAAATATTGCGAAAACCGGTCGAAATGTCTACAACTTAGCATCGAGGGGTGTGTGTGTGTGACAGGTTCTAACATGTGAAATACGACCAACTTAACCACCAAAGTTTTCAGCGGTGTTTGCACCAATCGATAGATGTCGTTGAGACGCTTCATCCAATCGTCTTACTAGCTTCAAAGAAATTTGATTTATTTCCGTCGCAACACATGATTGTCGGGGTAGGCTTATACTAAAAAAAAGAATCATACACGACAACTAGATAAACTTTCAGCGAAGTTTTAGATGAACCTGCGCTACACGTGTTATGATATTATACAGGACGTTTGGTGGTAACTCTCCCTCGCACATGCGCATTAGAACATTTAGGATTTGACTCACGTTACAAGGGGATAATTTGAGGCTACCTTACATGTGACCATTTTGGCTACTGCTACAAATATATGAGCACCCCACCGCTTATACAAAAAAAGTCAAACCGATTGATGACTACATGAATAGCGAGTCTTATCGTCGTGTTTTATGTTGCATTCATAGCGGCGGCGAGGCATCGATAAAATCAATGACTGAAGCTCCGGCATGACGGTAGCATTCCAGGCCTCATAGAACCCAGCCGTTACCTTGTTCACAGTGCTTAACAATATGCATTTGGTGTCCGTTGATGAATGACCAGAGGGATTAAGGCCGGGCGAGCGAACCGGCCACGCGAGCATCCTATTACGCAAATGCTTCTGCGTGCCGTGCACTTGGGCCGTGAATCGATGCGCCACCTGCTGGAAACTGAATTCAGTTTCGTGGTGGTAGTGGTGCACGGGAACATGAATTCAGGTAAGGTGTACACATAGTCGTTGACCCATCGAGTGGTTAGATTAACAAGTAATGTGACGCAGCGAAGACCGGCCTCGTAGAGCCCATTGATTCGCCCCCGCTTGATGCCGTTAGTAGTGCGCCCCGTCTTCAGTTCCACAATGCAAGAAGCTGGACGAGAGCAGTAGCAGAGGATCATCGGTTGTAGAGAGCTGACCCCTTGCATTTTACTAACAACGGTTATTGATGTAGTCATTACTTCGTCATCATTCGGTTTCACTTGTTTTGTATATGCGATGGAGCGTTCATGTATTTGCCGCAGTATCAAAACTGTCACTTGTATAATACGGACTCCTTTTGTTTATTACTGACGCCTACTAATACCTAACAACTCCGCTTAGTAAATCAAATCATATTCCTCCATTTTTACTGACAGCATCCCACATTGCGTGCATACCAGCTTAATCAATCTGACATTATGCCACACAACTGCGCAACAGTCGCGGTCCCGCGAGGCTGAAAGTGCTCTCAGCTTGGGTGGAATGCGATGATACCAATGCTGCTGATGTCTTGATTTATCTGGGGCTTGATGCATTTGCGTAAGAGCAGCGGCGCAAGCTCACTCACTAGTGACAGAAACGACATGATCACATCGAGGCTGTATGCTACAAGTAAGGGTCGACACAAGAAGATGAAGACCTGACATCGCGGATGCGGGGCCGCCCTCTCCATGCGCCCTGAGATGGATCTGATGGCTGATGGCTTCAACTAACGGCTTGCGAAAGGAAAACGTTCCTATTTCCATTATGAAGCTTCATTTGCAGGGGTTAGATGTTTCCGCAACATATGGTGTGCCAAGTTCCCGCGCATCCTGGCCATGGATGAAGGCGTTCGAGGCGCGCCACAATTCCTCTACGCGTGCCAGAACACACCAAATGCAGCAGCCACCAGAAAATCTCGCCAGGATTGCAGCCGCCTTAATAAGGACTTGGTTGCCAAAACCTCGGTATATGAAAAATACCAACACCGGCCAAACTGCGACGACGTATCATTTTGTAGCAATTTACTTAACTAATACGTTTATGAATAGCTGTACTTTTGAGTAGCTTATTTCCAGTACAATGACTAAAACCAGGACCTGATATGGTATGGGTGTGCTGCACTGGGGAGGACAAAGAGCCCGTCACCCTCTTCGCGGACTCAGGTGGGACCAAGTCACCATCGTTCGTGGTGTTGACGACCAAGCTATCCAAACCTCCGGCCACTAGGGAGCAGAATAGACCACTGCATCATGGGCCCGGAGTAAGGCTGTAGAAACCATCAGCGAGGCGCAGAAGCATACGTCGCTTCAAATCTATGGCAACAAGAAAAATAAAACTTTACTACCCAGATTAAAAGCCCACGCTTGGGATCGGCAAATATCCCACGAGTGGGCTCAAGCGGATTAGTTGAATGCATGAGTAAATGTATTATGAAGAGCGTTTAGAGGCTACTAGTTAGCCCAATGTAGTGTTTAAATGGAGTGAGTGGTAGCCCCGACCTGGCTTCAGGTCGCAAACCCCAGTGGATCAGAGCAACCGGAGCAGTAAAATGAGGCCTTTCGCCCGCAAATACTGCATTTGCGCTGCGCACCCAAGTTTGTCCCGCTAAGACGTTTGTACTGGGGAAGTGTGCTGAATGCATAGAGTGTGTGAGTTGGGGTGCTACGTCATCACGGAAATAAGCAGCAGTAGCGACCCTCGTCGAGCCGTGCATCACAAAGTCGTTGAATACCAGTTGATAGACCAATTGAGAGATGAACGTATTGAAGTCGACAATAGCCGATTCTAAAAACCCCGATTTGACTGATTCGTAGTGATAGGCGCGGAAAGCATCCACCACCACCATGCCAAACACAGTAACGAGCAAACGATGTTGCCACTGCATTGTGTGCCAAGTGCGTTCCATCTCGAGGCTACCCTGTCGAAGATGATCATGAACATCTATCACCGAGAACTTCGAGAAAAAGAGCTCCACCATTTGGGGGCGCTGGATACGTCGGTCGTACTATATTTTTTTCAGCTGGCCGTTGTCAAGGATGAGCTTGTGTCGTCGGCGAACGCTATCGTTGCTAGGAAGCGACGTTCCGCGGTTTGAGATGAGGCACTTCGCTTTGCGGTCAGCCCAGCAGAGAGCATACATCGCGGTGCCTTTGGGGGTTTTGCTCTGTAGCATCTTAAATGACCCGCTAGCGGGCTCAGTACCAAACCACTCCGTCATATAATTTTTTTGATATCGCGAGACGCTGTTTTAACCATTCCCATAAAGTAAAGGCCGCAAAGATTTTCAAGTTGCACAAGGGTTTTAACCAAAGCGAAAGCACTGTCTGCAACAACGGTGTGCCCGCTACCTTTATAAACTTCAGAAAGCCGAAGTACAATCGCTGTACCCTCGCCAAACAACGCGTGGTATTGCTTCTGGCGTTGGGGCTCGGCTCTATCAATCTAACCCCAACAGCACACCCGAATCACCAACAGCGATAGCTTTTAGTTCGGCACCCACGACTTCTGGCTTTCTTGGAATTTTTGTCTTGTGAGGTATGTCATCTTGGCAGTATTTAACCTCTTTTCCCTGCCAGGCGCTCATGCACTCATCAACACAAAGAATCTCCCCCGGTCATACTACATCGCGGCGGCGGGAATTAAATCCATCTATTAGCGGTCTAATAGATTTCCGTGGGTCATCTGACGGTACATCATCGGAAAAAAAGAGCGCGGCTGAAATATTTTCAAAGGCGTGTCGTGTAATGGGTAATTGGTAATATATCCATCGACCAAGTCGATCGCACTGTACATCGTACACCCCGCCATGTTGTTCTGAAGAACATCCTTCATAGGAATGGGCGTCTGCGCCAGAATCGTAGCGGCATTCATCTTATTAAAAGCATGCACGATACGCCACTTTCCATTCGGCTTTCTGACACAGAACGTCGGCGTAGAGTGTGGAGACTTACTCTCACGCTGCATGCCTGCCTCGTGCTTCGCACGGAAGAACGCGTCAATGACGTCACACTGCTCCTTCGGTAAGGGCCACTGCCTCGTCACATTCCCGGAACGAGATCGATTTCATGTCGAAAACCTCGATTCGCTGCAAGCCCGCCGAGAAGCTTCATCACTGCAGTGAACAGGTCGTCCGGCAGGATAGTCATGGGATTTCGGACGGCATCGCCGCGACGGTTGCGAGCCAACTTGTACAGCAACCACGTGTTATACATCTCGGCTATCACGTGATACGGGAGCCCCGTGTGAAAAGCCGGATGGAGCCGAGCGACAGTGTGGCAGGAATCAAGCGCTGCCACGCTGTCGTTGAAAAGTTCCTGGAATGGACGGAATTGCAGACCAATCCAGGCAAGAGCGCCTTCCTGGCCGTGACGCGCAACGCGCGCGGCAACCCTGCCCACGACAAGGACATGAAGTTGTTGTTCCACGACGAGGAGGTCTCAAAAATATTTTTTCTAATCTGATTTTGTAATTAGTAATGCTAATTTGTACCTACTGTTTCTGGGGATTGTACTGCTTGTTTCGCGTATCTTCCGAAGCGAAAGCTCGCAAGGACCGGGACAAAGACTGTCTGGGTAAAATGCGCTGGAAAGACTAAGACCGCGTTACCGCTTCATGAAGATTCCAAGGACTCCCAATACCCACCTTTTGTCGTATTTAAGGTCAAACCATCGAAGATCGAGCATCGACGTCAGGAAAATACCGCGGTTCGTCATGGTTTTAGTATGGCCATGTGGAAGACCGGCGTCTCGCAAGCACAGCAAGATTACGGTATGAAAATGTATGCAAATGACAAAGGTAAAGTCTCGTCGTACTTCAGATATATTTGCATTGATTTTAAACGATTCTGGGATGTTGAAAACTACACAGGCTGGTGGAACGGTCCGTTGACAATTGATTAGCTGCAATTCCAGTTTGGGGACCCTGATATCACTTTGGGGTCAATCTTGCTGCTGTTCGTCGACTTTTCAGGTCATTGGGCCGAGGAAGCCGTCGCGTATGCAAAGGAAATCAATGTCATGGTGCTGGACATACCACCAAATTCGACCTCCGTCTGCCAACTCGCAAACGCCACTTGGAATCGGCCGCCCAAAGCTCAGTTAAGAAACTTGTGGATTGGCAGTCTACGGGGGCAGCTTAATGCCCGCAACTCAGAAGTCCTGTTTAAACTTCAAGCACCCCAGCACCCCGTCCTGTGTAAGAGGATCCATGACGGGTAGGGTAGTATTGCGAGTACTACGATTGTTTCTGGGTTCAAGAAGTGCGGTCTATTAGAAGGCCCAACAGCGGTCGAGGTAGATGAGAGATCGAGAACGCTGATGACATCGTGGATGCAGTGCTCCATACGTGCAAAGTAGATCAAACTCTAGGTGTGTTTAGTTTAGACGATGATTTTGACGACGTTTTCCGTCCGGTAGCACCGTTAAGCTAATGCACACATTCTCTTTACTTTTACCATAATTTGCGGCTTTTGCTAGTTTTTATCTCGCTAAAAATGTGTTTGTGGCGACTCATATAGCCGGGACATCAAAACTCAGGTCGAATCAGGCTGTATGCTCAGACAAAAGGAATTCGGTACTGATTTATACGATTCACAAGAACGCCTAGTTCATGATGAGATGCGTGTGTGGAAGAAGTAGTGTATTCAATTTGTGTTATCTGCGTAAACAAGTTCAACTCAATCTAGTATATCTCCTGGCGTCCTCGCCGTGAAAGACGATGGTTCGTATCTCACTAATATCGACTGTTTTCACTCTGTAGTTAGCAAGCCGAAGAAATGTTGTCCAAGTGCTGCTGGCGTTTGCCGCAGTCATACGGTAAAGGCATCAGCAAACTGCGATAGACTTTTTCGATAGATTCCATACCCCACTCCGCACTCTGTCTAATCATAGTAATTGCCACTAAAAAAAAAAACGACTTCACCGCCACCTGAACAGAAGGTAGTAACCAATTCACATCTCCGACCTTCATTGCGGTCATGATTTTGCCGACCACATTTCCGCTGCAGTGGAAAACACTGTCAGCCACGACACCATAACGATCGTCTGGGTGTAGTTCTGTCGAGGATAGCTTACCCCGGAATTCCAGACTCGTATCATCATCGTCCCAGGATCGTGGGCAATTATGTTTGCCCAGACAATATCCCGTCCGCCGAAAACGTAGCGTACCCGTGACGAACACACCATGCTGCCAACCATTATAATGTGCATTCTAGATGTCCGGTTCTGGGAGCAGAAGTAAGAAACAGAAAAGGCTCTTGCTCCCAATCACCACTAAATAAACTATCACATCGATACAAATACATTGTAAAATCCCCCGTCCACGAATCCCCATGCGAGGCTCTTTAGCTGCCGTTAAACGGGGAAATCCGAACGTTGCTTGTCATGTAGGGCCTCCTTCAATTTTCGTTTATCTCGGTTTGCGCCTCACTACGCAATCTCAATCTTCAACTCGAATGGGGGCCGCCCTAGAAAGCTTCAACACCACCTTCAAGTGTTGGGGCTGCTTTTGGCTTTCCATGTACACTGTGAGCATCGATGATGGCTGTACCTCATAGTTACACGCCAATCACACGCTCGATTTCGGCATATTAGCCTTACCGAGACAAGCTAGACACCGTTATCATATTCTTGTATGTCCGTTCGAAAAACGTGTTCATCCAGGACGAGGAATCGGCATCCTTTAGGCACTATTAAGGTGATGTAGTCCCGCATTCGGACGTTCGCCATACAACCTCTGTCTCAAATCTCGGAGGGCCTTGAGAGAATGCTGTCGCGTCTGCGAGGCGGCAGAAAGCGCCAGCAGGGAGCGTGTGTCTGGGCCGGACATCGTTCCTACTGCAAGAAGCGCGAGGGAAGCAAATGCCAATATTGGTTGCTCGTGAAGGGTCTCTTCCGCCAAACGAGAGCTTTACCGATAAAGATGTTGTGAAAACATTTGTCCAGCTGGAAATTTTTCCCTTTTTCCGATCCGCATGATGCGACTAAGATATCTTACTTCAAGTGGCGAAGGTCACCGGACGCAGTTCAGTTTAATGACTCTTCGGGCTCTACGGGCTCTTCAGGATCTTCGGTGAATCTAGGTGGGCGACTGCCGGGTGGACCTCGGGATCGGGGGAGGGGGTGCACAGTGCTCGCCTGCGAATATGCTGTCTCCGGCGAGTAGGTAGCACCTGGGGTCGGGACTGAGCGCACAGGCATGCGTGGATGCGATGATTCCGCCTTCGTGCTATGCCTTCTGGTTCGGAAGAGCGCCGGAACGCCACCACAGGCTACCGTCTGCCGAGTGGAGGCGCCCAGTTAAGGTAACTAGCAGCCACCACCAGATATTGAGCAGCAGCGACGGATTTTCCTCCACAAAAGCAGTATCCTCTGCCAGGTGACGCGCGAGACCACCACAACCGGAAGTCGAGAGGATGAGAGGTTACGCCGACACGACCAGCAGTATCACATACAATGCCAGTGACTGCTCAAGCCGAGAAGATGTCTGGCCGCCACATTATGAAGGCTAAGAGCAACACTACTTTAACGTACTGAGAGTCAGGAAGCGACCAGCTGTCGTCTATCCACATCGTTAGCAACACGGTCAGAGTAGAGGCATAGCAGCAGCAGATTGAGCTCGTCAAGACTGCCGAAGCGCTAGCTGGATCACGTCGAGCTGTAGTAGATAGACTACGTCGCAGTCACGAGAGTCGTGGGATCACAGAGAGCAGGATCTCCTCCCAGCCGAGCAGAAGTAGGTACATCTCACAACTATGTTCCTATTATAGCGAGCTAGGTGCTGTCAATGTTTTTACGAGCTCTTGCCTCAGGCAGTTTTGCAATCCCTTATTTATACAGATATAAACATGGGTATGTATCGCGAGATTTTACCTCCTTATGTATAGTCGCAGTCGCCGTTGATGTCCAGTGCTTGCCAGACGTGAATTTTGCTAGCAGAACCCTCCGGCAATGGTAAATGAGAGGCTGGGCTTCTTTCGTGAGTGGTTGAGATGGGAAGAGCAAGGACCAATGTAATTTGAAACAGACGTATTTGATTGAAAGTGATTAATTTGAGTTTTGTTGCACAGCCTTCATAACTGAGTGCCTCTTCATCATGCCTATTAGCTTTGAGCAGCGTCCCACGCAGGCATGCCTCGACAGACTTCTTTTCGACTTAACCGCAATCATGTCTGTCAGCAAGATGCATTACCGTGAGAGACACTAAACAGCGCTCCGATTGTAAACAGTTTTTTATATTGTTTTAGCTTTTTGTTTGAACTGCAGAAGCAAATTGGTACTATCATCCCGGGTTTTGAAACGAAGCGTATCTTACGCTATAAAGAAGAAAATGTTGTAGTGCGACGAGGCGGGCATGTTGCCGTGGATATATGAGGTATGTTTTTATGAAATGATAATATAATTACGAAAGGTGTTATTATACCATTTGGCGTGTAATCAGTAGGGCTCAAAATCAGTATCGAATTGTGATCTCGAATACTCTGTATTTGCGATCGAAGGGTACAAACATACTAAAGCACTAAGTATTTCCATAGAAATCCGATGCAACGCAACCTTGCAGTTTACATTAGTTATTTCCTCTTTCATTCCTAATGTAGCGTCAACACGCAAAAAAAACTACTCAAGTGCACAGCTGTCTAGAGTTCGCACTAGGATCAGAGCAATTAATATTTCATTTAGAATCCCTCAACACATCGCCGTGGTCGTGGCGGCTCGCGCCGAGACGAACTTCTTGTACTCCCTGCGCTTCGCTGCTAGACGCTTCTTGGTGGATATGCTGGTCCCACGGACTCCTGCTTCGTACCGGTGGTAGTTGTCGACCTCTCCGGCACGAACGGCACGAAGGGAGTGTAGGAGAGGTGAGAGCGACGCACGTGTGGAAGAACAAGTCGTAGGATGTCTCGTTCCAGCGCCATTTGTCGGCGCACACCCTCTACAACATTTTCAACCGCCCAAAGTAGTGATCAACGCGGACCTTGTGTGCGACCTGTTGTCGTTTTGATGCACGTCCTCGCGCAACACCGTTCGCAAGCGACGCTGACGCATCGGATGAACGGCACGGAAGTGGGCACCCAGCCCTTAATAGGGGTACCGCCCACTCGTTAGAGTAGACGTCTTGGAGAGGGCTATCGTCTGCCAGCCGTGCTCCCCAGAACGTTTCTTGAGCGCCTTCACGTTCAAGGCATCATTTTCACGGAACATGGTGAGGTCGGAGGCGCTGCCCCTAATACGGGGCGAGCAGTTCATCGCCAACTCAGCGGGCAAGACGGACACCTCTACCTTGTACCCGTACAAGTGGTGTTTGCCGCTCAACGTGGGCTTGGAAGTTCGTTTACGAAGATGACGTACAGGTACGGGCTTACAACCGTCAGGAACTTACGCACCGTATTCTGGAACGTAGTTGTCAGTATGCAAAAGATGTGAGCGACGATGTCCCATTGACTGCTGTGCTTCAAGGCGGAGATGCTCATGAAGAACACGTCCTTCCCGGAGCTTGCGGGCGTTTTACCAATGCTCGTGTCAAGTAGACCTCTACCCCACAGCTTTGGGAACCCTTGAGGGGTGAAGTTCGTGTACCGAAGGACTTCATTGGAGCCTTCGGCACGAAGACACAGGTCGTAGCGGGGGGGGGGAGCTCGTTGTCCGAGCCGTTGGGTCGGTTGGGAGCAACGTGCGACCAATCTTCGCCTTATTGGAAGAGGAGGATCGGAACTCAGCCAGGGTCGGCCCACAGGAGGTGCGTTTGGGATTGCGTTGGCGAGGGGTGATGGTACTGCGTTACTCAGGCGGTTAAATCGTAAATGAGGATTGTTAATGCGTAGCACAACACCTTTAGGAGTTTGTACAAGCCTCGGCGGAAAACGATATAGTACTAGTCGTTGCGTAAAATGTTACATAATACATTTCTGTTTGTGCAATTCGATGTACATTCAAGGTGGTAGTTTGCTGTTCACCAAATTGTACCTATGAGGAAGACGCGTTTAGCATCCTCGATAATACCTTGGTAGTGGTTGTAAGCTCTAGTGTTTTAGTTACCTCCCGGAAGTTCTGCCACTGGGTGCCATCCAAAACCTATATAAAACGGTTTGGCTATTAAGGGTATTACATCGGTCATTAAATGGAGCGATAAAACGGAATTGTTTGGAGAATAAAACAATTTAAAAATGGGCTTGGTCGCCCTTTTAATGCCCCTTATTCCACAGCTCGATAACAATATCTTAAAGAATGTATGGGTTCAAATAGCTCCCTCACTTTAAGATTTCGCTTGAATTGACGTTGCACGCGTGATCTTGGAGGCCGCACGCCTTATTTCGAATTTGGACTCCTCGCGCCAAAGTCTTCACCTGCTACAAACGAGTATGTACACTACTGTGAGTTGATGCATTTGTTCATAGAGTCTAAAAGACCGTTTATTCACTACGTAGCCAACGATGTACCCGTCTCTCCCGATCAACCGCTGCCACGCAACAAGCGATACTCTCGAGTCTTCGATTGCACCCGACTCCAAGCGCCGCAAGATCTCCGTCAAGCAGGCTTCTGATGTCGCTGCGCCTGAATCGACCTTTGCGAACCGACGGCGGAGGAGCCTCAGCTTCCCTCTTCTCCGGCGGGTGCTTGGCGGACAAGTAGCCCAACTGCCGCCTAAGTCTTGGTGAAGGTCTTCGTGGACCTCGTCAAGTACAAAGTGCTGTCATTTCAGTTGAACGTCAAGCAAGTTCAAAACTGGCTTCGGTTGCTAAAGAAAAATTGGAGAGCGAGCGAGATACGTTCAGCTTTTGGAAGCGGCATCGAGGAATCTCTGGAAGCGGTTAATGAACAGGGTCACTACGTCACATTGCCTGGGCTAGTTCGAGAGTACGTACGTCTCGAAAAAGTTCACGCAGTGGCTCAGAAAGCGAAATTCGAGAAAGAGCAGGAGAAAGCAGCTAGTGTTGAGTTATGTACGTCTGAGATTATCGCAGAGAGTAACACTCGCAGAGCAGTAGGTTACTTTGACGAACTGGATTCGTTCTCCGAGCCCGAAGACGCCGTATCGGGCTCCCGTTCGGCCGATACGTGCAACTCAGCGTCAGCCAAATCGACCCCGGCGAAATCTAGCAAAGAGTGGTTTGTTGTGTTCGAACCAAATCAGAACGCTTGGATAAGCGTAATCGTGACGAATTTGCTTTGCGGAAGCAACACTTTGAAGCGAAGTTGGACTGACAGGAGCAATAACATGCAGAACTACTGGAGTTGTAGAGAAGTCGAGTATTGGCTTGCAAAGCAGCAGAAAAACATAATCGGGAGCTGATGATCAAATGCGTAAAAATGTTTTGCACAGGACAAACCGCTCACCGATCTCCCTCCAAAACCCGCTTGTCTATCCTCCCACCTTGTTGGGAGTGCGAGCTTGTAGAATAGGATACAGAAATTCAACTCCAGTTGCGGCCGTCCTCTCCTTTGTAGTAATAACACCCATCTTAAATAGTGAAACCAAAACGACGAGCTCGTCTTTTGAAAAGCGAAAACACTGCTTGCGTTTAGATTTTGAGAACGCGTTGAAGTTGAAAGGCGCCTTGAGTGGTCTCTCTACTTCGTCACCCAGCACATGCGCCAAGTGACGACGAATAATGGCCGCTTTTAAATCGGCCCCATACTGAAGCGCACGGCGTCAGCGTCGAAGGAGGTACGCCGAGTTTTGATGTCGCGATACACCTTTCGTCAGTCGGCGGATGTACTTCACCATAGCACTGCCTGCATCGGCGATGGCATCGTCAGTAATCGTAGTCGTAGAAGTAGCTTTAGCTAGTCGGCTAGTCTACGTTGCAGAACCGAGCGACGGAAAATGAAGTATTTCTTTTGCCGTCGTTCGGTTCTGCCTTCAGGTTTGCTAATTGTGGCTTTGGACATCTAAACCGACAATTAGGGGTTTGTGGATTCGTTTAAAGACCTCTTATACACAACCTTCCTGCTCGACTAGCTACGGCCAGCTCGCTACACTGCAGCAAAATCATGACCTGATGTCCGTCCTTGTAACCGTCTCCGAGCACCTACAGAGTCGTACTGGGCGTTTAGCGCACGTCGTACCGCAGATTACCTCGCTCCATTGCGTTGGCGTTAGCTGGTCTTTGTAGGCCTTCTCCAAAAGCTCCGTCCGTGGGCGGCTGCAGGCTCAGCGCGCCGAACACGACTCAGCTCCAGCCCCAGTAGCATGGACTAAGATATAGCGCAGGCACTTCGCGCTTGATCGCTCCGTTTCGCTGTACGAGGCACTGTCGGCGCACGTGCTGGACGCGTCCACAGGGACGTACGTTGCGTCGAGCAGCTTTTTCCTATCCGCGGCGGCGCTGCTCTTCGCCTTCGTCCCGCAAGAGGTCTACCAGGAGCTGGCGGGGTGCCACACCCAGCAGTAGCAGCAGCAGCAGCGCAGAATTCTTCTTGCGTCATCGCCGTGTCTGCATCACGCTTCTTCACACTTGCCCCCGATGCTCCTCACTGCTGCCTGCCAAAATGTGAAATGAATGGTTTTGGCGCGAAAACCTCGTAACGATCATAATATATTAGCTAGGTCTTCTGCAATCTTATAAATATAAACACATTAAATCTCAGAAGTAATAAGGAGTATTAGGTGTCGGAAGTGAGGGTACCTACAGTATTGTTTAGGAGGTACGTTTAATGTCCGGTGAAAAATGAAGTAGAAGTCCCCTCCAGTGGAGGGATCAAGAAATTTTTTGCAGCCGCTTTTGTGAGTCAATCCCACGGCGCTCTTTAGTAAAAGGCGAAAGAGTGATGCGAATGAAATTAACTCTGCGGAACGACATTTATACCACACACACAATACCCCTATATATTATCTTCCACCCTCACGGACAATCACGCGTTAACGACCAACTTATCTTATCCTAACTAAAGTTAACCTCAAGATACCGTAAAAAACTGATCCAGTGCGACACCAGTTTTCCACTAGCAAGACCATTTTATACATCGTTATTAGATTACAGAGTCGTCTAAGGGCCTTTCAGCCAATAGAAATTGCGTATCGAGACAGCACACGCGTGGGCTCAAAAACAATGGTTGTAGATAAGCCGTTTTTGCTTTCCAAAGCAATATAATTGATTCTAATGAGCTCTAAATGGCACAATGAAGTACGATTGACTTGCCACTAACCCCCCAGAAGCAACAGTATTTATTTATCAGATCATAGTTAGTGCGGAAAGTCGATTGGTAGTCTCCATGCAGCCTACTTACCTCTAAAATGATAAGGGCAATGGTCCAAGCTCTACAGACGCATTGAAAAAAGCGCAGCAAGCAAATTAATTCACGTGATACATGCACTGTTGGGACATAACTGGTTAGCATTCAACAGGCAAAGGCGTCAACTTGTTGTACCCTTGACGCAATTGTAGGGATTCCCGCTTTGGGAGTAAATCAGTGGTCCAGTAACACTCTATCGAGGCGTTAGTGCTTACAATAGAGTCTAGAACGTATTTAAAGTGTTTATGTGGTCGGCTCTTACTAAGTTTCACCTCCTACCACCATTAGAACGGCTAAGAAATAAAATGTCGAACAGCTAAAATAGGCCTATTTTTGGCCCAGTCTTGGCCGCTGTTGCTACTACTGCAGTACTTGCTTAACGCTGTGCGGCTTGCATTATTTCCCTTATACGTAGAGGTACACCTCGAGTATACCAGCACCGATTCTAAATCATACTTAGAAAAAAGTTGCGATCAGGTCGCTATTTTCTCGACCATAATCTTTGTCCGGATATGTTTTGTGAAGACAACTTCGTTTGAAGCCGGGCAAAAGGCGCTGAACAGATCTCTATCTCGTTTATTTGTATGCGGAGGAGTATCTCGAAATAGGCCAGACAACAATAGTATCGGCTTTTTGAAGTGAGCCCACGCGTGGGCTCAATGGGTAATAAAGGTTAATTGACACTGTGTCGCATTGGATCCGTTTACTACGGTATTATATGTCTTTAGTAAAAAGAAAAGTTGCTATTTGGGTTTTCACGGCTGACATTAGCCCCTAACTTCGGCAACCAGTTCTTTGCTTCTGCTCCCAAATCCATGTTACCCAAAAGCGAAGTTAGAGCTGGGCCATTTCAATGATCGTTGATTGCACTAAATTTGCCATGCACTGCTCGTGATGCTCCTCAATAGGCAGGGCAATACAAACTCTCCGTTAATACTTCAAAAATACGCTGCACAACGCCAGCCGCAGTGGACTATGAATATTAGCAAAATGTATCTGGAAACGAAGTGTTATAGCGAAAAGATCTTCCGGCCTTCTTGCTCGCCAGCTGAGTCCGTACTCAAGTCGTACTTCCACCCACCCGATAGATAAAAATACGACCTGACATGATCTGTGGTATTCTGGTAAACTGGAGAACAGTTTCAAGCTGAGCACGACAGCCCCGTGTTGTCAGCTGTAGCTCGGCCCGTCCAAAACCTTGTTAGGAAGGCATTCACAATGAGGTTTGTCGATTCCTGTTTATTGCATCGGGTTTTGAGCAGTGAATAGTTGCATCAAATAACAACACAGTATCGCAACCCAACGACTGCCATCGTATTCAAACGCATTTTTTGCATATGGTACACAAGCCAAGCGGAGCCCCGCAAGCTGAGCTCATCTCACCTTGTTAAGCTACGCGAATGGTGTACCGTACCGACTCCTTATGCTCGAACGAACGTGGTTTGTAGGTCTTCCTATATGCGGGTAGGCGTGTCGTGAGTAGTGTGTGCGTGTGCTGTGCGTAGAGCGCGTGGTTGTGTGTGGCGGGCTGTGTGCAGCGTTTTGTTTGATTTTGGGTGGGTTGTCAAATTAGGACCGAGTGTAGCTCACATGTCAGTTGGTAGAGCGATTGACTGTAGTGTTCTATACTGTGTCTCAGTATACTTGGAAATCAATTGGTCGCTGGTTCGATTCCGGCCACTCGGATTTTATCCATGTCTCCCGCGCACTCCTTTTTTCATTCTGCGCCCTCCGTACGCCCCGATTCACCTGCCCACGTCTGTCTCGGCGGCCTGGCGCCTCGCCACCGCGTCCACGCCATGATCGGCTGTGTTTTGGGCCTACGGCGGCTGACCAGACGTCTGCACCCTGCCGACCTGCTCGACGTCGGCAGTGCGCCTCCGATGGACAAGCGGGGCGGAGAATGCGTATCGCTTCATACGACACCCGTATCGCGACGACTGACGACGTTGGTTGCCACAGGCGAATGCCGTTGCACGTCGCGTAAGCGAATAGGACGTGGAAGTTCGACCCGAGTCACCCAGTCAGGGACTCGGCCGGCGCGTCGACGCTGATTTTGCGATTCCGCTTTGTGGTCGCTGTGCTGTCGGCAGCAACCTGTGAGGCTACCAGAGCATGTGGGATGGGTCTGGGCGCATCGTGGAAGCATGGAATGCAGCTGAAGAGGATGCGGAAAGTCGGTGCGGAAACGGTGTCCGCGCGAGATGTGTGGTCGGTTTGTAGGGCGTTGTATGGGCCGAGTAGGATGCGGATAGGCGTGTCGTGAGTGGCGTGTGCGTGTGCTGTGCGTAGAGTGCGTGGTTGTGTGTGGCGGGTTGTGTGCAGCGTTTTGTTTGATTTTGGGTGGGTTGTCAAAATAGGACCGAGTGTAGCTCACATGTCAGTTGGTAGAGCTATTGACTGTAGTGTTCTATACTGTGTCTTAGTATACTTGGAAATCAATTGGTCGCTGGTTCGATTCCGGCCACTCGGATTTTATTCACGTCTCCCGTTCCACGATGCGCCCAGACCCATCCCACATGCTCTGGTAGCCTCACAGATTGCTGCCGACAGCACAGCGACCACAAAGCGGAATCGCAAAATCAGCGTCGACGCGCCGGCCGAGTCCCTGACTGGGTGACTCGGGTCGAACTTCCACGTCCTATTCGCTTACGCGACGTGCACCGGCATTCACCTGTGGCAACCTACGTCGTCAGTCGTCGCGATACGGGTGTCGTATGAAGCGATACGCATTCTCCGCCCCGCTTGTCCATCGGAGGCGCACTGCCGACGTCGAGCAGGTCGGCAGGGTACAGACGTCTGGTCAGCCGCCGTAGGCCCAAAACACAGCCGATCATGGCGTGGACGCGGTGGCGAGGCGCCAGGCCGCCGAGACAGACGTGGGCAGGTGAATCGGGGCGTACGGAGGGCGCAGAATGAAAAAAGGAGTGCGCGGGAGACATGGATAAAATCCGAGTGGCCGGAATCGAACCAGCGACCAATTGATTTCCGAGTATACTGAGACACAGTATAGAACACTACAGTCAATCGCTCTACCAACTGAGCTACACTCGGTCCTAATTTGACAACCCACCCAAAATCAAACAAAACGCTGCACACAACCCGCCACACACAACCACGCACTCTACGCACAGCACACGCACACGCCACTCACGACACGCCTATCCGCATCCTACTCGGCCCATACAACGCCCTACAAACCGACCACACATCTCGCGCGGACACCGTTTCCGCACCGACTTTCCGCATCCTCTTCAGCTGCATCCCATGCTTCCACGATGCGCCCAGACCCATCCCACATGCTCTGGTAGCCTCACAGGTTGCTGCCGACAGCACAGCGACCACAAAGCGGAATCGCAAAATCAGCGTCGACGCGCCGGCCGAGTCCCTGACTGGGTGACTCGGGTCGAACTTCCACGTCCTATTCGCTTACGCGACGTGCAACGGCATTCGCCTGTGGCAACCTACGTCGTCAGTCGTCGCGATACGGGTGTCGTATGAAGCGATACGCATTCTCCGCCCCGCTTGTCCATCGGAGGCGCACTGCCGACGTCGAGCAGGTCGGCAGGGTGCAGACGTCTGGTCAGCCGCCGTAGGCCCAAAACACAGCCGATCATGGCGTGGACGCGGTGGCGAGGCGCCAGGCCGCCGAGAGAGACGTGGGCAGGTGGATCGGGGCGTACGGAGGGCGCAGAATGAAAAAAGGAGTGCGCGGGAGACATGGATAAAATCCGAGTGGCCGGAATCGAACCAGCGACCAATTGATTTCCGAGTATTCTAAGACACAGTATAGAACACTACAGTCAATCGCTCTACCAACTGAGCTACACTCGGTCCTAATTTGACAACCCACCCAAAATCAAACAAAACGCTGCACACAACCCGCCACACACAACCACGCACTCTACGCACAGCACACGCACACGCCACTCACGACACGCCTATCCGCATCCTACTCGGCCCATACAACGCCCTACAAACCGACCACACATCTCGCGCGGACACCGTTTCCGCACCGACTTTCCGCATCCTCTTCAGCTGCATCCCATGCTTCCACGATGCGCCCAGACCCATCCCACATGCTCTGGTAGCCTCACAGGTTGCTGCCGACAGCACAGCGACCACAAAGCGGAATCGCAAAATCAGCGTCGACGCGCCGGCCGAGTCCCTGACTGGGTGACTCGGGTCGAACTTCCACGTCCTATTCGCTTACGCGACGTGCACCGGCATTCGCCTGTGGCAACCAACGTCGTCAGTCGTCGCGATACGGGTGTCGTATGAAGCGATACGCATTCTCCGCCCCGCTTGTCCATCGGAGGCGCACTGCCGACGTCGAGCAGGTCGGCAGGGTGCAGACGTCTGGTCAGCCGCCGTAGGCCCAAAACACAGCCGATCATGGCGTGGACGCGGTGGCGAGGCGCCAGGCCGCCGAGAGAGACGTGGGCAGGCGGATCGGGGCGTACGGAGGGCGCAGAATGAAAAAAGGAATGCGCGGGAGACATGGATAAATCCCAGTGGCCGGAATCGAACCAGCGACCAATTGATTTCCGAGTATACTGAGACACAGTATAGAACACTACAGTCAATCGCTCTACCAACTGAGCTACACTCGGTCCTAATTTGACAACCCACCCAAAATCAAACAAAACGCTGCACACAACCCGCCACACACAACCACGCACTCTACGCACAGCACACGCACACGCCACTCACGACACGCCTATCCGCATCCTACTCGGCCCATACAACGCCCTACAAACCGACCACACATCTCGCGCGGACACCGTTTCCGCACCGACTTTCCGCATCCTCTTCAGCTGCATCCCATGCTTCCACGATGCGCCCAGACCCATCCCACATGCTCTGGTAGCCTCACAGGTTGCTGCCGACAGCACAGCGACCACAAAGCGGAATCGCAAAATCAGCGTCGACGCGCCGGCCGAGTCCCTGACTGGGTGACTCGGGTCGAACTTCCACGTCCTATTCGCTTACGCGACGTGCACCGGCATTCGCCTGTGGCAACCAACGTCGTCAGTCGTCGCGATACGGGTGTCGTATGAAGCGATACGCATTCTCCGCCCCGCTTGTCCATCGGAGGCGCACTGCCGACGTCGAGCAGGTCGGCAGGGTGCAGACGTCTGGTCAGCCGCCGTAGGCCCAAAACACAGCCGATCATGGCGTGGACGCGGTGGCGAGGCGCCAGGCCGCCGAGAGAGACGTGGGCAGGCGGATCGGGGCGTACGGAGGGCGCAGAATGAAAAAAGGAGTGCGCGGGAGACATGGATAAAATCCGAGTGGCCGGAATCGAACCAGCGACCAATTGATTTCCGAGTATACTGAGACACAGTATAGAACACTACAGTCAATCGCTCTACCAACTGAGCTACACTCGGTCCTAATTTGACAACCCACCCAAAATCAAACAAAACGCTGCACACAACCCGCCACACACAACCACGCACTCTACGCACAGCACACGCACACGCCACTCACGACACGCCTATCCGCATCCTACTCGGCCCATACAACGCCCTACAAACCGACCACACATCTCGCGCGGACACCGTTTCCGCACCGACTTTCCGCATCCTCTTCAGCTGCATCCCATGCTTCCACGATGCGCCCAGACCCATCCCACATGCTCTGGTAGCCTCACAGGTTGCTGCCGACAGCACAGCGACCACAAAGCGGAATCGCAAAATCAGCGTCGACGCGCCGGCCGAGTCCCTGACTGGGTGACTCGGGTCGAACTTCCACGTCCTATTCGCTTACGCGACGTGCAACGGCATTCGCCTGTGGCAACCAACGTCGTCAGTCGTCGCGATACGGGTGTCGTATGAAGCGATACGCATTCTCCGCCCCGCTTGTCCATCGGAGGCGCACTGCCGACGTCGAGCAGGTCGGCAGGGTGCAGACGTCTGGTCAGCCGCCGTAGGCCCAAAACACAGCCGATCATGGCGTGGACGCGGTGGCGAGGCGCCAGGCCGCCGAGAGAGACGTGGGCAGGCGGATCGGGGCGTACGGAGGGCGCAGAATGAAAAAAGGAGTGCGCGGGAGACATGGATAAAATCCGAGTGGCCGGAATCGAACCAGCGACCAATTGATTTCCGAGTATACTAAGACACAGTATAGAACACTACAGTCAATCGCTCTACCAACTGAGCTACACTCGGTCCTAATTTGACAACCCACCCAAAATCAAACAAAACGCTGCACACAA